AATTCTAATGCCACACTTTCTATAGCAGCCAAGTGCTTTAAGGGAAACACAGAGCCCTTACATCACTATTAATTCAACACACTAGTACTAGAAAACCTCACAATTTTTCAGCTTGAAGCAGATTTAAAAAACAGGAAAAACAATATGCTTAAATAATTTCCCACATTTACAGCATGCTTCTACAGGCATATCTACCAGTTCTCTTAATAGAAACATACTTCAGGACCAATTGTTTATGCAGAAATAATTTATATTTTCTTTTGGTAAATCACATTATTGTCATCAAAAAAAGAGCTAAGGCAGTAATAACAAATACAGACCAAAAATTGATCTCTTTACCATTTCAATATATTTTTGAATGTTTGTATTACTGACAAAATAGCATTGATTTCAGATTATAAATTAGTCTGGTCAGGGAAATATCTCCCCAATCAAAACACAATCATCCAATGTCAGACTAAAGATGGAAAATTAATTGAAGGTTTCCTTTTGATTTTATATACTAACTCTGTACTTGCTCCCTCTATAGCATGAAGAGCAAACCAGAATGATTTTGTAAATCTGGGAAGTTTAACACACAAAAAAAGCACACAGTAGGAAGAATACTTTCATCAAAGGAGTGCAAACAGAAAGAAATTAAGTCTTTTAAACTTTCACTGTAGTGACACCTTGTGGCTACATCTGCCTTATAATGAAAAATCAAAATTTTTCATTTTCTTGTAATTCTTTTAATGCAGTTCTTCAAATATTGTGGTTGAGGATGAAGTAAAAAGATGAAGTCACAAAACAAAAACAAAAGGATGAAAAAAGTGGGCAGGGTAAAACAGAAAACAGCTTTACCTGCTCAAAGACCTTTAGCAGTTTTAACATTCACTGCTCCAAGAGGAAGATGGAATAACTATGAACCTGACACTTGTTCCTAACTTCCACAGGAACCTGACTACATGAACATTTTCTATGTCCTATCTTCCCTCTAAAGAGTCTTCAGCTTTACATGAAAGTTGATATGAAAATGTAAACAAAGAAAACAGGACCAAAAGAAATTCTAACAAAATGCACTACTATACTGAAAAAAAAAGGGGGAGGGGGAACACTACCCTGTAATCACACTCTCTTCTTTGCTTTTTCTGCATAGTATACGACTGTTCAATTTTCAAAGATGGTAGAACAATGTATTCTAGAAGGATTTAAAGCAAATATCTGAAGCCTAAAATAATTATGTCAATAAAACCCCCATATGTTTTACTCTGTATTTTCTTTTACTAAAACCCCTCTAAATACAGCAACACCCTCTTACTTGCTACACTAAGCTTTGACACTGAACAAGTAATCTTTGTACAAAATAGCTTGTTTATCTAAATCAGGAATTACATCCTACAAATAACAGACATGATCTGATGTGTGTGAGAAAGCACAAACAATCTACTCATATTTTTATTTTAGAATTTCAGTCTTCAGTTATTGCTCTTCCACTTTTTTCACCTATTGCAATTACTCTGAATGTATTAAGACAGACTGAAGCATGTAAGCAACAGGAAGAAGCCAGAAGAGTAAATAGTCTTATCACATTTCTTGACTTTGCCTAATCAGTTTGGATGATTTGTTATGCGCTTTGCCAAATACAAATTATCTTTCATGGGAAGTACAACAATGCCCGTAACTCCAACACTACTGTAAATATTCCATAACACTCCATATATCAAAAATTCACATCATGGTAAAGACTATGACACACATGACAAACGATTCATTAAGGAGGCTGAATTGGTCTTAATTCACTGTCATACAAATTATTTATTTAACAACTAATGGCCAGAAGGTAGCATTTTTTCATTCAGCTTCTGTGAAAATGCATTGATTGTAGAATTGCATGTGGATACATTTGCTTAAGAGGAAAGTAACAGTTTTTCAAAGAGACAAACAAAAACCCCAACTTGTATACATGCAAATAAAAGACACACTCCATCAATTTTTTATGTCCATGGAAATGTTTGAGTAGCTTCTTAAAACTTAGATGAACATATCAGTTCAGATGTTGACAGCTCTCACCTTTTACAACTAATATTTATGTGAAAAGTAACTCAAAAAAGCAACTAATCCTACCTAATGTAGCAGGGCTCATATCCTGTTTATAATTTATGTTTGAACAATTGCTCTAGTGTATCAGACAACTGGCTGTCCTTCAACAGCCTGTACAGAATCTGGCATGTTCTACTCCCTCACTTTGGAAAAAGGCATGCAAATAAAAAAAATCCCAGCCAATAATTCTACACCTCAATTCTTTGTTGTGCCTCAAAATGACATCTTACACAGATGCTTTGACCTCACAAAACACTTTGAGCTATATAATTTTTTTAATAAAAAAACCCCAAAAATCTCAAACCACCACCTAACTGAAAACCTTCCTAGAAAGACATTCAGTCCATGATTTTCTATTAAAAATGTATTCAAAACTTTAAAAAAATTGCAGCATGGCTCCCTAAGTGGTTGCTTCCAAAAATATTATCTGCATTAGTAAGACAAAACGAGTAAAATGTCAAAACTAATGTCAAGAAGACAAAACATAACATGATGCTTCCCTTCCTCTGTACTGTTATCCATTAACAGGAAAATTTTGGCACTGGAACTTGAGACACTAAAAAACAAGACTGTACAACAGAAGCAGCATTGAGCAAAACACAGCATGCAAACTTAAAACATATCTTCCCCTTGGTAAGTATGTACAACATGCCTGTGAAACCATATCAAATAAGAAAGGAATACATTCTGAGAACATAACATGATGCTTCCATTCCTCTGTACGTTATCCATTAACAGGAAAATTCTGGCATTGGGACTTGAGACACTAAAACAAGACTGTAAAACAGAAGCAGCATTAAGCAAAACACAGCATACAAACTTAAAACATATCTGCCCCTTGGTAAGTATGTACAACATGCCTGTGAAACAATATCAAATAGGAAAGGAATACATTCTGACAATTTCATATTCGCTCATATGACTGCTGCTCACAAGACTGGAGAACACCCTTTTTAGGTAACAAGAAAATGCTATGTATATTAGGATTTCTGTTTTGTGTACATTAGTATACTGGAAATAACTAAACTAACTTAAGTAAACAGAACTACTTTAAATACATTATCACAAAACACTGAAATTGGAGACAAAGAGAAAAGTTTAGTAGTCCTTGCTTACTTCTTTCTCAAGAGATTATTGATTAAAAGACAGATAAGTAAGTCTCTAATACCAATATCTAGGTGTACATAGCCTCCCCTGCTCAAAGCCTCTCTCTGGAGGGAATTTGATCAAAATTCCTGATCAAAGGAGACTCAACCTTCAAGTAATACCTAACTATTTATATCAATATAATTAAACAAAAAGTTCTTAATGCAGAACTCCTCAATGTAGGCTTCAATTCTCTTACGCAAATAAAGATGACAGAAAACCTTATCTAAACTTTATTTAATTATTATGGTGACTCAGCTGATAATTCATATTTTGTCTTAACAATACTGCTCCTTAACAATAAGTGCTCATAAACTTAGGTTGCTACATGATTTTCTCTTTAGCTCTTCCACTTGCTCTTCCAATAAGCTGCACCTCCAAGAAATTCCATACCATTTTGTGGTTATGATGATGAGGAACAGAGATTTACAGAAAAGAATAGGATCTCTTTGTCAAAAAGAAAGCACCTCTCTCCATGGAGATTTCAAGAGTTGTGTGCCAATTAAAAAGTTTATGTCTACAGAGAAATTATTACAATACAGGTCATTTCCTCTCAGGGTCTATGACCCAAAACCTAATGATGACAGCATCTTTGGTATCTTCAGGTTGTATCCTCCCTACCAATTAGCTCAATTCAGTTTTTGAATAAGACTACATCAATATGATTATCTGCTTCTTGCAGAATTCCCAAGACCTATAGTTAAAAAATATTTACAGCTTAAATAACATCACTTTAACAACACTTAAAACCCATCTATTAATTTTCACAGAATGGCAGAATCTCAGATATATGTTGACGTAGAAGGGACCCACAAGGATCACCAAAGTCCCTGTCCTGGCCCTGCACAGCACCATCCTCAAAGCCACATCATGTGCCTTAGAGCATTGTCCAAAAGCTTCTTGAACTCTGTCAGGCTGGTGCTGTGACCACTTACTTCCCTGGGGAGCCTGTTCCAGTGCCCAGGCACTCTCTGGGTGAAGAACCTTTTTCTAATATCCAACCTAACTCTCCCCTGACACAACTCCAAGTCATTCCCTCAGGTCCTGCCACTGGCCACACAGAGAAGAGATCAGTGCCTGCCCCTCCTCTTCCCCTCACAAGGAAGGTGTAACTGCAATGGAGTCTCCCCTTCTCCAGGCTGAACAGACCAAGTGACCTTGGCTGCTCCTCATACGGCTTCCCCTTAAGGCCCTTCACCATCTTTGCTGCCCTCCTTAGGACCCTCTCTAATAGTTTAATATCCTTCCTATATTGTGGCACCCAAAACAGCAGATTGGAGGCATTCCACAAAGCTCCTTAGGGAGAAAGAGGAAAGTTAAGACTTTCACAACCATTTAAAAGAGTGCATCAGTAGAAAATACATAAAAATACATTTTCAAGTTCTATAGTAAGTATGTAAGTACATTATAAACATTTAGGCAGTCATGGAATGATGTTTACTACTGAGTAAAAAAACCCAGCATCAGCTGCAAAAAAGGTAGGTATGACCCAAAAAAAAAAAGAAAAGAAGGAGAAGGAGATAGGTATATATGGAAAATCCACAGTTTTCAAACTGGATGCCTGCATTGTATGAACTATATAATATTAGAAAATAATAATACAAACTATTATAAAACTATATAAACTAAGATAAACTATTTCTTTGGCATAGCTGATAAAAGTTGAGATGTAACACATTTTCAGAACTACATAATGAAGTAGCAAAATCCAGCAACTTATTCTGGTGCCTACATTCTTTAATGCCAGCCACAGTAAATTACATTGATGAACTAACCTGCAAACACGGGCAGGAAAATACAGGTTCTGCCAGGACCGACAGAGGTATTTTGAGTGATCGATGACCCGAATCCAGTCCAACTCATCCATGGACACCTCAATGTAGTAGGAATAAGACCTATGGATTGCCAAAAAACACTGGTTAAAATACAAGTTGAAAAATTTTAGGTATTAAATTTTACACTGAATTCTGGATTTTCAGTTGTGTTGAAAAGAAAACTTCTTAATCAGATCCTTATTTTCAAACTAGCTTTGAAAAGAATTCTCACAGTTAAGATGTATTCTCAGAATGATTTAAAGCATCCACACACTCACAATCTACAGTCATTAGATGAGACTACTGTGCCTCAAAAAATGAAATGAAGACTTTTGACTCCGTCATAAAAATTATCATTTGTATTCCTTCTTTATAGAATAAAAGTAAATCACCACCAGTGATACGGTACTACTTCTACTGCCAAATCAATAAAGAAAAAATGAAAAACAATTACTAGATCAAAAATGCAAATCCAAACTGCTCACTTGAAAAAAGCAAATTTACTTTATGACCATTTTCACTTTATGACCATTTCACAACTGAAGTTGTTCTTCACTCCTGACCCTTTCAGTTTTTTATGATCCATCACTGAGCCTGTCATTACTTCCTTACACACTCCAAAATTAACTCATGAAAAATAAAAAAGCCACTGACAGAATCTGTGTCTTCCTCATGCTTATCAGTTATGTTTACCTTAGAGTTTGCTTTAAAGAAAGCAAACCCAAACTAGAATGTCAATGTTACAGCTAATTCCCTAATATATCCATGACTGTTGTGCTTAGAATAAAGTCGAAATTTCACTTATGGAACTGCATTGAATATCTGTTTCAGAGTATTTTCCTTCTCCTAAGGAACTAGTCTGCAAGATTCACAGGCATTTCAACAGCACCATGTCAGCACTTAAGAGCCTTTCAGACTGATTTGTACAGAGGAATTGCTCCTACACAAGCATTTCTTATTAAACATTAATGCCTGTGTTAGTATTTCTAATCTTCCTGATGACTTAAAAGAGTATGTACTGAAAACGGTATTTTTAAAAAATCCTTAAAATCTTAGGTAGTTGTGAATGCCTTGGAAAGGTAAGGCTGAGTCTTTATATGTCAACTGCATAACCAGCTTTCACATTCACACCAATCAGATGTGTAATACTCACAACCCACACAAATACAATGTGTTTTAGCAACATTATTATTACTAACATATGTGTACTTGACCAAACTAGGCAGCAAAGTTTTAGAGTTTGAGTTGTTTGTATACAAAAGTTACTGACCTCTCTGCCTTGAGAATTTAGAGGTTCTCATCATTGCTAACATACATTTGTAACCAATACACAATATGCTACTTTTTGGTTTCTGAAGATACCAAACAAAGAAATATTACCTCAAAAATACAGTCCCATTATCATACACAACAGTATGCCTTTAATTTTTTTTATGCTGGGTAACATCTTATTTGCAGAGACAGTTTGGATAGCCTCCCCTTAGCACTTTTACAGCTAAGGTTCAGCTGTTAACACCTCTGAACTACAGGTGTGAAACACCTGTTAGCTTCCATTTAGTCTGTTAAGTATATCCAATAGATCAGAGTTTCACACAGACAGTCAAAATTAACAGAGTAGCTTAAAAAATTGTTCAACAAGAAGCAATCATGCTGTACAGGTCTGTTCATGTCTGTATAGGTGTTAAAACACCTCCTTAGAAGACATTAGTTGTGTATCCCAGGAGAAAGATGCAGTTTAGTGTCCAGCAATGGTTAGACAAAGACAGTAGAAAGGAAAACATCTCTACAAAAAGTAAGGACAATCTCAGAGTAAGAGAGACATGGACATGTCTGGGCAATCCCATATCCTTAAGATCTTGGCTGGCAAATTTCTGCACACCTCTATGGCCAAATTCTTCCCAAGTTCAACTACTCCAGTGTAAATTGTTTCCCTAATATTTAATATGAATTTATCTTCTTGCTTGTGTCCACTGCTCTTTGCACTCTCAGCACACAGCTGCAAGAGAACTCTGTCCCTGCATTCTCTATATTCTTCCACTGAATAGCTGAGGAGAGCAACAAATTCTCCCTTCTAAGCCTATTCATCTTAAAACAGCAGGTTCTCATGTGCTCAAGCCTTCATCTTGGTGTCCTGCTGAACTCACTGCAGGAAGTCAGTATCTTATACTGAGGAGCCCACAAATAGATAAAGTACTCCAAAAACCTCCATTTCCATTTAACTTATACAGTTGAGTTACTGGAGGGGAAAAAAGCTTGACAATTCAAAGAACAGAGAATCACAGAATATTCTGAGTGAGAAAGGAACCCCTAGGATGATCAAAGTCCAACTCCTGGCCTTACGCAGGACAGACAGTGCTAATTCTAGTACTATACCTGTTGGGAAGCAAAAGAAAGCCCAATAGCAAATTTTCCACAGAAATCAGCATGATTAAAAAAAAATTAAAAATAGCAAGACACAGAAACTAGATCTTAAACCTCTGAGCCCTCAGTATTTCATGAAGACAAAAATCTCTATAGATCCACCTTGACAGATATTCTGCCAGCAATAATAGTTTGTTCCACAAATTTCAGATGAAGCAACACAGGACACCAAGCAACAGATAACTTTGCAAGAAGTTGTCCCAAGGAGAACATTTTTTCCTTGAGTTTCATCAGCTGCAAATTTATGCCCTGCAGACGAGGGGCATTTTACCAGTTACATGAGTTCTCAAAAAATTGCTAGAGAACTCATTACTAATGTATCTCTAATACTGTTTCAGATTTTATACAGTTGGTTGATAACTGGTTCATAAATTTGGTTGATCTTCTGGCACAACTAGCATAATATTATATGAAGCAGTTCCTTATATATCAAAGATCCACTTATTGATCTTTACAAAAGAAACAGAAGTGAAACAAATTTCAGTTGAAATGAAGTAGAAAAGCATCCTTAAAACAGTTACATAGCTAAAATTAATTACATTGGTTTTAAATTATTAGTAACTAACTCATATTTAAAAATTATTTAAATTTACAAAACACCTTACCCTAACTAAAACTTTTATACATACTGTTCTAGAATAACATGGCTTAGCTAAAAAAGCAAAATGAAACTGTTCTACAATGACAAATTGAGTTTTTTTGGAAATAAAATTAATCCTTTATCACAAAGGTAATAAGGCATATAATAAATCTATATGTAAGCTTGTTTGATTGTTTTTAACAGCTTATGAGTACCTGCTGAGCTGTCTACTAAACTGTAAGATCTTTGTAATGGCAAGTTAAAAAATTAATGTATTAAATTTCTCTGAGAAAAAGAACCCTGCAATTTTTCTACTTCAGCACCCTCTCAATTGTTCAAATGAGCTTAATTTGAATTTTCATACATTCCATAATAACCTGAAGTAGCTCAGTAACAACTGGCTACGGCATGTATGACAATTCATATTTCAGCAGTCTAACCATGAAGTGGCTTCTAATAACTACTGTAGTCAGCTAGTAATTCACATTCTAAATAAATTTTACTATCTGTGAATTACAGAATCACAGAATCATTTAGGTTGGAAAAGACCTCCAAGATCAAGTCCAATTTTATTGTCAAAGCGTGCCATTTCTTTACAGTTTTGATATATTGAAAAAACTGGAACAAAAAAAAAATTTTAATGTTTGAAATGCAAATATGTAAAAACATTGAAATATTGTAAGGTAGTTTAACATCTCTAAATATGATCTGGTGTGTAAGTAACCAAAACTGCATTTAAAAATCAGGTTGTTCCCAAATAAACCTTGCAACTATCAGCTCCAACACTACCATGCTATTTCCATAAAATATTTAAATTATAGTTTGCACTGCTACATTACTTTCCCTTTTTATATCACCTTGGCACCTACCGACTGTCTCTGTCCCAGAGCAGAATTCGTATGTGGTTGATTATTGAGGGCTGGCCTAGTTTAATCTCAATTCCGGAGCGGCAGTCGTCGTTGATCGGGTGTCGAGAGAATCCATGATCCAGGTCATAGTTCTGAGTGTCTCCATCCAACAGAGCAGACTTCAGCTCCCCCTTTACAACTTGTGCTCCATACTTCATTGTTGCAATATTCTCCCCTGGTACTAAGAAGAAAAGGGAATAATTTCTTAAATTTCACACGCTCTCATACTGCAAATTAGATGTTCTGAATATTAACTCTATTAGGTCAGACCAAAGATTTATTGCTAGGATCCTTTCTTCGCCACAAACACATGGTCTAGGAAAAAAAAAAAAGGAAAATAAAATAAAGAGGCATTAAAAATATTTCATTTCTTCAATTTTATTTGGTATCTTTTACATGCTTTATGGTAATAAAGCTGTGATAATTTACTATTATATAGCAGCTATATTCTCAGTCCCCTTCATGATTTTACAGAATTTTTACAGAAATCTCTTGCACCTGTTAACTGTTGTTTGCTTTTGATTTGGGTTTTATTGGTTGGGTTTTGGTTTTTTTCCCCCTAAATGGAAGAAATTTAAATGTACAAGATGTGTATCACATGTTCCAGATCCATCCTGATTTTGCAGAGTGGTGCATCCAGCAGTAAAGTCATATATGCTCCTCTGACAGCTATACAAGCTTCCAGTACCCTGCAAAGCTAAATGAGCTCAAGTGAAACAGGAAACTTTTGGCTACTTGGGCTTTGAACTCACATGGAAAGGCAAGCTTTTTTTATGCCACCATTCCACAGTAATAAGCCTGTGTCCTAGGAACAGCTTCCTTCAAGCTAACTGGGAATAATGATCCCTAACTTCAACTATAGAACAACACTCTGTAAACTAGCCTCTTCAAAAGACATTTTTAACAGCCTTGTTTGAGGAGAGATCCTAGAAAATATGATCTGAAAACTAAATGATGAAAAGTTACCCCAAACTTTTCAGGCAGGTTGACAACAGAAGTATAAATTTTAACAGGCTGACAAAAATTTGATATCTAAAGAACAGAATTTGAAGTGGTAGTCAACATCTCCACAAATAGAAAAAGCTTAGAAGTATGAATTTTAACAGGCTGACAAAAATTTGATAAACAGAACAGAACAGAATTTGAAGTGGTAGTCAACATCTCCACAAATAGAAAAAGCTTCAAGATCCTGAATGAGTTATAAAACAACAAAGAAATTACACTCTCAAAAAAGCTGTAATTAAGAGAATTTTATTGTGGAGATAAATATCCAGGAAAAGAAGCCAGAGAAGACCATTTGACTTATTCAAATGTATCTACTGCACTGTCAACAGAATGTCTCTCATAACAAGACTTTCACAATACCCTAATATTAAACTCATATGTTTAAATATTAATAACTATAACTTCTAAGGGAGAACAAAGAATATGCAACTCTAAGATAGCAGTAATTTTCAGGGCTCATCATGCATGACTGAATACAGTGCAGACTCTTAAAGAATGTTTAACTTTTTTCCTTTGCTGTGGGTCAAATGCACAATTAGATGGCTAACTATCTTTTTAAAGCTTGAGTGTTAGATAGTCTTGTTGAATTAACAGAGAGCACAGAAAAAATGTCAAATGCAAGGTTTCTTACACTTTTTAGACTTTCATTAAAATTACTTCAAAGACTTGTTTAAACAAGCATGTAAAGAGAAAAGTCATAAGTAGTGGAGAAACTATGAAAATGTTTATCAAGTAGAAAACAAGTCACTATCAACATAAAACCATTTAAATATCATATATCTCACAGCCAACTTTCATTTTCAATGATTTGTAAAACTTTTTCAATTAAATTACTTCTAGGAAAATGGTATTACATTCATTTTTGAGCAATATCTGAGATACAAAGCAAGAAAATAATTGACCAATATAGAGAATTATTTTGGAATAACAGCTACATAACATGACATTTCATATTCCAAACCTTTTATAACACACAGTAATAGGTGAAAACTCAAAGCACAGATTAACCATACCCTCCAGACAACCACAGTCACTAAATGAGAAGGAAGCAAACAAAAAACCTGATGCTTACTTAGCATGCCCCTGTAGTTGAGGTCCATGTCCCGACTCTCAGAACGAATCTTAATGGCATCTAGGATGGCATCAGGTGACAACAATCCAGAAGGTCTTACAACATTCAGTAGCTCTGTTAGACTCATTAGTGGCAAACGTACTGCTTGCATGATTTCAGCATGGTCTTCCTTGGGGTTATGTTTACACCAGTTCATCAAAGCTTGGAAAATGTCTTTTTCAGGAGCTGCAAATGAGTCTCTCAGAACAATACTTAGAAGAGCAGCCTGGAAAAGATAAATAAGAACAAAAAATATACCCCCTAAATAAACAGAAATTAGGTTGAATTTTTTTTTTAATCAAGCGAAATTCTAATAAGTCAAAAATTAATGGCTATTTAAACTTATAGCTATTAAAAACAATCTTCAAAGGGGTGACTCCCTGAAATTGTAGATTAGTTATGCAAGAATTACAGAATCTATGATCAAAATAATAGGCAATATTAACAAAATCACTAGAAAAAATTGAAATGTCGAGAACCAATCCAATCAGTATAATACCATTCAGTAGTTCAAACTTACCTCGGAATATTTTAAGAGTTTTGGGGACTTAGCAGTATAGTTCAAAATATTCCTTTAAACTTAGGCTGCTATAAGACCACTGATGAGAAAAAAAAAAAAAAAAACCTTTTGCTTGAAACCACTTTTTTTTAACCATTTCTAACTACTTGGGACTTCTGTCCTGTCACAATCTTTCTCTCTCTTTTGGTACCAACTAAGAATCACCAGGTAAAAACTCCAGTGGCTCTTATTCATGTAGCAAACCCACTGACTGCAAAATGAGAACATAAATAATCAAATAGCTTTTTGATTTTCACTTAGTTAGCAGAATAATCAGGAGCTTGCCTAGAAAAAGGAAAGATCTCTCCTATATACCATGACTGGCTATGTCAAAGACCTCAAAGTGTGCACTTTCTGATGAATGATGTTTGTTCATTTTTTTATTGATAATACACTCTCTGAACTCAGATTTAACAAACTGCATATGACAAAGTACAGAGAGAGAAAAATTTTTTTTTTTCTTATACAATGAGTAATTTACAGCAGTGTCATAAACTCACTCAAGTAACAGACCCTTCACAGCTCTTCCCCTTAGAAAAAAAAACACTTTAAAAAGTCCCAATTACAGCATCATTCATTCAAGGTGCTCTGCTGCTTCATGTGAACACGACTTGAAAACACTCTCACTATTATGTCCAGTCCAAAGACCCCCTCCACAGTAAAGCGCAAAATTTCTACTTCATAGAACAGCCAGACTCAGTCACAAATATTTATGCATCTAACAAAAAAAACAACACACAAAAAAACCCAAACCACACCACCATATTCTGCAAGTTCAGAACATGATGACAATCAGCAATATAAATCACAGTAATCTCCAGAATGCTTTAGATCACCCAGCAGAAAATCACCCATCACTGATGAAGCCTTTATCAAGGAATCAATAGAACAAAGTATGTCTTGTCATATTCAAGTCTATATTTGACTTCCCCTCTGAAGCATTCAGAAGCCAAATTATATTATACCAGGAACAGATCAAATAAGACAAATTAAAATTAGATTGCCTGCTGCCATATTTTAGAACACTCCATTAGATATACTATATTAAACTATATTGAATGGTCAATACCTAAACATTTCAGAACAGATTGCCAAAATTTTCAGTTCAGCTTATCTTGAGTATTTCTGACCCCCAAAGTTTCACAAGCATAAAATAACTATGAGCTAACACAAGTTTTTAATTGGTTCCCCCATTAGTATTTTATCACAAAACTGTATTACCATTAAAATTAACAGCCCTGGGGGAAAAAAGTGCAAACTAAAGATATACCTTAGAAAGTGACAGGAAGCCTTCGCTGGAGAGCACCTCTTGGGCATTTCTATCCATGAACATACAGCACATAAAAGTTAATTTGGGAAGAGAATAAAGACTGGCCACATCAAAAGTCATACAGACATTCTGAATATTAAGTATTGTGCAAAGATACTCAGACGTGGAATCCTCCAGTTCTGGGAATCCATATTTATGTGCTAGGCTTAAGAAGTCAAGAAGAATCTCTTCTTTCTCATCTCGTAGTGTAGCACGACCAGTGTAAATGTATTTCAACAGCATGGTAAATGCTTCTGCAGTGGTGTCCTGAAGAGGAATTTCTGCTTCAGGCTGAGATTCTCTCATTCCTCCATACAATAATGCCCTATAAGAAAAACAGTTTAGTTTAGTTAGCAGCTTATCCCTCTGACAAAATTCACTGGAATATTAAATGCATTTCTATTGAAAAATGCCCAGCTCTTAAAAAAAAAGCTGGACTAGTATTATTCCTAGTTTTAAAATAGATATTCTAATCTGTGTCAGCCAAACCTCAATTCCAATTCATCAAAATGAAACTTGTTATCTGACTATATGCCATAGAAACACCATTTATACTCTGAGAAATCAAAACAACTTTGCAGTAGTACTTTCCTGCTCTCAAGTTCTTTTTCTTGAATTTGCAAAACTACCTTCAAAATCCAATTTAATGAAGGTCAAAAGAATAACACTGTGACATGGTATTTATCCTTTTCTATTTGAACACAATGATTTGATGTGCTGGGAAACATTCACACAGAAAAGGTCACACTCAATGGACAGATGATTACACCCTGAAAAGTTCATAGGGAAACAATGTTTATCTCATCTGCACAAAAATTTCCTGTGCACCTGACAAAAAGCCTTACTTCACCTGAAATAATGGCATCTAGCAGCCAGGATCACTCTGTGTGCTGGAAAACGCTTCTTTTCCACAATAAAGGTAACGTCACTGTATTCTTCCCCGTTCATTAGAGCACCAATATGCTCTGACAGAATGTGGACGTGGTCGATCTCCCCCACAGCTGTGTATGGACGAAGTGGGTGGCTGTTACTCATCTTGGAGGGATGGTGATACTGGTAGCCTAAAGGACAAAGAAAGCAAGCAGTATTATACAGGGCAAAAATATTAAGAATAGCAAGCATAACAGCAGTAACAAGTTACTAATTTGAGTAATTATATATTACAAGAAAAATTAAACCAACAGATTTTCTATGAAAGTTCACTTTCAACCAGACACAACACAGCTGGCATCAACAATTCTAGCTAAGTATTTCAGAGAATTGTCATCTCATTATTCAGCCAACCCATTTACTTCAAAAAAAAAAAAGTTTCCACCAAAGGGAATTAAAAATTAAACTATTTTACATCATATTTCTATTAAAAAGCAATTTTTATCTGAATTAAAATACACACACACAAAATAGAAATAAGCAATGTGACCAATTAAGTTTAGTCTTAACTGTCCAGTCTGTATTAGAATCAATGACAAGAAAAACTTTTTGCAGGTTTCTAGTCAGCTTTTCAGAATGGGAGAAAATAAACAATCAGCATAACTTTTAATAAATAACAAAGTCTGTCAGAGAGAAAAGCTTTACAATGTACAATTCAATTTTCTTACTCTTTACACTCACTTTTCTTGATGACTTATTTCTGCACATATATATACACACACCCACATACAGAGATATAGATATATATATATAAAAACATACCTCTCAGTCATAAAACCAGGAGACTGCTCACTAATGTATAATATAGATAAATGCATTAGTCCTATCTTCTATAGAATTCTTTTGTTTCTTCTTCCTTCACAACAGGTTTTGGCTTTTTATGGTTTTGGTTTATTTTGACAACACAGACTTTCTGTATTCTCAATGGCAAGAGCATCCAAAAGCAAAGTTAGGTCTTACACTGGCTTCTACTGTGACACTTTGGTTTACTTTTCTTTAAAAACAGGTTGGTTGTTTCAGATAATGACCATCCATATCTTCAGAGGTATCTTCCCTGCTCCAGTTACTAGACACTTTTCAAAATGGGCAGATATCCAGTGCTGAAGAAATGTGGTGTACCACACGAACCAAGAAAATGATGAGGCCATACCTTACACACACCTAACACATGAACCTTTCAAGTCAAATATTCATGACAGAAATACACTTTTAGATTCTACAGTAAAAATACTATGAGAAAAAACATGTTAAAAAAACCCCAAATAGACACACTTGGGGTTATTATTTGCACTTAAACACACGGAAATGCTTTATCCAAAATCAAGATACAGTGGAAATACAGTCCCAAAGAACCTCAAATGAAACTAAACAGAAAGTGATAGAAATAGAAAATAAAATTAAAGAAAAATACAGCATACTAAATCAATCATAGATCACAACACAAATGGGAACAAACCCCCAAGTTTCCACTGGCTGTCTCTGCTACTTGAATTAAAAGCTGTGTGCCTGTGAATCCACTACACCACAGAACCAGCAACACTGGCCAAGATACAGGAGACAGCCTAACCATGGGAACACAGAACACTGCAGTCATTCTTCTATCCTGGCATGAAAGCAAATTAATTTTCAAGGTTTCATAATAACAGACTATTTCTTCCATTTGCATTGGTTAACTTACAATTAGTTAAGACAATTTGGATTTATTCCACATACACTTCAAGTAAGATTTACTTTCTAACAAGCAAGATTAAGTTGATTACATCAGCCCAGCAACATCTGCTTGTACCAGCAATGCCACTTACCACAACATAATTGTTTGAGACTTTATAGACAATGATAAAATTGAAATGTCCTCGAAAGAAAACTTTTTATTACACTGAGGGAGAATACAAAGAGATTTTATTTGTTACTTAGCTGCAGTCTCAGGTCTGGGTACTCCTTGAAGAATTCCATACCACACCCATAATTGCTGTTGTTGATCTTCATTTGCAATAGTCAGGCAAACCAACTACATATGAATTATACATTATCAAGGAACTTGGTATTATCTCTCTTCTGCTAGTTTAAACATTTGTTGATTCAGGAAGCTGATTTATGATACTTCATCCATGTACAAATATTGGCACATTTTAATTTTACAATCTATTTTTATTTCAACTTTTTTACTACATTCTACTGCTTTGTTTCCTGAACCACATAAAAGTGAGAGACTGTAAAAGTAGTGAATACAAGGGAATGCCACCAGCTGCACATTAACTTTGCTTTCAGTAGCTGTGGATGCTGTCATGTGCCAATAGGGCAAAAATCTCAAGGGAAATTGTTTCTATTTAAAGTTAAAGAAACAAATAAAATCAAAAGCACACTTCCCTCTCAAGAACATATAAACCCCTGTCTAAACAAGTATCAGTGTCTATAAGAGGGCAAAATCTGAAGTGGGAACAGTTGCTAGTGACCTGAGAATGCCCAGTCCTTATGAACATCAAGATGATGAACGACAGCAAGCAATGAAAGGAAAAATTTAGATATTGCCCTGTGTGTAAGCAGCAAGAAAAATTTCTTCTGATGTGTAATGCTCTCCAAATTGCTGGTTCTACATACGATTCTGAACCACCAGTTTCAAACACAAATCTGCCGAGCACAGGAAATACAGGAGTCAAATGATGGCTACAAGCAGAGGAGGCCTTTCAAAGGCTTGAATGATCCAAATATTGGTCTCTGTCACCTTTACAAAACCATGTTTGTAACTTTTCTGTGCTATGGGGACCACCAGTATATTGAAGAAACATGCCAACTCATCTATTTTCTACTAGCACAGTTTTCCAACACAAATTTTGTCTGTATTGTGGATTTTTCATATAAAGCAGAGCAGTGAGACAGTCCTGCCTCCAATATATAGAACTAAATAATACATGGCTTCATATCTTCCTAGGATTAATTAATGGTAAAAATTCAGGCAACCCTTTAAATGATCTGTGCGTTTCTTGTTTGAGGAAGTAAAACTTAGTAACCTCTTTAGTCATGCCAAATTGCTATGAGCTCACAACTTCCCTGTATAGCTAAACATGCCTTTTTCTAGCTGTTATTCAAAAGTACTATTTATGATTAAAAAAAAAGATGGATGTTGCTAAGAACTAGGGCAGAACCCTTCCTGAAGCTCCCTCTGGCATCTCCTGTCATCAAACAACATCAGCTTTTCAGAGAATACAGGTGCTTACTCCTCCTGGCAGTCAAAGAACATGGCATTTGCAAGCCTGCTGCCAGCACCATAACCTATTTCCAGGAGGTATTCAGAGCTAATTAACTGCTTCAGGAGTCAGCTGCCGCAGCTTTGCTCATGACACAGAAATAAACAAACAAAAGTCTTCTCAGTGATTTTGAGGCACCATTAGAACTGCAACAATCTGAAAACGCATTTGTGCTTCAGGAGTCAGCTGCCACAGCTTTGGTCATGACACAGAAATAAACAAACAAAACAGTCTTCTCAGTGATTTTGAGGCACCATTAGAACTGCAACAATCTGAAAATGCATTTGTTAAGTCCTAAGGCCTACAAACCACTTCTCTGACCTCACTGAAAGACACGCTATTTGGTGGCCATCTTCAACAGTGAGCATGTGAAAAATGCAGCCCAGTATTTATGACATAAGGCAGCATGCAACACTACATAATGCGTGCTGTGCCTTGAGAAACAGCCACCCCTTCCATGCTTTCAGTTTCCTGTACTTCTGCTCAGCAGGTAATCTGTAACATGTTATGGAATACAAAAACATCATCTAGGAAATTCAGCAACGACATCCTTCCTTTCCATTCAGTTTCATTGAAAGATCAGCATTCAGTCTCTTCCCTCCCTCATTGAGGCTAACATTGAAGAATCCTCCGAAAAGCAGTGCTGCTTCAATGAAACATCAAAGTGTTGTTTTTCTACCAGGTGTAGAAAATTGAATATAAGAAATTAATCATAAATTATTTGAAGAAAAATTTTATATAACATGAGTAAAGAATGCTGACATAACTGATAGCTCTATCAAAACTTTAGAAATAAATGCAAGTAAACAGACTATTGCTAGAATTAATTTTTTCATTAAATAAGTCCAGTTTATAAACATTGAGCAAATAATTTCATACCTTTAAAACAACTAATTCCTACATACTCTAGTTTGCACCTAGCAAGCTAATACTTTTATCAGAATTACACAAAGAGAATTTTCTTAAATGTAATTCTTTTACACTGCTCTTGTATCTAAAAATTTGTACTCAGTTGATTGGATGGCACTTGAGTATTATTTTAATTTTTAAAAAATCATTACTTCATATATAGTAAATAAACTCCAGTAAAATATTACTTTAGTTTCAATTTCTATTACCACAGGCTCCCAGAATGTGATAGATGCAACAGTAACACTACTGTACAAACATAGCACTGGTTCAAATAATATGGTTTTTATATTTTCAATGGATACACATATGTCATTTCATAAATATATAATCTCAGGAAACAGAATTTTTAGTAAATACTTCAACATGCAGAGTGTAAATACTTTGGTTCTGTCAGAACCCTAGCTCCTTTGTACTTTTAAGTAACAATGGTTGGTTCAACCAAAGTTGAACCTGAGTGAAAATTGTAACGGGAAAAAAACCAAAACAAAACAAGTTTTGATACTTTGTAGCCAAGAACACAAATAACATAATCAACCCGTATTACTTTATAAATACAGAATTTGAAAGCTCATATAAGCGCAATTCACAGAACTTTCAAGTCTCATCTCCAACCCTTCTGCTGTGAAAGGACTAAAAGGAAAGCAGATGGTAACATTAATGGAAACTAACCACACCATCCAATCACAGCATTCTAAACAGCAATTTAGTACCAAAAAATGTTTTGACTCAAAGCATATGGGAAGTTATGCCCTGCTCATCAGCAAACACATTCCCGTCACTTAAGTGCTGTAGTGCTAACATTTTGCATTCCGCTCAGACGCTTTCCCGTCACAGAAGACGAGGAATAAGTTTAGCTAAGTACAAAGAACAATATACTTAGTGCAGACTATTTATTAACATATATATAATATTAACCTGGTTAAAATGGCATGTAAGAAAAACACTAAAATCTCAAGAAAACACACGAGGTCCACTCACCAGGGAAGCTGTCTGAAGACCTGCAGTGCGCGTAGCCTGTAGGCAGATTCCCCGCTTCCGGGAAATTAGGGTTCTTCGCCATTCTGAACAGCAGACAGATTGAACAGCAAGCTCATAGAAATCTTATTCAGCAACATCCAGCTGCACAGCAACAACTGGACCATTTCCTGGAACAATGCATGAAATACAGGCCATCAGAAACCATGAGCACAAAGCCTTAGGATGAAAGTGAGAGAGATGCGTATTTCTCAATTCAGCTTCTGGCAGAAATAAATTCTTTAAAAAGCCTTCAATTTTACAGGAGAATGTCTAAAAACAGAATACAGGAATAGTATTGCTGTTCTGAGTCATCATAATTTAATCCTGACTGTTAATATTTTTAACCATCACAGAAGACAGTAACACGATGCCATACTCATTATAAGCCAAAAAAAATTCCATCCTGGCATTTCTGCTCCAGCATCAATGTCCCTGAAAACACCATTTTCCCAGATGGGTGTCCTAATTATACCAGGTCTATACAAACTGTATCACACATGCTTTATTCCCTACACAGACAAAATTCTCCAAGTGTTCTTGCCTAACTACAGTTTTGGGGGTTCTGTTTGGGTTTTGGTGGTTGTTTTTTTTTACAAAACTTGAGGCAGCTGCAGACTTTTCTATTGCACAACACTTTTTTTAAACAGGAAACCAAAAAAAACCTGTAAGGTCAGGAAATGGAGAAATACAGAGGCTTGACTTGCTTAAATTCATAACTAACATAATGAGTCTCTCTCAACAACTGCAAATTACTGTCAACCTCCCCATCAAACCTTCCAGGAGGAAAACTAAACTGTATTTAATTTGCTAAAGGGATGATACCTTGATTTATGAATTCTGTCATAAGGGTCACTCTAATTTTCCTTATGGGACATGTTGAAGAGAACAAAGAAGGTGAAGGCACAAAAAAATATTTTAGGTAGTCTCATGACTAGAAAATAATCACACCTTAATCCTGAAACTCAAATCCAGGCTTTTTACAAATAACATCTCCTGGATTTTAAGGATCAAAAGGCAATATGTAAGTATCTTTCCTATAAGTAATGCATGTTGTCATGTTGGCCTGTGTTATTAAAATACATTGAAAAGCCATTCATGAAAATTCTTGGTGTCTTTTTTTTTTTGTTAAATTTGAGCAAACATCTCAACAGAACTGTTCCAGCACCTGATTTAGTTTTGTAACAGAAGACGCATCAAACACACCTGCTCTGTGAACAGGCTCCAATTAAACCCTAAACACATAAAAACTTAAATTATTCCAGCACAGGACTTTAAGAAGGTCTGTGCGCTGCGCTTTAAAAACATGAGCAAAAAGCATTGCTCGGCAAGCGAGATCACCGGCAGATTGCTAACAAGTTAAGATCAAGTTAGCTTTTTTAAAAGCTGATAATATGTCTTCTAAGCTACGAGTAATTTCAATGAATCACGGTAGTGCGTAACTCGCAGAGTGGTTAAACTACTACGACACCAAAACATCAGGGAAAAACACTGAGTACCGCCAGAGCGTCAAAACACTGAACTTATACTTTTTAAAGAATAAAATTCGCATCAGACGGCCACAGCACGGCCTGGAGAGGCCGGCCAGGGGCAGGACGAGGGGCGGCAGGTGGGGCGGGCGCGGAGCAGAGCCGGCGGTGCGCCCAAGGTCGCGCCCGGGCCAGCCGGGGCCGGGGCCGCCCGCAGCTCGGGAGGCGCCAGGGGAAGCGACCCCAGCCCGCTCGGCCGTTCACCGGCCCCGCCGCCGCCGAGGCCTCCTCCCCCCGCCCCGCCGCCGTTCATACGTCACCCGGCGGCGCACTGACGTCACCAAGCAGCAGCGGCCTGCGTGTGACGCAGGCGGGTCCCGCCGCGCCGCGGGAGCGCCGCCGCCGCCGCCCGGTTTCCTGCTCCGCCCCTGGAGCGCGGCGGGCGGGACGCGGCGGCGCTGCCGGACGGCGGGCACTGGGAAAGAGCGGCTGGTGTTTAACCTTCCCCGCCACCTGCCCGCTGCTCCTTGGCCGCGTTCAAAATCCCTGTTTCCTTGGTAGCGGCGTGCGTAGCTCCTGCCCTTCGCTGCGTGTCCTGCTTTCCTGCGTCAGGAGAGCTGCTCCCAGCGGGAATGGGGAATGTGGGCCTGTCGCTACGTAACCGTGAGAGTGACTTCTGTTCCACTGCATGAAGCTAAATTTAAGCCCTCCGAGAGGCAAAGCACTACACGCTATTTAATTCCATGCTTTATTTAGAAGATAGGAGCCCTTCCTTGGGAGAAGCAAAAATAGTGGCCTGTAATCAGTGAGAACATTAAACAATTTCAGAAGTTTTCCTCAATATTATCTAATATTGTTCTAAATATGTCTAAAATATATTTTAAGCGTTGAAGATTAAAAGACTTATCATTAACTGGTTGGGTTTTTCTGCTTATTAAGCAGAAAAGCTTTAGCATAGCCTGCTCCTACTTATGTAGTTATCCACTGGACTACATGATAGGCAAGGTGTCTGCTAATGCCTTTCCAAACAATTCCATGGGCTGCATGTGGGTGTTAATGTCTTTGAAATAGTTCCTAATGTCTCTACCAACTTCAAGCCCCAGGCTTGTTAGAGCCTAGACAATTTGACTCCTGAAACAGACAGTGGGTCCATGCACAAGCCTTAGTTTCTGAACTTTAGGGGAAAATGACATGTTTAAGGAGGAAATATGTGGTAGGCAGTTCAGGAAGGCTAAAGAGTGCAACATGTGACTGGGAGTTTATAACAGGCATGTGCCCCAGTGAACACTCTCCCTTTATTCGAATTTGAAGGACTCCTCTGTCTCCTTTGTGGACGCTGGCTTTCCATAGTGTGGCTTTTCTGCTCACATGGGGGCTTTCCAGGGTCCTTCCACTGTCTGGCACATGGCAGGAGGAACTGGAGTCACACCTCACCCAGTTTTTAGGTGACCAACTCCCTTTGGCACTGGCCAGCACCAGGCAATTGATGGGGTTCCCAAGACTGTCCAGGAGACCGACGAGAGGTGGACCAGGGAGGTCTGTGAAGAGTCCACAGGAAAGGACCACTGGAAATTTCACTGCTGAGTACAATGGTTCAAAACAGAATCCTCAAAGCAAAACACCATGCCTTTCAGTCATCTAGAATTCAACAAATAAGCAAAGCAACATGTCATGGTGCTTTAATATTCTTTGTAGTTTTCACCAGTGCTTTATTGGGAAGTGAACTGCAATGCAATTACACTATTCATTAGCCTTTGGTTACACTACACATTATTTGATAGCCGCATAACTGAAGAAGTTTGGTGCTGCTCAAACCAGAGTAAGACAAGGCAGAGGGTTTTTTATAATTTGTGTAACACATGGAAATGCTACATGTGTTCCTGCTGCTCACAGGTATGTACTATGAGCTATTGTTTTGGGAGGGCAGATCAAATGTCTAGTAGTAGGAAACTTGTTTCAGATACTCTTTTTCATTAATTTCCTAAGGCAGAACATACAGAGCATTTAAGTAAAACATGCCCCAAGCTTCTACTGAAAACAAAAATTATGAGCAAGTTGTTCCTAGTGTTGAAAGAGACAAGGGTCACTGTGAGTTAGCAACTATGAGACCTCTTCTCTTGGCAGTCAATCAGCAGTCAGAAGCTGAGCTGAAAGACTGAATTCTTTCTGCTGTACAGATTTATCCCCTCTGTAAACTTTCTTTTTCCAAGACTGCTTAAGGCTGCTCCTTAAAAGAGTTTTGTTTGGAATAATATAAGTAAGATTATGACTTTTATAAGCATGCTACTACTCCAGTCAGAATTAGCCTGAAATTTTATTTTCTAGTATATGAGATGGGACATGAAGCCTTCAGGATCTTCTGACTTCATAAAAAAATATACTGAAGTTTCTTTTTGCCTCCTCATTGATGCTCGTCAGTAGTAACACAGTAGTTGTTGTCGTTGCTACTTTAAATCCAATCAGTGTGAGATGCAGTGAGCTTCTGGTAACAAATCTTTTGACAGTGTTTATTGAAATATTAACATAATGAATGTTCAAGAGGAGAATCTGTGTAAGTGCTCTTCCAGAAAATGATTCAGTATTCCTAACTGGAAAGAATTTGCAGTGGAATCACAGGACAAGAGAAAAGGAATCCAGGTGAGGTCCCAGGGGATAGTTTTGGAGCAGACTCTAAACATGACTGATTCATCTCTATTAAGCAAATTTCATAAACATCTGTTACAGATTTTCTCCAGGAATCTGAAAGTGGGTCTCTCTTATACTTCACTAGCACTAAGTGAGAGTCACCATGTGGTTAGGATTCAAAATTTCAATCCAGTAGCCATCAGGATCCTGAACAAATGCAAGTCCTTTCATTTTACCTATTAGGGAAAAAAAAAAAAAGACAAAATTAAGACTACATGACTGTTTCTAATGTAGTGTTTCTAATGTCAAATTGTCAAATATAACTAACTTGAAAAATATTTTTCCTTTTGCATGAGAATTAGTTCAAATTTAGACAGATAATTCTAAAAACATCCAGATTAGTTTTTAATTTGCATTAGATCTCTGTATGCAAAACTGTCAATCCTAATCTCAATAAAGCTGTAGTTAAAAGTCACTTCAGAATTCCATCTTTTGTTGATTGAAATTTTTTGCATGGACCCTGTAACTGTTCATCCTCAAAATTCAGGAAAATATTTTTGTGCTCTGGGGATGTTTTGATATATGTTCTTGAACTGCCTTTGCTGGTATAAAATCCTGTGTTCCTCTGACCTCTTCATTTCCCATCATTCCTGACTCCACACTGAAATTTTGCCATAGAATTGTTACCTCTGACATGATTTACAGTACACTTCTGCATCAATTCATAAAGCAAAGAAATGCAGGATAGGATTGTTATAAATGTTACTGTTGGAAAACATATTATTCCTTAAAACAGGGTCCCCAAAAGTTGTTTTCAACAGTAGATCAGGATAGCACAGCTTAACATGTTATCTTTGAAGTGTTAACCACACACTTGTAGTATACTTGCTCCATGAAGTTGTGTACTGTAACAGACCCAGCGTAGCTCCTAATATATTCTAGTCACAAAAACAACTGAGAAACAGATGTTTGATCAGTAAGGCAGGAAAATAAACGCCATGCTTGATCTCCCAGCCTGCTCTGCAAACAATGTGAAGCCAAAAACTCCCTCCTCCTCCTCCTTGGCATTTGCTGCATCAATTTTCTTTCTGAATTTTAAAAAAGAGCTTTTGCTCTGCCCCCACCCTTTGTCTGCTTCAAGAGTTCTTTCTTGTGATTCCCTCCATTTATAGTCTAAGCTTGTTCTTCTATGTACTTTAATTCCTACCACTGCACAGCTCTTAAGTCAGCAACTCTCATTTCAAGCCTCTCATCGTTTAACAGACAAATTTAAAAAGGCTCAGAAACTCTAAAATGCTAGAAATACCAAGATCTATTCTTAATTCAAGAAATCAAGTTAAGTTTTCAGCTATACTTCTTATTTTGCTTCAGCTGAGAACACAGTGAATAACATGAAAATCACTTAAATCTCTTTTCAATTACTAGTATTACATGTCTGTTTTTGAATGCATCAATCCTAAAGATCTCATGAGGTCTTTTCATGAAAGAGAATCCAACTGAAAAATGCAAGACCTCTCACCACTTCTGCATTTTGCAATACTTTTCACATACACATTCTTTGCTTATATACTCTCTAGATATTTGTGCTATACGTTATGCAAGTCCATTATGAAAAAGACTAACGGGGCTATTCCTACCAAAGCTCAAAGAACAGTTAAAAATATAATAACTAGTAGGTTGTATAGTAGGTGTTAGGTAGATTTACATTAAAATGGCCAGAAAAGTCAAGAATGACTCAGTTTAAATGAGTGGGAACTATGTTTTCTGACTTTTTTTCCCAAGACAAGAACCAAGCAGATGTGCCATGTGAATTTTTTCCATGTTACATTGAATTCTGTAACGACTCTAGGCAGCAGTATACATGACATGTAAACTATGACACCAAGAGAGAATGTGAATGTTACTGAAGGTCAGGCTGCATATAGAAGGTACGTAGCAGACTGATGTATTATTATATGGATCTATTGCCACTTTTGCCCACTCTAGAAGGCACTCCAGGGGTAACTGCTTCTAGAAAGCTCTAAGCAGTGGCAACTCCTAGCAACACATGACCCAGCTTTCCAGGAAGATCTCATAGAGAGACTATATTAAAATCAAAGAAAAAAAATTACTTGCATTTCTGATCAAGACTTACCATCATCTGGTTTCTTCACAAATTTCACTCCTAGCTCTTCAAACCTCTTACAAGCTTTATAGACATCAGGAACAGCAATTCCGATGTGTCCTGTGCAAGAAGGTAAAAAGGGTGAAATGCATTATAAATATTGCTGAGTGTTCTGTGAAAGAAGTTAGTTTAGTATTTCATGCTGTAGTTCACATAAGGTGTGACTGTATTTAAGAAAGAATTCCAGAAAGAGCATTTTGGGTATTAACATTATTCTTTAAACAGTTGTCTTTTGATAATGTCTTTTAATTATGAAAGTTAGAGTTGAAGTATCTTGTGTTGTTTAGAAAAGATCTTTATTTAGAACAGGAAAAAATAAGATTTTCAATCAAACTGTTGTATCAGTATGTTCTTCCTTGAAGTGCAGCTCCATAACAGGATTTTGTTGTATTTGCTCTGTTTAACAGCACATGGAGTTTATCATTAATGCTGTTTTTGAAGAGACTGACACTAGTGCTATGCAAGGACTGAGCTTACAAATCACTTCAGGAGCTTTAAATGTCAGGTGGCTGGACCAAGTGTGAAAACTTATTTCACAGCAGTGACCTTTCAAGCACTCAGAGTATCAAATCAAGCCACACAAATAATATCCTCAGTGCTACAAACCAACGGAATTGTCCTTCTACCTTACAATCATTAACTAGTGGATTATACAGCAGATATCCAAGATTAAATCAGTTCAAGCACCATGATAATCTAATACACAACCACAACTGATGTTCTTCACTCAGTAGTTACAATTAGCATGTGTTTGCTTGCCAAAGGATTAGATTCTTGATAAAGAATGTAACAATGGCTCACTACTCTGAAACACACTGCTTCATTTATTTTCATCATCCTTCAGAGTATACATGTTGAAAGAAGAGACATAAAGGATGAAAGGCAAGTTCCCTATTTTCCAAGAGTTAGTACATTTTATTTCAAAACTTAAAAACTATAAACACAAGACTAAAGACCTACCAAATCCTCGGGGATCTGAATTGCCATTGTGGTAAGACTGACTGTCATCATTTTCAGTGCCCCAGTTGCTGTAAGAAGTAATTATTACATATTGAAGAAAAGCATTAAAATTAATTAATCCTAAATGTTCAGTTTCCTTGGGGAGGGTAAGTTGTTGCTCCTAAAAAACCAGAGAATTTCAACTGTTTGCTGCCTTCATTAAACTGCGAAGATCCTCCCTAGTCATGGGCTCCAGGGATGGTCTTGGGACTAATCCAGTCATGTTCACATTCCTTCACAATTATTTAGGCTCTACATTTGAATGAGTCAGGAATACTCCTGTCTCATTCAGATTAGAGAGGTTTTGTTGCACAGATCAGTTGAACTACCCATCAATGGGGAACAGCAAGTGAGGGTAGCAGGTCCTGCAGTTAAGTGAAACAGCATTTGGGAGATTGTGTCTGCACAATTATAATGATTAGCAGCATTAACCAAATTGTCCTGTTTACAGGAAGCACATGTTTTGACTTAATACTCCTTCAGATTAGATTCCAAATGCAACAGTTACCCATTATTAGCTGCTTTGGGGATCCAAAGAAAGGTCCCTAAATTACGTACCCAGATAGCATGCATATAAAATATACCAAGTACTCTTTCATATTAATGTACATCTAGCAGTTTGAAAGAGCTCTGCAAGAGGAAGATTAACCTTTCCAAGTATCCAGTCTCGGATGTATTTCAAGTTTCTATGACAGTGAAGATGTATCCACAGTAATCATTAAATTCTTATTCAATCTAATGGGATTTACACTAATCCAATACTGTTTAATCACTGTTAGCAAAGTATCATCTCTATTAAGAAAGGTCCCTAAATTACGTACTCAGCATGCATATAAAATACACCAAGTACTCTTTCATATTAATGTACACCTAGCAGTTTGAAAGAGCTCTGCAAGAGGAAGATTAACCTTTCCAAGTATCCAATCTCGGATGTATTTCAAGTTTCTACGACAGTGAAGATGTATCCACAGTAATCATTAAATTCTTATTCAATCTAATGGGATTTACACTAATCCAATACTGTTTAATCACTGTTAGCAAAGTGTCATCTCTATGTAAATACTTACTGTGTCAGTTCAAGTGTAGCTTTTCTAGAGAAGGTCCAAGGTGTTCTCTCAGCTTTATCTTTCGGGATATCATTTTTATCTTCATACCCCAGGAAAAAGAGTGAGAACTTCATAGTAGGAAAGTCAAATTTTTGAAGCAGTCTAAAGGGCAATATTAGTTTGAAATAGTAACTTAAAAGGGTAGTCAGGTAGCTTGTAAATAAACCAAGATGCTTCCCCCATAGAAAAGTTATTTCCATGAATTTTTGTTCTTCTATAATCCACACCTTAAAATAGCTACATTTTAAAATATCAAATAAAAATACTCCAGAACACATTACAAACCTAAAAAATTTAAAATAATCAGATGTTTAAAAACCAAACTACCAGTAACTGAATAGAAAAGTCAGTACAAAGGCTTGGACATTCAGATTGTCACGCTGTTACTTGACTGTGTTTTCATAGGAAAATCTTTAACCACTTTCAAATTTCACCAAGGAGTAACAGTATCTACTTTGAATTTTACTCAATCTAGAGAGCTCACTGGTACCAGACAAAGTGTAAGAACACAGCAAACATTTAAATGAAATACATTTACAGTTTCAATAGCCACCTATAAGGATAAAATCCCTTTCAGATATGACAATTTAATAAATTAAAAATACACGAAGCATACATTTTATGTAGGACATTTAACTGGAAAAAGTAGGCATGCAAAATTAATCTTATTTCTTTTTTACAAGGCATTTTTTGTTTTCACACATTTTCGCTACAGTGGAAGTAATTTATTTTACTTTACTCTGCACTCATATCAAGATGTTTACAAACAAAACAGTATTTTGTTTTGAAATAACTCAATTACTAAGAATGCACAAAAAGCCCCAGCATAAACGTGTTAAGCTACTGCATGGCATCTGCCTTCCAAAAGCCCTCTCGAAAAGACTGAGCCTGGACTTTGTCTTCATCCTTTATTGATTTATTCTCATGTGACTGGAGGTAGTCATAAGCCACCTCTGAGAGCTAGCAGAAAAGAATTAATTTCATGATTTTTAACAATGACTCCTCATTATAAGCACAGTAATAAAAGTTACCAGTTAGCTGCAGGCTCAGTGAAGAGGAAGTAAGCAAGTTGTACCCTGATAATTAATGACCTATTTAAGAAAAAAAGAAATTTCTAGTCAAGGCCAATATTAGTTCATTTGCAGCTTAGGCAGCTACAGCTTACTGCCAGAACATCCAACTAAGCATCAGCTGATGGGACAGCATTGTTATGTGGTTAGACCAATTAGTAGAATTACATTAAAAAAAAATTATTTTCAGAAGAACAGAAAAAACCCCCAAACTTATCACAGCATACAAATTCTACTCACGTCATTCCAAGTACCCTTGTATAAAAATCCAATGATTTCTTAGGATCCTTTACTCTTAACATTGTCTGCTGAAATATAAAATCCTGTGGGGAAAAAAGGTTTATACTTTATACATCAGGCAGAATTGAATTATGGGTATTAACAAAGATGCCAGTTACTAACAAGTCTGAAACCTGGAGGTTCAGAAGTAACAAAGAGAATTACTTCAAGTGCAAATAAAACTTTTTGTCCTAATTCTATACATACAAATTTGTGTTAAATACATACATCTTTGTAATGTAATGTTTAAAATAAATAAACAATCCCATGAGTGGTATCATTCAATATGTATTATCAGATGCATCAAAATAGAGCATCCTTACATTTATTATTCTTTTATGGAGCTGTAGCATACATCAACAACTGCACACACAAGTGCAACAGCCACATGAATATTCAATATTGAGCCTCCTAGACTCCTGAGCTCATTACTTATATTATTTCATGGCACAGGTATTGAACATCTGTCAAACTGGATTATATCTTGGCAGCAAAACCAGCCTACCACTCTGTAAGGATATTTTCTTTAAGTCCCAAGGTAACTATATAACAAGAGCCTTGTGAACGATCAAGGGGATAAAAAGTGAATGGTGTAATAGTTGACAGAGGTAACGGGAAAAAAAAAAATTCAACTACTGTGTTCTCCTAATAAAAAGTAAAAAGGTTTGGGGCATTTTGACGGATTTTTCTGTGCCGCCCGGGCCGGGACCGGCCGAAGCGCCCGGAGCGCTCGCTCAGAGCCGGGACAGCCGCGGGCCCGGCCGAGTGCGCCCCGCGGGGTTCAGGGGCTCACAGCGACCGGCCGGCCCGGCCGCCCCTGCCCACGACCCCGAACCCCGCAGGGCTGCCCGGCAGACAGGCACCAGGGCAGCGCCGGGCCCGGCCACACTTCGCTGCCCCGCGGGGCCCGGCCCGGCCCCATGCCGGCTCCCACGCCCCGCACGTCCGCCCGCTGCGGCGCCGTGAGGCGAACGGGGAGGAGCGGGCGCCACAGCCCCGGGCGCGCCGTCACCCCAACCGGCCCACCTTGGTGCTGGCATCCGGCTCCGAGCAGGCAGCGTAGGCTGCCTCGTCCGTGAGCCCGCTGGGTTCCGCGGGGGCCGCCATGTCGGGAGAGGAGGAGGAGGAGGAAGGGGAGGAGGAGGAGACGGGAAGGCGGTGCTGCGCCCCGCTGCGCCCCACGGCACCAGCCGCTCCGTCGCAAGGATGCCCGAGGAGTCTTGCAGAGGTGTGGGATCAGATCGAGGTCTGCCAGTCATCCCTACTTCACAGCGAGCCCCCGAAGCTCTGAATCAAGCTTTTAAATTTTTGTTTTTCCGCTAGTCAGTAGTTTTATCTGCACAGTTATGATTAAACAACTACATTGTCAACGTCGTCTGCTTGGCTGATCTTCTGTTTTAAGGAAAAGAGGAAGCAATCCTAAAATGAATGGGCTGTCTGGACTAGAGCCACCAAGAGTGAAGTCAGCAAAACTGAGCAGTAAGTGGGAAAAAATAATCCCAGCAATGGGCAATCGTGACTGCTGACTCATTGACCACCCACTCAAAACGGAGCCTGGACTCAAATGGAAGAAAGAATTGGACTAATTATCATCAGAAGTGAGAGCAAACTAGCAAATAAGGAGTTGAGCACTAATTGATAGCAAGATTATGTAATTTGTAACTAATGAATGCTGATGCTTTTGTTTGTTGAAATTTATAAGTATTGTAAAGTTTTGATTATTTTGAGCATTTTGTGTATTACCACCTAGCTCCCTACTTGGAGCAAACTAGAATAAAAAATAGAAATACCTTGCCTCAATGTGTGAATTGATGCTGCACAGGTAACGAGCCTGTGTTCAGGACAACACAAGGACCAAAGGGAAGGAACTTCCCTGACTGTGGCTTTACTTAGCTGAAATGTGGCATGAAAGCGAGGATCTCCTATGGTGACCTGATGATGCATCCCTCCAGTTGCCACCGGGAGGCCAAGTACCACACCAGTGCCAGAGCAGACACAGCTGATAACCCAGCTCCTCTGGGATGGTGGTGCTTTATGTAAATCCCGGCAGTTGCGGGCTCTTTGGGAATCCTGGCCTTCTTTAGTGTTGACAGTTGTTAGTGTTGGCTGTTTTGGAATCACGGCAGCCTGGGTTTAGTGTTGATTTCTGCTTTTGCCTCCAGGTGCTGGGAAAAGATTTCAAGTAGCATTTGTCACAGAATTGCAGAATTGAGCAGATTGGAACGTACCACAGTGGATCTGTTCCTATTTCCCTGCTCACGCAGTGTTATCCCAGAGTACATTGTGTCCAGATGGTTTTTGAATATCTTCAGGAAGGGACACTCCACAACCTTTCTGAGCAATTTGTTCCAGGGCTCAGTCACTCTCACATTAAGAACTTTCTCATATTCTGGTGGAACTTCCTGTGCATCCCTTTTTGTCTTTTATCCCTTATCCCATTGCTTGGCACTCCAGAGAAGAGCCTGGAATCATCCTCTTGGCAAGCCCATCTGACCCCCCTTTATTTATACACTTTGATGAGGCCCTCTTTCAGACGTCTCTTCACCCTCTGGAGTTACACGTTGTCCTTTAGTATAAAAATATAATTTCAGGCCCAATGTGAAGGATAATATTTCTATCAAAGACACAGAATGAAAACCAGGACTGAATACCCTGTGTGGGGAAAAGAATTAAAACTCCACACGAATTAAAACTCCATCGAAAGCAAAGCACTTCGGCAGCGCCGAGCTCACTCTGCGTTACTCGGGTAACTTCCACAGGCGCATTTACCCACACGGCCCGCGCGGCCAAGCGGTTCCCAGGCACACGAGCTCTCTACGGTGGAATGGCCGTTCGGGCTTTGGGGGCCGGATTCGGGCCGGCCGTGCGCGGGCCGGCCGTGCGCAGCGCCCTCGGAGCCCCGCGGCTGCCGGGGGCGTTGGAGCGGCCGGCCCGAGCCCGGCCCGCAGCGGTTACGGGCTCCCGGTACCGGCCCGGCCGCTCCGTCCGCTCCGCCCGCTGAGGGGGCTCGGGGAGCCGGCCCTGTGAGGAAACACAGCTCCGGCCAGGTCGGCGAGGGTCTTGGCCCGCGTCTGTCTCTCTCATCATCCCAAATTGCATGCCAAAGCTGAAGTGCAGGCTAAGGCAGCTCAGCTTTTCAGAAGAGAGCCGCAAGGCTGTATTCTCAATACTCGGGAACCCTCCACTTCTTCTTCCCTCTCATTCTCCTTCAGCCCTAAGATGATACATGCTGGAAGCCAGACCTACTTTCCTTGAATGAACAGTTCCTGTAGAGAAGGTTTGGGGCATCCTGGAGGGAAGGAAAGGAGGTTTTGACATAAAAGCATGTTTGTTATTCCAGCCGGGAGAAAGGGGCAGATAGAGCTCACATAGGTTTTTGAAAGTGTGAGACTCGCACCTGGACCGCCAGGTATCTTGAATATAGGTTTTGGAGAGCCAGGGACAATGCAGCCTTTATGAGTTTTTTAAAGAAAGCTGCGAGAACCCCAGCTCTCTCATCTTGTGCTTTAGGGGAAAGTATCAGCTAAAAGCGAACCAGTTAAATGGCAGGGAAATGAGCATCCAACATATTCCACTGGAGTGGAATGATCAAGGAGGAAAGTACCACTGCTAACCTTGTAGATGACCAAGCCAGTCATAGAAACATGAAGAAAAAGAAATAAATATAATTAATTTACATTTCACTTGGGGTTTTTTTGTGACTTTCCTAAATTTTTTTGCCTTTTTTTTTTTTTTGGTGGTGCATTTGCTTCAAGAAACAGATGAACACTTTCTGTAGCAGGTGATTGCATGCCTAAAAACATCAGCAAATTTTTCACCTATTACATGGGCAAAAATAAGGAGCAAGTAATGCACAACCAGGTGTTGCTTTTCAAGTGTTGCTTTTCATGTCTTGCTCTTTGAGTTTTCATTTCCCAAATCAGATAATAATGGCTAAGAGAGTGTATAACACTGTTACAGCAGTAGGAGGCTGCTCTTAGGCCTCATAATAACTGTTTCTTGGTAGTTATCTTGATACTTATTGTAATTGTACACTGAACAGAATAGCAATTTCTGTGTATGCAAGTCTTTTCTAAGTTGCTGAATTTAGGTATATATTTTAGAAACCACAATGAAATATGTTATTTCTGTTTGAAGCCATTTCTCAGTAATCAGATATGCACTGAAATTATTTTTATTTTAAAACATATTTATTTTATAGAGATGCATTCACTCCACAAAACGCACATGTATGAAAAATTGTTTATAAAAAATATCTTGATCCTTATCTTGACATTTGTAACCTATCATAAAAATGTATATAATATCTGATATTTTAAGAACTGGAAGAAGATTTGATGAGGCTATTAAATTTATATACCTGGAAAGTCAGATTTGCGATGCTCCCGTCTTCTGCGAAAAGTAGACTTGAAATGTCTGGATTGTTATAAACATGATCTTCTCTTTTCAAATTTCAGATTTTAGAATGGCAGGGGTACGAAAAAATTCTAAAAAAGGTTCAGCTACTGCAGAGGAAGTAGCCAGATTTTCTCAAACGGCTCAACGTTTAGGGAGCCTTTCCTCTTCGTCTCGTTCTTTTGGAAGTCAAAGTTTTTCTAAGATTTACCGCCCTAGTGGAGTTCCGAGCGTGCAAAGCCACAAAGCAAGAAAGGTTATAAGTTTCTGATTCTTTCCTCAGAATATTAAATTCAGTTTATATTAATCATTAGTTTAAATCTTTTATTTATTTATTTTATTTTTGTTTAGACTCAGTTATTTTACTAAATTATTTCTGGCAGAAAGTATTTTTTCCCATGTTTGTAATATTTTAAAATTTTTAAGTAATAGAAGTCAGAAGCAGGAGATATTAGCTGAATAATTTACATAGAAGCAAAGCTGTATTCAGCTTAGTTCCTGCAAATATTTACCCACGCTAGCTACTTTTTTTTTAAATGGCTGTTTAACCTTTTTGTATTAATTTAATAAATTGAAATTTTGATAGTGAACAAGGAAGCCAGTTAAGGTCACATAAAAATCTTAAAATCTGACTGTAATATTCTTAATGTTTGTTTTCCTTGACATATCCTCAGATTTGACTTCACATCTTATAATAATACTTAATAATTTGTTCTTCTCTTAGACTCTGAAAATTTAGATATTTCTAAAATTAGGGCATTTTGCAGCTGTAAATACAAGACAGTAGATTTTAGCATTAGTTGCAAGTTAAGTAGAAGGTAATTGTTGTGATCACTTAATTTATTTTTAGCTTGAAAGTCTTGCTTTATGTTTTAGATTCAATATGAAAAAGCAAGAGAAGATCGAAGAGCAAAAGTTAATGCTTCATATAAATACATATTTGAAGTTCTCAGTGCCAGTGTAGGCTTAGACTTAACAACTGTGGAGGAAATGATATTGGACGTCCCTTCGGTGAGTCTGTTCTGTATGCCTGTTTATTTAAATTTTTATTTAAAATATGTAGCGGATTACCCCTTTGATAGAAAGTTATCCATCATTTTGATTGTTTCTGCCAGAAAATGTGATTACTAAGGCACACAATCATCTAAAACGATACCTGACTAAATCTTTCAGCTGAGTTTCCCGGCAGATTTGCAAATATCCCCAATTTTTGATTGTGGCTTTTTCATCTTTCTTACCTCAAGAAAAATATAAATACTGCTGTTATTTTGATTGAAGGGTTTCTTTTCACATCTACCAGTTCCAAACAGTTTCATCCATCTCAGACTGACTTTATTATCTTCTAATTATGATCACTTTTGTTTGTTAGGCAAGTTCTCAATGAAATTATAGGATTGTGCAAAAGTGTAACTTACGGGAGCATTTTGAAAATTGGCATGTTGTTAGTGATAAGAAGGAAGATTAATCTTGCACCTTTAAATATTATGGAAATATTTGAAAGACCCACTAAGAAATTTCAGTTTTGAGTGCTTTATTTATGTTTGGATGTTTAAAAGATTGGGTTAAGTGGGTTTGCAGAGTGTATAGATCTCAAATCTATGGAAATTCTGAAAGCTTTCATTATTTTTGTGTGTTTAGTGTTGTCTTTCATGATGTTTCAAAGTGATTAAACAAACAGGAGGAAACCGTTAAACTGTACTTTTAATAGATTATTAAAACTCAGTATGGCTGTTGTGAAAAGACACGACTCAACTTCCCTGATTACATTTTTGTTATTTGGCTGTTGTTGCACCTGATTGATGTTACTTTTGCTGTAAAGAGATATTTGACTTAGCATTTAAAACTCAGCCAGATAGTCTCTCCTTTGATGAAACAAGTTAATTCTTAGAATTTGAGTTTTACAATTAAAAGCCAAATTTAGCCTTAATCCAAATGTGTTTAGATTGCATTTGTTTATTGATATTTTTATATAATAAAATGTACTTAGCCTCATTTGTTTGTTTTTTTCTGCTTACACAACAGAGAGGTGTGCAAAGTATTGCCCCTTTTTTACATTTCCTAAATGATACATAGTTTGAAATCATTCTGATTTAATGTGAAACTGCTGTTCTACACCAAGTTTGACTAATCCCAGCACTTGAGAAATTGAGAAACTTTGGGTTCTTGAGGGATTTTTTTGTATTTGGTTTTGGTCTGGAGTTTTTCTGTTTGTTTATTTTTTTTTGGGGTTTGGTTGCGTTGGGGGTTTTTTTAGCTGTCACCAGGATCACCTGAAAAATTATTGTGGTTGAATATTTTCCTGCTCCCAGTTTTACTTTATTTATAAACAGTTTAGGCTGTTGGGGCTGTTTCAACATTGTCCCTCACCAAATTGTCATTTAATAAATTCCCATAAACATATGATTTGATAGCCATGAGTTAGCTTTTGCCCTCTAAAGTGCTAGCCTGCATATATATTCACACAGTGGGTGTGAGAACCACATGGACTTCAAACAGCAGAATTATTCTTTGCAGAATCAGTAGCTGTGGGAACAGTTCACATCTTACGTTCTGTGTAGAATCATACTAGCCTCAAAGTTACTGTTTGTTCTCCTTTTCTTCACAAGCTGGAGTTCTTCTTGTAGTAGTGAATTTTTTCCTGCTTTTTGTCACTGCATTTCAGCACTTTGACAATTCTTTCCTTCATTATTTTGAGGGTGTCTCTTTTTAATGATTTTTTCTCTGCTTTAACCTTATTATTCACTAGTGCTGTTAACAAAAATGAAATGCACTTCTAGAGCTGGCTTGCTTTTACTTCTTTTATTTTCATGCAATATCTTCTCACAAGAGTGGCTTTAAGTTCCATCAACCTGGGTGTCACTCATTTTCCCATCACTGTTCTGATTCAGCTTTAATATTTGTTTATTTGGGGGAAAAATCCATGTTCGTAAGAAATATACCACAGCTAGAAGTGTATCCTTTGTATCCTGAACAGGTGATGCATTTCCACACATGCTTGCTAAACTTACGACCTTTTTTATTTTTTATGAGGAAGAAACCACTACCATGGCTGAGTCCTTCAGCTGGACACTTCCTATCTTCTCACAATATTTGGGGATAAACACTGGGGATAAACATTTGGGGATAAGCAGTGTCAACAAAACTTTAAACAGTAGCATGGTCAAATTAGTTTTGCACTTCTTAAAGGCACATAAAAATATTTTGAGTAACACATATTCACTCTTTGATTTAACAGTTCGATGCCTTTGATTCGTTTTTTGCCAAGGGAGGAAGAAAATCACTGAAAATTTTTTATCAAGAAGGAGATCCACGAGGAATAGGTAAATGTTTAGGAATAATAATACAAGCACATGTAACAGTGCATTCTATTGTTCATTTAGTCTGAGGTTTCTCAGAATAAAATCTGCTTTTGCTTGTTCAGAATTTTTTAAGCTTTTGCTCTGAGGACTGAAAATTTGTATTTTAAATGCTTGCTTCAAGTCAAATTGTTTAGGAAAAACAAAATCTCAATTTTAGCCATTCCTGGAAGAAAGACTATAAAGTGTTATTTTGAAGTACTGAATTGGTTGTGACTTTTTCATACGTGAGTTTTGCCCAGAGTTCATTAGAAAGCACTTCCATAAAATCTGTCTCTGAATTTTCATTTATTATAAATATTTGAAATTTTTCACATTTCACGTGTGGTAGAGAATTAGAATGTAATATCTGAAATCACTAATGATTCACTAATTACTGCAAATATTGTTCTGTTACTTATTTATATTGAGCTATCAAATTGCATAGGAATATATCTGCAGAGGACGTGAGGCCATCTCGAAGTCTCTCTTTTCTCACTTAGACCTGACATCTTTTATGGTAGGATAAATGAAAATAAAGTATCTTAGTCACCAGCAAATTGTTTCAGAACTATGGGCCTGAGCAAATTCCCTTTTCAGTGCATTACAATGCACCCAAATATGTTTGTAAGATACATGTTATATGTTTAGTGTAGTTTTGTAATCGTGTAATTAATTACAGTGTAGTTTTGTAATCGTGTAATTAATTACAGTTAGAAATGATAGTGGTTTTTGTTTTCTGATAAAAGAAGAAAATAAATTATTTATATGTTCAATTTTATTTCCTTATATTGATTTTAAGCATTTTATAATACCCTCATTTTAAAATAGAGTCATACCTATGAAATTCCTTTTCAGAGTGTGGTCGGATAATTCCAGATGTTGAACAAGGAAATAAAATTTTTCAATTTTATTTGGAGAAGACACCGGACAAAATCATGGGACTATGCTTCTATTTCATTCGCTATAAGAATGACACATCCATAAATGATAAAACTATACATGAGGTACTCTCTCATTTATTTTAACAAATAAAAACTTTAAAAACAGCTATTTTTTGTTTCATTATTTTTTTCACAGTTGTCACATAACTAAAATTAGTGGTAACTTTTTTGCTCTCCATTTTGGGTAAACAACAAATAGCTGTATCACCTCATCAAATACTTGTGAATTTAGTGTCCTACAGGGTTCTTGTTAAAGAAATAAACATTAATTTCTCATTCTCCTCGATATTTTTCAAATGGTCAAAGCTGTTAAGTATATTTTAATTGTGATCAAAATCCCTAAGCTACAAGGAAACACTGAGAAGACTTTATTGCAAATACCAGGAGACAAAAAGTTTACCTGTACCTTTTAATGTGTTTTGATAAATAAAATACAAAATTAACATTTACCCTGTGTAAATTATGTGACGTGTGATTTTCTGCTTTACAAGACAAATTCTTATATAAGTGTGGGCTTCGTTACTGTTCATAGCTACATGTCTTAGCATTTGGGCAGTGCTTAAGGGACTGTAAATTGATAACAAATAGTTTCACATATGTATCTTGTAATTAGTATTATTTCAAATTCTTCAGACAGAAAATCCATTATTATTTTACATGCTTTGTATTTTATATTAAAATATTCCATTCCTTTTGAGACCCAAGGAGGTGAAGGAGAATAAACACTATCAAAATTATGATACAAGTTCTGTCTTTTTCAAGGGCCTCAGTATTGGTCATAAATATCACTTTTGCATCAAATACCTTCCCAATTAATTCCAAATGCTGAAGGGATAAGGAAAGAAAATTTATATTCTAAGAAGTTTGTTACATGATGTATGTTAATACTTGCTTATTTTAAGGACATTTTAAATACTGGAATATTAGAAATAGTCAGACCTTCTAAAGTTTTGTTTTGGAGAGTAGGAAAAAAAGTAACTTGATTCAAAATAATATATATTTAATCAGATAATTGCTTCTTATATAATTTCAGATAAGGACATTCAGAGAGTTTTTTCCTACTTGCAATTAATGAATTAGTCCCTAATTGTGGGTGAGGGCATTTTTCTACCATTTCAGAATTTCCAAACTTTGTGTGATAGACTGATGTAACAAAAACATAACTAGACAGCTTTTTTAAACTGTATTAAATAATTGTTGACTTCTTTTTTTATTGAAAGTACTATCTTATGGGCACAATGTAGGTATGTTATATAATGATTTTCTCTCCTTAAAGTTTTGTTTGGCATATTGGAGTGCTTTTATAAAAATACATAGAACTTATAATACTGTTTCTAGTGTAAGCTGCTGCTTTGATAACAATAATATTTTTACACTGCAGGAAATTTCCTTTGGTGTTTTGGATGCCACTGATGGACTCCTACCTGGTATTAAAGATGTAATAGAAAAGGTTTTTCTCCCTGCTATCCTTGAAACAAGTAATTGGGGTGATTTAGGTCAGTCCAAAGAGGATACAAAAGACAAGCAGAATTTTGTGGAAACAATTAAGAAATACATTTCATTTTTAGGAGGTAAGCATTGCATTTAGGAAACAAACTAGAGGGATTCTGCTTAAGGATTTCTGTTTAAAGGTAGTGGTAGTGCATAGATAAGGAACTTCTCACATTCTGCAAGGAAAAATAAAATTATCCATTACTTGCATAATATATACATGGGTGGATTATTTTCTTAAGAAAATAGTCACACATTGCTTTTAAGGAGTATCACTGCATTTAAAATCAGATATTTCTGCTTTATGTGAGTGCAGTAAATTGCTATTCTATCAAAGAAACCCTGACTGCAGATGTATATTTTCAAATTTAAATTGCTTTGACTGGTGGAAATTTATTTAAAGTCTTAACTGTACTTGGTATTGTACTTGCCTTTTTCTCAGGTGCTGCAGCATGCATTGAAGGAACAGTTGAGTTGAAAAAAATAGATCACATTAATTTTTCTGAACTCCAGACCTTTGATAAAATAACTGCAGCTGCTGACAATTATGACACAGTTAACCAGCTAGAGGAAGTACTTATGATATGGTATAAACAAATTGAACATGTAAGTTGCTGTTTTAATGCATCAATTCAGCATGAATATGGATGGATATTTATAAATTATGTGTGAGAATTGCCTGAAGTTTGCCAAAGGCTTCAGCTGCATCTTCACCCAAATTAAGAGAAGCGCTCTGCTTCTATGCACAAGGGAAGTGGATAGTCCTTATGCCTAGGAATTTACAGTCTAGGGAGAATAAGAGTTTCTGAACACTTAATTCACAAATAGTAAGAAGATAACAGAGAGTTGCAGGACTAATAACACTGATGAGGACCACGTATGTATATGTATAGAGCATACCTAGTTGTACATTACCTGTTAAGTTTCTGCTGCCACTTGTGGTGGGAAGTACTGCTCTTATCAATGTTTTTGAGCAGGACCAGCAGGGCATATTTTATCCTGTGTAAGTCTTGCATGGTAAGGTCTCAGTTATCCAAGATGCTAGTGTCTGAGACTTCCATGAAAAAGAGAGAATCCTTCATCAAAATATGAATCTGTGTAGGCAGGGACATACTCTCCTTAGAAGGCATACTATAGCTAGTGTGTTTCGCTACAAGAATAAAAATGTCAAAGACATGTAAAAAGAGCTGACTGCACATTTATCAACATACAAATGGATACATTTATGACTGATATCTAATACTTTTATTAAACTTATTCTTGAAGTTCTGGACAAGTGAAATTACATTTGGTGCATTTCAATCCACAGATTCTGATTAAAGGCTTATCTGTATATTCTGATATTCACCCAGGGTATGACAGCAATTGAACATATATATTAATTGCCTTAATTTCAGTTTGAGAATATAATTAAGTGCAATTCAGACTTAGAAAGCTTTTCCAAATGGGAATAATTTTCATGTGTCAGTAACTGCAAGCTTGTTCCTTTCTAAGTGAGTTTCTCAAGAGTGTTTCTTCTCTATAATGACTTGTCTATTTGCTGTAGTAGACATTTGATTTTTTTTTTTTCAATTGGGTTGCAGGTCCTGATTGAGAGCAAACAGCTAAGGAGAGAAGCTAAGGATTCAGGTCCACTGATGGAATTGGAGAACTGGAAATACATGTCTGCTAAACTGAACTTTATTATCGAACAGATCAAAGGACAAAACTGTAAAGCTGTTGTCAATGTTCTGAAAGTTGCACACTCTAAAATACTAAAGGTAATATTTTTTTTCTTTTTTATGTTTTTTTTTTTTTTTACTATAAAGGTTATTGTTTCCTTGTTTGTTTTTATTTAATCTAAGAGAGATTTGCCAAGGAGGATTAGAAGGGGAAAATTTAGATCTGTTGCTGGTGTGCTGAGTCTGTCCAGACAAAGAACAAGACATTTCAGGGATACAGCCAAAAGTGAACATAAAATACATTATATGTGTAATAAATACAATAAATTAACTTTTATTGTCTGCTTTGTCAATGCCTCTTTAAAATTCTTTTACCAAAGTTTACTTCTGGAGAGTGAGTGCAAGTTAAAGAAATAGTTCACTATGTACAAAGTTCACTATGTATGAAGTTGTTCACAGTACTCTTTTCCCACTAGTCGTGGCAAGAATTAGATGGCAAAATCACAGATGCAGCAAATGAATCGAAGGATAATGTGAGATACCTAAGGACACTTGAAAAAGTTTGTCAGCCCCTTTATACCACTGATGTTGTAAGTATGCTTTTCACCATTCTTTATGCATAGTTTAGGTATTTACATAGAAATTCCAGAGCAAAATAAAGTTTGTCTTCCTTATATTTACTTTAAAGTATTTTTTTCTAATTTACATTTCTAGTTTTCCTGATTTTTTTCTAAAAGCTTCTCAAGCTAAATGTTGAAGCATTATTTTATTATATATTTCATAAATATAGTATTTGAAATATGTATTTAGTAAATAAACATAAATACATATGATTGTCTAATAAGTTAGTCCTGCTGCTGGTGTTATTTTTAAAAGCAATTAAACCAGCTACATATTTCATAATACGAAAATCTCCAAATTATGTCTTCCCCTGAAAATGCCATATGTGTCAACGATCACATAACTGTAACCAAAGTACCAACATTTCAGTTATATAGAAAATAATAAAACCTTACAAGGTCCTAAATGGGCAAAACGTTTTTTTAATATAGAGTACATTATTATTTGCTTCTGTTTGCAGAAGTACCTGCCAGTCAGAATTTAGACAATTGGTTATCCAGGTACACCATTCAGTGGCAGTTCAAGATATTTGTTATTTGGTATAATAACTATGAATTATTATAAAGGTGTATTTGCCTAATGATTGTTGCAGAATAGGATGAAAGGAGTAAATACCCTAGAAAAATAGTGCTCATTCTTCATTGGTTTTGAGTCCTTCATGTTTTGGTCCTATATGCCTCCAGCCCTCTGTCAGGAAGTGTTGCATTTCTCTTGAATCTCTGGCAGCTTAGGATCCTACTACAAAGTTGTAACTGAGGGCAAGGAAAAGGACTTTGGTATGACGTAGAGCTCATATTGCATGGAATAGTATAAGAGGCAAGTATGATAAGCAGTGTCACTAAGCTGTTTATCTTCAGCTCTTTAAGGTACCACTAAAGGGTGCCAGGTACCAGGCCATAGTGATGAACTATATCCATGGATGTTATGAAGATAAAATTATTTGTATCACAAAGACAGACATTAGTGGGTGCAAACCCGTTGAAGAGTTCATAATTTTACTAATACAGGATGGTTAATTGGAGTTCTCTGTTTAGACACAGTCCAATATTCAGGGTTTTATTTTTTGTCAAGGATTGAAAAAGAAAACCTGTAGACCCAGAATCTCCTGATTCCATTTCAGGAGTGGTATTGGTGATGAACAATATGGACACAGATGGTTGTTTTGTACTATATAGCATTTATTTCACACTCTTGCTAAATGCAAATGCCTTCTATGTCTATTCACAGTAGGAGTTTGAGTTTGCAACTCAAATTTAATTACAGGAGCTTGGCTTCTCCATTGAGGGGTGACAGTCAAAATTACTTTCCTGATGTTCTGAATTGTAACTTTGACAACTCCCTGATAATGTTAATGAATTATAATGTTTTATCTTTTCTTTTTCTTTTTTTTTTTTCCTGCCAAAATACTTTGGAAGTGTTTAAGCTACTGAGTGTTTGTAATGACACAGTATGATTTTAACAATGTGAACATTGATTTCAGAAAATATGTGAAAGATTTAGATGTTTGATGTGATGCTTGAAAGAATTAGGCATTTGTTAATGAAACTAACATTGTGACAATTAATTAATGAGATTTCTGAAGTGTCTAAATGAAACATTTTATATTAAGATTGTTATCACAATGAAAGTACATTAGCAGCCTTACCTGAAGGAAAACAAAAACATCCACCACAGAAAAGTGCCGTCAGAAAAATACTTCCAATTGCACCAAAAACTGGAACCTTTACATTTTGAATCAATGTTCAGTTTTGTTCATCAAAATAGAATATTAAAATTATTTTATCTTGTAAAGTCTTTAATCTGATTTCTTAGCCAATGATCAAACTTAGCCATTTATTGTTCTTGTAAGTTGATGTTTGAAATCTTATTGAGCATGGTTAGTTGTTTTTAATAAGAAAACTTTTGGTAAGATGCCATGACATTTTAAAGATTGATTCATGTGACTTAGGGAAATACGTAATTTAGAAGTTGACAATAGAATGGAAATATAGTTGCTAAGAATATGAAGTAATTTTTTTTCTTGAAACTCTGCTTTGAGGTATTAATGACACGGGGATTACCATACTTGATAAAGACTGTACAAATGATTCACCGTGTTTCAAAATATTACAATACTTCTGAGAGAATTACATCATTACTTATAAAGGTAAGTAGTTTTTTCTCAGCTTGGATGACCTAATGGCAGATGGCCATCAATCTGACTAGGCTGTTCCTCCAAAAAGTGAGAAAGATAAAACATTCCTGTTTTCCGAAGCAAGTCATACTTGAAAAGTTAATTGAATTTCAGATAATAAACTTTCCCTCCTTAAAGAGAAAATTAAAACTGGTTATGTGTTTATACCAATGTCTTTTGCAGAATCCAGGTATTCACTGCACTGTACAATGATTTTATAGCAAAGAAATCCTTCCTAACTAAACCACACACCTGCAGTAAGCATTCAGGGAAATTCACAGTACACCCTCATTACACAGACACACATTTTTTGTTTCTTTATACCACAGGGTTCAGCATAAAATTTTGTTACATTTTAATTTGAACTAGGATATTTAGAAGTATGTGCTCTTTTGAATCTGTATCTATTAATGGCTATGGCTATTTTCTATATATCACATTATGTAAATACTACCTGTCATATAATGGTTCTTTTTACATTTGTATATTGACTTTTGCTACTGTCTATTATTTAATGTTTTAAGGGAGTGCGTATTTCACTACAGAGGCTAATAACAATCTGGTTATATGAAGCTATGCTTGAAATAGCAAGGAAACATCTATATTTTAATAGGGTTTAAGGTCCCTATTTACTGTTTGTTTCCACTTAATGATCATCAGAAGTGACACTAGACGTCCTATGTCCAACTTTATCAGGAATTTTCTTAAAGTTTGAGGCTGCCTTTGGTATGGCAGTTTCCAGGCTTTTTTCAGCTAGGGGTACTTAAGTTGTGCTTTACAGTACCCTCACGTCAGTGTTGCCTTTTTCCCAGCCTGGAAATGAAACTCAAGATAATTTTAATAAGGAGGTAATATAAAAGAGGATCTTTAATGAAGGCGTCAGAGGCAGTTATGGAAAAATGTCCGCAATAGCCCACCCCTGCAAGGATGAGTACACATTTGTAGGTTTTAGGAAATTAGCATAATTGATAAAAAGCACCAATTAGGAATACAAATGGTGTTGCAATTTTCCTCCAGGTCAAGCCCCTTCTCTGGAGTTCCCCTTTCAGCACTAGCTGTGCTTTGTCCATGAGAATGCATCTCAGAGAGTTCTCAGCTTTGGTTCCCTGGTAGAACCAAGATAGTGCTGGGGCCTTGTACCTCCCAGGGCTTGGAGCTCTGGAATTTGTTTTGTCTTTCTGCCATGAGAAAGGCCATGGAAAAGCACTGGAAAAACTAGCTACTAATACAATACATGACAGAGTTACAAATATATGTGCAAAGAATACAGAGGACATATAAAAGAAAAAAGGCAAAACCCAAACAACACCATCAAGAGAATTGTTTTGAATTGTTCATATTATTTAATAAACACAAAAATTGTCTACCTGTAGTATGTCTTCTGTATTTGCACATACTCCTCTCTCCGCTTCTGTCATTACTAACTTTGGATTTTTGTTGTTGAGAAGTAGAATTTTTTTTCCTTTTTATAGCCACAGGAAATCAAGGTAAACCATACTGCTGGGATACAAAATTCTTTAAGAGCAGTCCTTAAATAAGTGCTGCAAGTGTAAAGACAACAATGTAAGTGAAGAATAGTTGGAATTCAATAAATTCTTTTTGTTCTTGAATTTTCATTGATGACATTCTGTGTTTATGTATTGCTGACATATTACAAATATGTCCTGGGACTTGCATATACTTCTGGGAGTGTTCTCAGAGTTTTTATAGGGTGTTTGTTGTATATATTGCACATATTTTTTAGCCACTATTATTTCCACAAGTGAATTCCAAATCTGATAGTATTGACACATGTATATGAGAATTTTATTAGATTTTGTAAAACAGGAAAGTTTACTGTCAAGCGTAAAATTACTGTTAAACTTTTTTCATTTGTCTGTCCTAGGTTACAAACCAAATGGTCACATCATGTAAAGCATACATTACAGATGCTGGCTTGAATGGAGTCTGGGATCAGGAGACACCAGTAGTCATTGGAAAAATCAATGTTTGTATTTTGGCATTTTATTATTTACATGTCAAACCTATTGATTACCTATTGATATCATAAGGAAGTCCACATCAATATGTATCAAGTGCTTCACACCTCTTCGCTTTTTTATTTAATGATGCTTTGAATGTTTTCCCAACTTGTAGCCCATGGGCATTATTGTAATTACAATAGCTTCATCGTTATCAGTGTGGTCTCTCACGGACCTTGGAATTGGCATCTTTGCTTTATGTGCAACCAAGGAATTAATATTGCACATTTTTCCATCTTGAGGAAGAGGGGCTATGGAGGAGGGTATAGCTCTGATATGGTACCATCTTCCTCTACCCTGGAAAGTCTGGTGTTTGAATAGACCCTGACTTTGTAACAGTGGTTCCTTTCCATACAAGATTTCATTGGCATAACATGAAAAGTCAGTGTTAAGACAGTCTTCCTCTTCTTCATCTGATGGTGACCTATTAAGAACAAATTAAGCGAATGCAATTTGCTATGGCAAAATGTGTGCAGCTATGGGAATACTGGTTGCCAATGTCTACTTCATTTCCACCTTCTCTTTTTCTGGACCTCATTTACTGAGTTCCTATCTTCCCCAAAAGGCATAGAATACAGAGGAAGAATCACTTCCCTAGTCCTGCTGACCACACTATTGTTCATAGAGGCCAGGATGCCGCTGGCCTTCTTGGCCATGTGAGCACACTGCTGGCTCGTGTTCAGTCTGCCATCAACCAGTACCCCCAGGTCCCTTTCTGCCTGGCCACTGTCCCCAGCCTGTAGTGCTGCAGGGGGTTTTTGTGACCAAAGTGCAGGACACAGCATTTGGTCTTGTTAAACACCAAATTGCTGGATTCAGCCCATTTATCCAGCCTGTCCAGGTCCCTCTGCAGAGCCCTCCTACCCTCCAGCAGATCGACACTGACACCCACATCTGCAAATCAGCTGATGGTGGGCTCAGTCCCCTTATCCAGATCATCAGTGAAGATGTTAAACAAGACTGGGCCCAGCGCTGATCCCTGGGGGCACCAGTAGTGACTGGCTGCCAACTGGATGCATCACCATTCACCACCACTCTCTGGTTCACTGTGCTCTTCTGCTGTATGTTCGTTCATATGTTGCAAACACTTTCTTCAGATAATGAAAAAAACCCACTGTGTTTAAGTTGTTGTTGCCTTTTGGCTGAAACCAGATTAACTGATAACTAATGGCTTTGGAATGTCAATAGGTTTGAGTACTCATAAGCATAGCATAATGAATATGGTATTTATTCCTTCACTTTTTAGGAATGCATACATCTCTTGAGAGAATATCAGAAATGCTTCCATGAAGCTAGGCAAGAGACTTCGGAAAATCTAGGAGGAAAGCCATTGGAAGTATCAGAAGTGTACATTTTTGGAAAATCTGAAGCTTTTTGTAGGAGATTGGAAAAAGTGAGTATATTGGGTGCTGTTGTTACTTGTAAAGAAGAAGCGTTTCTCCAAAGAACAGTTTACAAAATGGATGCTTGCCAACATACATTCTCTTAAATCATCTTTTAAAGGAGTCTGTAACTCTCTATTAAAATAATTTAGGCACTTCCACAGATTAAGGCATCCCAATGATTGACTATATTACCTCACAATTGCCTTCTCAATGTGTCAATTTATCTCTTTTAGTATGGAGAGAAATAACCTGATCAATCTAGACTCAGATAATTATTTTAAGAGGCTTAAAATTATGTGAAAAATAAAACACTTTTTTTTTTTTTTTTAAAATCACATTAAAAACTCATGTTTACTGCCAAGCACAATTCTTCAGATGATTCTGCTGCTTGGTGTCATCTTAACATTTAGCTTGCTAATGCAGTGAAGGAATTTTAAACTAACATTCTTCAGTGGAAAAGGTAATAGATACTTCTTGGTACAGAATAAGGTCAGACAAGGGATAAAATGATAATCATCACAAGATAAGAATTCTGTGAGTCTTTGGTGTACTTTTTCATCACTCAATATGCATACTAATCTGTAGGGTTGGGTTTTTTTATTCTTTGATATATCTTTTTGTCGTAAGCATGCCATGTTTTAACTCCTTTTCCATATTATCCTATTGGATCTAGCAGTAAAACATAAAAAACCCTCTTTATCAGTGAGAAAAACACAGATTTTTTTCATTTGTGTTGAGTTGTGGTGATAACTGATGTTGAAAACTGAATTAACCATGTTTCAAGTATTGAAGCTACTTGACTCAGAAACAATGCAGTAGCTAGAGGAGTGGTTGTTGAATATTTTATTTTACTTAGGTTTTAGGTTATAGAGGAAATAACAAAGAATTCATTATGAGCATGAATATAATATCTTTATTTCAGATAATGGAGATGATAGCTGTAGAACAGAATTTTAATGCACTAACTCATTGTGCAATTGAAGGTCTAGATCTTATGGCAGTAAAATTCAAAAATATCTACCACATTTTTCAAAAGAAACCATATGACACCCTTGATCCACATGTAACAGAATTTGATGTGGATTTTGTGAAATTCAAGTCAGAAGTTGAACGTTTAGAGGTAAGTAATATTTTGACTTATTATAACTTACTTGGGAAGGAATCTATGGAACTGCTTGTCAGTGAGACTTTGGATTGTGAATCGGCTACATTGTTCTTTCAAACAGCATGGAGTTTGTGTTTGTCTGGAGGGAGGCTTTTTCCACTCCTTCTCCTTTCAAAGAAAGGTGTGAAATATATCAAACAGTGCTCAAGGATGATTTTCACTCTGTGGCCAAAATGACAAAAATTGTGAGACCTGAGAGAATTTTCTATGTGAAAGTAATTTATCAGCCTGAAGAAATGTGGTCAGATTTTGGGTAGAATAAATTTGCAACTAATTTGTTTATTTCATTGAATTGTATGACTTTTTAGAGATTATTTGACTGAAACTAGCTATTTAATTATTATATTAAGCATGGCCTGATTAAAGCTGCTATTTTGTGCTGTAAGTGTGCTTTAAATAACAATTTCAAATGCTGCTATGTTAAGAAAATATTGTCAAAGTACTATTCTCTGACCTGAAAACCCACACTGAATTATGTATTCTTTAGACACAGCTACAGAATTTTATGCGTACCTGTTTTCGGAAAATTTTGTCTTCACAGAATTCACTTCAGTTACTTCAAAGGTATTGCCACCTAAGTTTTAAAATATTTTAAAGTAACTTGAAATTACTGATTAGCACAATTTAAACAGCCCAGGAAATTTTAAAACAAAGGGCCTAACTGAGAATTTTTCATTACTGATATTCTGAAGCCCATAATCATGTTAAAATGTTTTATCTTTCTTATGGGAATCAATATATTATTTTTCTTAATTTCATTAGAATATTTTTCTACACAAGAAGATACTAAAGGAAAAGCCTAAGACATACTAAGCAATAACTACCAAAATACCCACCAGGGCAGAAATTTTCAACTTGTTTAAACTTCCTCAAAGAAAAAAGTTTTCCAGATTCAAAATAATTTCCTAGATTTTTGCTTATTTCACTTTATGTAATGTTTATATATCCCAAAATAAATTAAAACAGTTATTATTTTAGAAATGTCATTTTGGGTACCAATTTTTAATACAGGTTTCAAAGTCTGAATATGCCATGCCTTCAAGAAGAAACTGCACATACAGTTAGTTGTATTCTTCAACATTATGTAGCAGAACTCGAAGCTACTAAAAAGGTATTTAATTTCTTTCCAGTAAGTTGTAAACATCATGTTAAAACAGGAGCAAACATTTTAATAAAAATTTTTTTTTTCTGCCTCTTTCACTAATTTACTCCTAATTCTCAATTTATCCTACTTCTGTTTTCCTGTTACAAAAAACAGGCCTTAGTGGGTGGGCAGCACAATATGCACAACCGCTCTTGAAGACAAATTTTTCATCACAATTTTACTTTATAAACCAAAATATTTTCTGTTATTCCTTCATAAATTAAATTTAAAGAAGCATGTTCTTTACTGGCTGCGTACATTGCTTGCTTGTACCTTTCGGATTTTTTTATTAAATGAGGTTCTGCAGTTAATTTGCATTTATAAGTAGTTACTGTCAATTGCTGTGGCAGCATAAAATACATGTAAATATAGGCAAATTGCATTTATGTTCATTATGAAGTAATTTTTCATGGTTTTTGTAGTGCACCCTGACTGAGGTGTAAATGAGAATTAAGTTCTGGCAACTGCTCATATCACTTGAATGTAAACTATTACTTTGTCCGTAAAATAAACATCTGCATCAGAATTAGATGTCCAAACTCCCTTTCTACAAAAGAAAGAAAGAAAGAATTACTCTAGAGTGAGTTAATCTGATCAATTTTATATAGTGTCCTGAGGATTTAAATAATTCCCTCCAAATGACCATTTTTCTTCTATGAATATAAATGGAATCTGGAAAACCAGATTGTTGAAAAGGGTTTTTTGCGATGTTTACATTTTGTAAGATCAATGATAGAAGTTTGCACAAGGAGCCAATATCTATAAACTCTGCAGTTATTAGAAAATTTTTCCTCCAAACAGTGACTTAAAACTGTAGCCTAGCAGAGCTGCTCTGAACCATTCTTTACAGTGTCCTTTCCCTACCTACACACTGTATATAACAATCCCTGGACCCCTAATTACGGGTTTAACTAGATGAACAGATTCTTAGCAACACTGCTTGCTTAAAAAAAAAATCATGTATCCCACCCTTATCTGTGTTTTCCCAGGCAAGAAAATAATAAGTACATTTACTGAGAGGGTTTCATCCAGGTCAGTTCCTCTCAAGGTCATTGTGAAGCTACTTGGATTTCTTTGGTTGGGGCCACCGGAGACAAGTTTGGGCCAAGACATTCTAGTTATTGAGGAGTTGTGTCATCACAGCCTGAGTTCACATGCCTAAAGTTGGGTGTCTCCAAATATTCTTTTTTTCTGTTAAAGAACACGTCTTGATTCTGCTGACCAGTTTTAACTATTTATTCAATATTACTAAATTGTGTTTTATCTTTGACAAGCAAGTTATTTTTAATAAAAAGTTGCTCCAACTGCAATGCTGGTTCTAAAGTGATTGAATACTTTGTCATTGCAAATTTTGTACAGTATAAATTTAAGCCGTTTTGTTTTGTTTTAATGCAGCCATTCACTGAGCAGGGGACATGTTTTTCATCTCGGACACAGATAAAAGTGTGGACCGTGTGTCCAGGAGTATCTACATGCATTTTGGTTTGAAGTTAGTAGAAAAATGCATGTCATAGAATGCTAAATTATCCTGATTTGGAAGGGACCCACAAGAATAATTAAGTCCAAATCCTGTAATGTTATCTAATAGTCAGATATGTGTGTCTGAAGAACAGTGTTGATGTTTCTATTCAGGAGAAAGCTCTCAGTTAACAATCTAGCTTGGGCCTCTTCTAAGGCCAGTTCCAAGCGAAGGAGGAAAAGTCCCACAGGGGTGGGACTGATCTCCTGATACCACTTCCTTAAACAGCTTGCTTTCACAGCAGATGGCTTCCAAGTTCAGGTGTCAGACTTGATCCTGAATGCTGGCTGCTCCACCCCAGGGTTCACAATGCCTTTTAGTGTACTCAGGACTCTGTAATAAACACACAGAGAAACAGCAGAGCGGAGAAACAGCATGAAATGATGGAGACTGGAGATGTACCAGCGTTGATATGTGGGCATCTTTGAAGGGTACCAAGTCAGGGGAAAAATACATTTTTCTCTCCATGAGCTGTTGTGTGACTCCATGCAGATTTAATCTGTGTGGGAGGAGGATGAAATTCTGCTACAATAGAAAACAGTTTAGCATTTCAATAGATTTTTTTAATACATGTGTTTAATGATATTGTTCTTGCTGTAGCTATACCAAACCCAGAAAGATGACCCTCCTCTAGCTCGAAACATGCCACCTATTGCAGGAAAGATACTGTGGGTGAGACAGCTATTCAGAAGGGTAAATGATCCAATCAGCTATTTCCATGTAAGTTGATGTGCTGAAAAATTAGGTGTTATGTGTAACAGTGAACTGTCTTCAGTAGAGTGACTTCATAAAATTTCTGGCTATGATTGCAACATTTGTTGTATGCTAAGCAAAATTTTTCTTTGTATGTTTATACTACTCTGCAGTTTGCCTTGTAGATCCAAGATGTAGTGTTGGAATAGAACAGACTAGACTATTTCAGTTGAAAATAACCTTGAAGAATCCTTAAAATGTTTGAGTGATTCTCCTACAAAGTATCTAGGGTCTCATGCCAAGTTAACTTCTATGTGAGAGAGGTTTTCACTTTCCTGTTTCCCTTAGATGGGAATAATAATAATCTAAATCTGTTCCAAGGAAAACAGACATAAATTGCATCACTGATTAAAAAAGGAAACTTGTAAAATAAATTTTCAGTTATTCAATTTTGAGTAGAACTGAGTATCCATTTCACTGTGAATTGTAGGTATTTATGACAATATATTAAAGTAATTGCTCTTACTGATGTTAAATATTTAGTATTTATTCCTTACAAGTTCTTACTGACTTTATTGTCCTGTAAATTTGAATCATAAATATTTGATACAGTTTTTAAGAACTCTGTCAGTATAATTCATAGTATTAACCTACACTATGTATAGACAATAGTTAAATTGAGGAAAACCCAAGTGGTATGGGTGGTTTTGGATATAGTTTTAGTTTCAATGTACTGTGTTTTAACAGAAACATTCAGATATCTTGGCAAGTCCAGAAGGTAAAGCAGTTGTTCAGTCATACAACAAACTTGCATATGTATTGGTGGAGTTCGAGGTAGTCTATCATAATGCGTGGATGAAGGAAATGTCACAAATACAATACCGTAAGTAATTAAATATGTACTTGCTTCTTTAAATTGCTGTTCAATAGTAAGTTAACATAAATCAAATCAGAATATTTGTTAGGCCTCATCTACCCTTAAAATGTGCAAGTAAAGCATGATCCAATTATCAGACTTAGTAATACAATCTCAGTGCTTTACTGACCTTGATACTTGGCGTCGATGCAGAGGATTGCACATTTGGTACACTGTTTGACAGATAACTGCTAAACATTAGTGACGAAAATTTAAGACACAGATAACTGTGGTATTTAAATTCTCTATGTGTACTATTTAATAATTATTTCTGGGGTTTTTTTCCAGTATAATAATTCATAAATTTGTGTTGCCCCAGTACCTCTAAGGACAAATATTACCAAATGCCTAGAAATGTTTGATAGTCAGGCATTGTGTTTCCTGGTACATAGAGAACTAATTTCATGATTTTTTTAACTTGGGCTGAGAAAAATTATGACACAAATAATACTGGATCTGAGACTTGTTTAGTTTATGAAGAGAAAGGCAGAAAGTTAATATGATGGAAGTTGTGTATTTTCTTTAACTGAAAATAACATGAAGCTATTTCACAAGTAACTCTACATACTTAATCACTATATTGTAACATTAGAAATATGGACTTCATAATAATTTATCGAATTTAAACAATTGCTTGTCTTAAATACTGATACTAGAATGTCTTTACAGTCTTACAATCCACGATACTTGTACGTCATCCTACAACTGAGAAGTTCCTAGTTAATTTTGATCCCCAAATTCTAGAGATTGTGCGAGAGACAAAATGTATGTTAAAGTTGGGTCTGGAAGTACCAGAGCAAGCAGTCAAACTAGCAATAATGGAAGATAAATTGAAGTCAAACAAGTTGCAGTTAGAGGTAAACTTGAAAAGTATCGTGATTGCTGTTTAAAAAAATTTAAATGGAATTGTGTTTAAACATGGATTTTTTTTCTATAGCTAAAGATTAAAGTTGGGTAAGAGGTAGTTTAAGGCAAATTTGTAGAATGCACAGATGGATATAGAAAATCTCATTTGAAAACCCCCTGCTAAGTCCTATGTGGGCTGATAGATACTTAAATATAAGAATATGTACTTCATATACCCAATGGCACACTAAGTATACTTAAATAATTTAAGCTATACAAATAGTTTTCACAGTCTGAAAATCAGTAAAATGCGGAGGTTTAGAGTTGTTGAGAAGAAATATTGAAGTTAGTCTGGTTTGGAATATATGGTGAGCCAGAGAAATGTGAAGAATTTTGCAGGTTATCTGCAACAGAAGTTACATTTGTTATACCTATTGTAGTCTCCACTATGGAGTTATTTCAAGAACCTGTATCTTGGGGAGCCTGTGTCTTGTGCATCATACAAGACTTTTCTCTGTGTGTGTGCGCGTATGGCATAAGAGAAGAGGATATTTTAAAACTGAGTTCATACCTGACTTAAGCATCTAAAAAATATGATACTCAATATTAAGAGGGTATTGCAAGGTATGGTCACTAAAGATCAAGCTGTCTTTAGTTCTAGAAAGTTCATTCTTCTTCTGGCTTTGTGCCTTAAGGAAGAGTTACACAAAGGTGGCTTTCATTCCTCCTTCTACACCATGATACAAATTCATTACATCCCAAAAATGCTGTTCATAGGTATGTAATGTCTGTGTAAAATTCTACATTTGTTTTCAAATACAGCATTGTGCAGCTTTCAATATCTTTTTTTAGATTATTTGATTGTATGACAGATTGTTTTCTTGAGTAAAGAAATGTTTTAAATATTCTGCTTGATACAACCCTTTCTAATAATCAACAGGATGTTGTCCAAGCTTATGAAGATTTGTGTAAAGGAACACGAAATGTGTTTGTAAATCTGATGACACCAAAAATACAAAAGGTTAGTATTGCTGCATGAACTTCAGTATACCTCATAAGATCTTAAAATAACTTTATAATAATTTGTAATTTTGAAATATTTAGATAGATCTGCATGTTTTGAGCTTAATGGATTTTACTGAGACCTTTAAGACTAAAAATTTGTTGTTTGGATCCTTCATACAGTTCTCAAATTATGTGCTTTACACTCAAATATTCTTAGTGCCTATAAGACAGAAGACCAGTAGAACAAAAAATATGGTCTTTGAGGTCTATCTATCTCCACAGATCTCTGGCTTTAACATGGAAATTAGCTCAGAGGGAATTATTAGCTTTGTAAATTGAGTCTCTTCAGTGGTGTAGAATGCTACACTGTGATGTTTTATGCTACACTAAAAGTACAGTTTTATTGGAGACACAGAATGTCTGTCCCACAAGCCATTTTGTTTTGTCAGACATTTACAAGTGTACGTATATGAATGTTTTAAGTAACCCTCCCCATTTTGGTTGTAAGTAGTCACACCAAAAAATTGCAGAGTATGTGTAAGTTTGTATAACTACAAAGTTGGACAGAAGTGTGGGAAACTAAAAATCTTAGGCTGTAGTATGCACTACCCTCCCCTTCATTTCTATTGCATAAATTTCTTTGACCTTTTTTGTTGGAAACTTGTAACCTCTCTTGCACACCACTCTGATTTATAAGCAGGGTTGTGAATATAATAATAGAACTTGTTTTAATTGTTTTCTCTTGTGGGGTTTGTTTGTTTTTGTGGTTTTTTTATAATTTATTAAATGGTATCTTTATTCTTAGATGGAAGGTGTGTTGAGGCAAGGACTTACCATGTTGACTTGGTCATCTGTGACACTGGAAACTTTCTTTCAAGAAGCTGATCAAGTTCTGCATGTATATAGACAGCTTTTGAGAAGGGTAAGCATTTGCTCACTATATAAATAAAACCAATACCTTACAGAAATTATTTCTAGGATGCTATGTTTCATATTCAAACATAATGTGCTTATTTTTGTACTATACATACAAATTTTATTGCTTTTTAAAAGAGATTCCTTTTCTTGGAGTAGGGATACACTCAATGATTCTCTCCTATTATTGCCATCATATATTTGATTTTTCCTTCTGTCTTCACTTCTTGTCTTCAGATTCTGCGGCTTTCAGTCTGATTTTTAGAGTCAATGCCTGTCTTTGAGTGTTTGTCCATGACTGCAGCTGCATAAAAGATACTTCTATGTAAAAACTGTTGAGTGGAGAACTTTGGAGCATTAACTCTATCCATAGCAGGCATGTTGTGAAATTGTGCCCTCTTTGTGCAACCCATAAAATAATGAAGGAGATAATGTTTTTTCCTCACAGTTCTCTGCATGCTGCTCTGTGCTCTTTTTTATCTCTTGGTATTCATCACATAATTTCTGAATTCATTTGATTCCATATTTAATATCTACATAAGTAATCTGGATGATGGGATCAAGTGTACCCTGACAAAGTTTGCTGATGACACCAAGCTAAATGGAAAAGTAGAAAGCCACCGGATAGGAAGACCTGAATAAGCATGAAGAGTGGGCTAGCAAGGACTTACAAAATTCAACAAGGACAAATGTAAAGTCTTGCACCTGGGCAAACATCATCCAAGAGTGTGGCATAGGCTGAGATCTACCTCATCTGGGCATCCTTGTGGATAACTAGTTCAGTGTGAGTGAACAGTGTGCTGCCCCAGTGAAGAAAGTCGGCAGGATGTTGGGTTGTATAAATAAGCAGTAATGACAAATAACCATCCTCCTCTGCTCGGTGCTGGCGAGGCCAAACCTGGAGCTGTATTCAGTTTTGGTCCCTGCTATACAGAAGACATTGGGAGAGGGTTCAGGGAAGGGCCATCCAGTGAAGAAAGTTGGCAGTGATGACAAATGACCATCCTCCTCTGCTCGGTGCTGGTGAGGCCAAACCTGGAACTATATTCAGTTTTGGTCCCTGCTATACAGAAGACATTTGGAGAGGGTTCAGGGAAGGGCCACAATGATGGTCAAAGGACTGGGAAGCCTGAAAAAATGACTAAAAGTTGAGAGAAATGTTTTTTTTTCAACCTTGATTAAAGAAGGCTTAGGGGAGACCTTATCATCGTGGTGTAATATTTGAAGATTGGCTGCGAAGAAGGTGGAGGGGCCACAATGATGATCAAAGGACTGGGAAGCCTGAAAAAATAACTAAAAGTTGAGAGAAATGTTTTTTTTCAGCCTTGATTAAAGAAGGCTTAGGGGAGACCTTATCATCGTGGTGTAATATTTGAAGATTGGCTGCGAAGAAGGTGGAGACTCCCTTTTTACAATGATTTACTTGGAAAATATGGGGGGTAATGGGTATAAGTTACTTGTGGAGAGTTACCAATTTGACACAAGAGGAAATATTTTTGCAGTGAGAACAGTCAGCCACTGAAATAATCTCCCACTGAAACCCCAGTGTTGGACAATTTTGAGAGTTGCTGGGCAATGTGCTGGGCTGTCTCGTCTAGGCTGTGCTTTTTCCAAGAAAAGTTGGACCAGATGATCCTTGAAGTCTTCTTTGAAGACATAGAACTATGATTCTATGATTTAACATGCTTGAGGACTAGTATTGGCTTAGTTTTTTCTCAAGACTTTAGCTTGACAGTCAGATTGCCCTTCTGGTTTGATGGTTAAACTGTGTGACTATTATCTTTTCTATGAATATTGTAAATTGTGTCTCCTTTGGTAGGAGATTGTAATGCTTGAGGACTAGTATTGGCTTGTTTTTTTCTCAAGACTTTAGCTTGACAGATTGCCCTTCTGGTTTGGTGGTTAAACTGTGTGACTATTATCTTTTCTATGAATATTGTAAATTGTGTCTCCTTTGGTAGGAGATTGTTAGTCACTGGTCAGTGTATCTAGTTCTTTTTATGCATGGCAGAAGATCATAATTATGAGCAATGCTCTGTTTGCCACTGAAACCCAAAGCAGGAAAAATATTTCTTTGTCAGAAATGAACAGTTTTGTAAGCCTGAGTATATCTAAAATAGCCATGTTTTTATGTAAAATTAGGTTGTATGCTTTTTTTTTTTTTTACTTCTCCCTCCCATATTAATTTAAAAAAATTAACCTTGGTTAGACTTTTGATTTTTGTGAATGGGGTATTATTGTGAAACAGGGAAAAAAGTGTTGTGAAATGGGAGCATGAGGTATATTGTGAAAAACAAGATGGAATATCACAGATGCAGACTACTTCAGACAAAAGATTAAAATATGGACAGAAGTAATTTTTACTTGGATTCTGCCATGGTGAAAAACAATTCAATGTGGTTGACTGTATACTAATAATGCTTCAGTTTAGAATTAAAAACCCAGCAAAAAACTGTGTTGACTAAAAGAAGGAGAAGGACTGAAGATTAGCCCATAAGCAACTTATAGTAAACCCCCCACTTGCCTTGCTGCTAGACTTGTGGTCAGTAAGATCATGAACAAGTATCCAATTATATTGATGTAGCTTGTTCTTTTATTTAATCTAGAAGCAGTGTACCTTTCATGACAGGAATGATCTAGAGTCTGACTTTTTGTTACTGCCTGTCTCCCTAAAACTGCAGTTAAAACAGCCAGGATTCTTTGGGAGTCTAGTAATTGTAAATAACCCTTAAGTTAACTCTTGTTATTAATCACTTGGAGAATTTTCTATTCTGTAACATTCTTGCATTTATTTTTCTGCAATACAGTTTTTACCTGTTAGAGCACTCTAAAATGAAATACATTATGCTTTAAATATAAGTGTATAATATTAATGTGGTTTTCTCTTTTTAGGTAACTGTTACAAGTGATGTGCGGATTGGTTCAATATTAAAAGAAATATCAAAAACTTCTTTAGTTAGCTTACCAGTAGATGGTGCTACCAAAATAGAGGATCTGTTGGCTGACAATGAGGTGTGTGCCACTTTACATCTTTCAACTTGAATTTTAGGGCATGCTAGAAAAAATGCCTAAGTAAATGAAAGTGAAACTAAAAAATTCTCTACGTGGAAATACAGAACTTTATTTGCAATTAAATTATTTTGGGTAAAATATTTTATATGAAGATATATTGGTTCTTTGGTATTTAAGATACTTAAGCTGTAGTATGTCATAGATAATCTTATTTAAGTGCTTTGTACTTTGGTGAGATTTTTGTGTATGAAGGACTTCAGAGATATATAGCCCTTCTTCTTCCCTATTTTTTCCAAATTGTTGTTCTTAAAGAGAAGGCAAAAAGTACTTTACAAGAAGTATATTTGAGAATCTGAAAGTTTTCTTATTACAAAATACTTATCAAATTAATTTCAACTAATTATCAAATTAAACTAAACTAATTATCAAATCAGTGCAAGTAAATAAAATTATTAAGGACAATTGGAACAGTGTTTGGGTAATTTCAGATTCAGAGCGTGACCTCTCTTCAATATTCAGGATTTTTTAAAGCACCTAAAAGTACTATTACATTTTAAAAACTGGGGTTTTTTAGGCATGAAAAATATAGTGATAATGTAGCAGAACTTTTTATAAATATAAAAGTATATTTTAATAAATATATATGTTTCATTGAAATGGTTTTGGTCTGATTAATACAATATTCAGAAAAATGTTTTGAATCTCAATGAAGATAAACAGTAATAAGATAATAACAGTGATAACTAAGACAATGCATTGATATTTTTATTTAACAGGATTATACTAAAGAATGTTCTGAGTTATTGAACATTAAAAGCATGCACATTGAAGATGCTGTTCAAGATCTCATAGATCTATTTGAAAAGAATTATGAATTTCCATCTGTTAAGACCTCAGAAGTACCAGGTAGTTAATGTTGCTTATTTAAATAAAAAGTTCTGTAGGCTTTAGCTAGTTTTTCTCAAAACTGATCTGTTTTAGGTAATTTGCCAAACAAATTTTCCTCCCACTACAATTTCATCTGTGTCACAGCTCTGCCTTCTTTAACCACTGCTAAATTAAACCACTAGTTTGTGAAGTACAGAGATAACTCAGTTGTGGTGGGGTTTCTAGAGTTAAAAGCTGTCCTTCTGTTTAGATCAGCAAAGTATTTGCTCTAGAGAAAGAACATTCAAGTTCCATTTCTATCAGTCGCTCATCATAACTCTCCCATGTCACATCTCCCCATCTGTAAGATCCACTGTTCCTCTCTTCTCAGCTCTGTCAGCTATTTGGTACTGTCCCTCTCTTTTAAACTTTCCTGCAGCAGTAGAATAATGTGCTTTTCTGGCTGGTCAGTTTAAATTAGTATAGTCAAAGGCTGGCACTTGAATGACTGGTTCCCACTTCTTTGGAGTGGCTTACAAAGATTTTAGAAGATCACATATTGTTGCAAGAGAAATAGTTTATATTCGGAGGAAAAAAATGTTTTAAGGAAAAATTTATTTTGAGGCTTAATCACTAATGAAGTTATTTTCTTTCATGGGATTTTTTCCTTCTGGGTTCAGGTTTCTCCAGCTATAGAGCATAGGCAGGGTCAGTACTACAGGTGGTTCAATAGGATGCAAGCAGAAAATGATGACACAAAAGTAATTCTCTGTCCTGTGTTAAATTGTTTATGCTTGTTTTGATTTTTTGGTCATTTTCACTGATATATTAATGTCTGCCTATCCATCTTTAGTAACAGATCGGTAGTGTTTGCTAAGCTAAGGCTTATAGGCTGGACTCTAAACTGCATTCCTGGTGTGGAAAGTGTCATGAAATAAAACAAATTTTTGGTGATTCAGGTATTACTAAATAAAAGTCAATATTGGTTTGCCTCTAATGAGGGGACAGCATGCCTTCAAGCAGAATATTTATATAATAATAACTTTATATTTTTTTAAATTTACAGGAAAAGAAAAACGTATAGCATTTGAAGGTAAAGAAAAGGAGAAAGAAAAAACTCCTGCTGAAGGATCTCAAAGTGAAGATAGCAAGAGCAGTGATAAAGAAGAAGAGTTTAAAAAGGTAAATTATATAGGAAAATAAGGAAATAATTTTTAGACCAATTGGGTTAGTAAAGAGGATCTTGAGTTTTGGTAGCTGCATATCTGTGTTACAGAAAGACATCACATGGACAGTATCAAATGTATTGTAGAAATTATGAGATAGCTTACCTGAAAGGTGCATTTAAGATGGATTTTAGCTTTCACAAGTATATTGCATGTTACTCCAATTATCACCTTTATTAAACAAATTCTTGACACGAGTGGTAAGTGTAAAAATTGGAGACAATAATGTGCCTGAGCCATAACACAGACTTTCCTTCTTGGGTAGACAGGATCTTTCATCCTTTCTATCCTCTTCCAACTTCATCAACAAAGATTGGCTTTGTACTTTTCCTATGAAGAATGCAATTTCTTCATGTTCAGCAGAGAATGAAAGTAGAAGTAAAGAACAAGGACTATCAAACTTGGAAGTACAAATACAATAATGCTGCAATGTTGCAGTTTTTACAGATAGTGATCATTTAATGTTGTCATGTTTTAATATTCTTAATCCAGTTGCATTTTACTGTATTTGTCTCTTATTCATAAATAAGTACATGTGCACCAATATTCTTGAATAATTCATGGTTTAGTTTTGTGGCTTGGTTTTCTGTTTGTTCTTTTTTTAATATGCAAAGCTTTTCTGAAGGACCATATTTCAAACAGATGTCAGTATTCTGTATCTGAATAAGACAAGTTGTTTCTTCACATACTGTATTCTCTTTTCCATGCAGCTTTTACTTACTTAGGTACTTACAACCCCCCAACTTCTCACTTTGTGTTTTTCATGTAGCTTACAGCATAAATTCCTTCTGACAAAATCTATTATGTTTGACTTACAATGTTTTGGCAATAATTTTCAGGTTCCTATGTGAACATGATGCTAAATAATGTACGGTTTATTTATTACAGAACTGTAAAGACTTACTTGCCTATTTCAGTCGCCGGCTGCTAATCAGTCTCCAGAAAGCAACCCGACTGTCTTTGGATCGTATTAAAAGAAGAATGAGTGTTCCAATGTAAGCTGCAAATGAAGGATTCTCTCAGTAGTATGCACTCTTTATGAATTCTTCATGATAATGGCAAGATCCATACAAAATCACTCTCCTATATTCAGTATGATTTCTACAGATTATTCTCTGTTCAAACAGGCATACAGTTCAGAGACAGAATTGTTTCAGTATAATATATTGAAAAGCCTACTTAGAATTCTATTAAGAGAATTTATTTCAAGCAAGTGAAGTTTATGATGTTTTGTCATTAAGGTTTGTTAAAGTCTGAATTGCCCTTTTTTTTTTTCCCCTAAGGACATTTTTCATAAAAAATGTATTGAAATCCTTATCAAAGTCAATAGGAATTTTTTGGTTGTTTCCTTCATATTTGTCTACTGTATCATATTGTTGAATCCTGCTTTATTTGGTTAATACAGGACAGCATTTCAAATTTTACTTTGCTCCATGTTTTTAGGTTTTAATTTCAGTGTTGGGTGGGTTAATATAATGTTTTTATAATTTTGCACTAGCTTGTCATCTTTGAAACTTTTTTTTCCATTCTGTTGAATACTTACCTAAAATGTAGTGGGACAACTTTTGCTCTTGATAGGTTGCTGCATTTAATGATCAATGAGACCTTCTTATGCCCTATTCAAAGCACTGGCAGAGTTCCATCATTCTGAACCTGAGAGTTTAAAATCCAGAATCAGAAAATATTCTTTATAAAAAATCTGAAAGCAGTGGCTGGATCCAAGCTAGCCTTTGTCAGAATGGTGGAGCTCTAGCTATTTTCTTTATCCTTTAAACAAGAAACTTCTATAAGTTTTGGAAATAGTACATAATTTCATGTGAAAATTCTCTATGTGGCTTTGGTCTAGAAAATGTAGCTCAAAATTATATTTCTCAGATAAACTGAGGAGGTTTGTGATAAAGTGTTTATGATATGTTCAAAATAATTTTACAGCAAATCTCAGGATGTCACTCCTTTTCTAAAAGCAGAAGTACACCTTGATATTCCCAATCTGGTAAGTTTTATTTTATAAGGTAAATTACATTGTCTTAGAGTTATCTCTGTATTTGTCCAAGTGCAGGGTGTGGGCACACTTCCACTGAACCAGCATCTGCTCATATCTTTCAGTGTGCTGAGAGCACTGATGAAATCTGCTTGCAGTCCCAGTGCTCTGGCATTTGTCTCAGTAGTGCTTGCAGAACCTTGCTTTTTAACCTTCTGTGGTTTAGCAGTTACATTGAAATCCATTCATCCGTGTTCTTTGCGGAATGATAACAGTTCTCACGTGTACTAGTTGCATTACTGGAATAGGTCCTACATCTTGTTTCATTCTTATTCTTATTCTTATTCTTATTCGTATTCGTATTCTTATTCTTATTCTTCTCTTACTTGTGTAATCTAAATACTTGTGTTGAATTTCAATAATGACCATTATCTTTGCTCAGTTTGGCTTTAGTCGCCCAAATGGGAAGTTAGATGACCAGAATGAGGAACACTGAACAAAACTAGAAGATTCAAAACCTGAAAAAGGAGTTGTGGATTTCTATGTAGAGGAAAAAAAAGGCAGCTCAATTGCAAAGAAGTAAAGCATTAGTTTGTTTTCTCTTGTAGAGTAAGATAACTATTTGTCAGCAATATGTATTTTTTATTTTATGAGAGCAGGTTACAAAATTTCTCGATTTCTTATAAGGATTGATGGGTTTATATTGAAATTACAATGAAAAAAAGGTTCTGCTCTTAGATGATATTCCTTTGACATTGAACTAGTGTTCACATCACCATTCTGTTATATATTCACACTGTGTATGTGTGTGTGTGTACACATGATATGTAAGTTTGGTCAGAGTGTAGAACATTTACCTCATTGATACTTGTAGAAGCATAAAGTACCAAGCTCCACCCACTACAAAGTAGGTACATCTCTCTTTCCAGTCCTCAAATGCTTGGCTGATCCAGGGCAGTAATCAAGTAATTCTGGGGAAAATACCACTTTGCTAGTGCTAAACTCTAATAAGAGTTTGCAAGAGCCTTGCTTTTATGTATGTGGCTGATCAAACATAAGGCCCAAGAAGGGTGGGAAGTGGTGGTTGCACCATAGCATGCGATTTCTAATGCTTTGTTATTCTAGAGTGTAAAAATGAAGGTTTGTAATGTATTCCCACACATTATATAAAAGTTATTATAAAAATGGTGCTTAAAATGTTGTAGGAGTATTTTTTTAATAGCTGTAAAAAAAGCCAATAAATCTATCTGCTTGTATACTTGGTTGCCTTTTCACCCACAGTGTGAGTCCATAATTAGATGGTAGCTCACCACAGTTGTTTCATCTCTTTAGAAGCAATTCTGAGCCAGACAACCTGCTAAAGTTGTACTTTCCAGCTTCTCTTCTGGGGTAAACTCTGCAATTCACTATGGGTGGAGTAAAACTGAGGTCTCAAAAATGACAATTAGTTGCATTTATTTAAACAATTTTTCAACTGTTTTAAATAGGTAATAGTTCCCAGTTTAGATGACATACAGCATGCCATCAATCGCATGATTAATTTAACACTGGAAGTAAATCGAGGAGTTGCTCAGTGGGGACAGAGGCATTTGCAAAAGTCTATTTTAAAAACAGAAGCAGGCACACAGCAAGCAGCTTCTGCAGGCTTTGGATCACAAGGGAAAAAAGCCAAAAAAGGGGAAAGTAAGTGGTTTGTTTAGGTTTTGTTTTACTTTTCATTTTACTTTTTGCTTTAATAACTATGCCATATTTAAATATTTGTGAATAAACTCACTTTTTGTCAGAGAAGCCTACTGTGGATTATTTTACATTAATTTTGGTGGGTTTATTTTGATTTAATTTGCTATATTTTTCATAAATAGCTTTTCAGTAAGTATTACAACTCTGAAAAACACTAAGCAAAAAACTGAAAAATTCCTAGATTCTGAGTATTTTACTTAAGGCAAAGTAAACTGTTGATCAATCTTTTTACCTCCTCATTGTGGAATGTAGCCATAATAATATAGCTGAAACTGTAAACCATGATTTTATACTAAAACTCATTGAAATATTGAGATACAGCAAGAGCCAGATTTCAGGAAAATTTAAATTGCTGGATGTATTCCTAGATTGGATTAAAAACACCTCAAATGTTTTTACATGTGAATGAAAAATATTTGACTGGAGACACACCTACGTCCATTTTAGTCAAACACTTTACTTCTTAATATTATTTCCAAGTGTTTCTTCATACATTTTCCAAGCCACCATAAAAACCTAAATATGTTTTTACTGTCGGTTTTTCTAAGCTGTTTGACCCACTAATATGCAATCCAGTTATATCTTTGTTATTCCTTCGAAAAATCTGTAACATCTTGGAAAGTTTTTCTTCATGACAGTCCAGAGGTGTTACTTTATTCTTCTCCTGACGTGTCTTTTATGATTCTCACCTCTTTTAATGGGCTTCAAGCAGGGTGGCAGGAGCCAATCCTTGTCAGACACTTAAGAGTCTTTTCCTCTGCTGTGTCAAAATACAGCATCAGCAAATTACTATTTTCATCACCTTTAACTAGACACCAGGAACACCTGGGGGCATATGTTAATATTGTAGCAATGAGATTATGGAGTACTCTGGTAAGGACGGATGAATCTGAGACTGTTTCCAGTAAGCAGACCCCAGAAAAGGCCTTGAGAGTAAAAGAGAACTTGGAGCTGCCTCAGAATCCCCTCATTGAACAATATATGCTGTGGGTAGGGTGGATTTTTCTTCTTTGTTCACTGAAATCTGCTTCAGAATGCTCAGGGATTGTTATGACAGAAGTAGCTCATCAGATCTGAAGAATATCAGTTTCTATATTGACCCTGAGTTTTTCAGCAATTAATCAAAGACTTCAAGATTACACTGCTTTAAGCAGTATATACAATTTTAAAACTTCAATTTTAGGAATTTTAAGAAATAATTACATAATGTAGAATGTTTATGAGGCCTTTGATGTTCTGCTTACAATTACATTAAAGTCAAATTAAATGAAATTTCATTTCATTCATTCATTTCATTCATTCATTTCATTCATTGCAAAAATGAAATTTGTGAATGAAGAAGACTATTTTCTTTCCATTAGAGAAACTTCATTTTAGACTGAATTTGCTCTAGCTGTATAGTGCCTGACGTAAGCTAGCAGCTGGTACTTCACATTAAGCAGTGTGACAAATCTTTGAAGAAGGATACTCAGCCTTACTGAAAAGCATCATTGCTCAATTTGGTATGCATAGGTTTAGAAGAGAATTCTAATGAGATTGTCAACAATTCATTGATTTATATGTAATTTTATTTTACAGAAGGAGGTGATGATGTTGTCAGAAAGATAAAAAATTTTTACTCGGGTGTTGCAGAAAATGAAGCTATTGCTAAAATAATTGTGATTCTCTCTTCTGCTGGGAATTCTCTAAAAGAAGGAGTTAGTGAAGTTCTGCAAGAGTTTGATAAATATAAGGTGTTGTGGACAGAAGATAAAGATACCAAATTTCAGGTCAGTTTAATGATTATCACTTACAGGTCTATTATTCATTAATCCTATCTTTTGAAATCAGAAAACATTGTGAAAACTCAAGGAAAAAAAAGTTGTAGAAAACACATTTACAGCTGAAATTCTTCTTTTATCTTTCTGTAGGAATGGTACTGTATCTGCTAATACAGATTAGCAGGTTCCTTGTTCCTCCTTGTTCTTACAGGAGAAGTAATAGCATTTTACTTCTGTGTAAAATAAATGTTTTGTGTTTTGGTTTGCCTTTTTGTGCTTCTGTGCCATTCTAGATACTGAAAACCTGGTAATTGCTTTATTTTGTTTGTGTAACTCTGGATTTTTGGCCACAAAAAACCAACCCAGTTTGATATGAGGCGTGTCTCTATGCAAACACAGGTAGCAGAGGGAATTAAGAAGAGGAGTTGGAGATATGCACGCACCTGCAAGGCCACTGGAATCACAGGGGTATGGTGGGATGGCACCTATGAGTGGAGTGTTGGAATGGAGGGACACAGGCTCTTTAGGAAGGTTACACAGGGAATACCAGGTTAGGATCAACTAAGGAGGGCAGGGACAGGTGACGTTATAGTGGAGATCTGCTACAGGCTGCCTGAGCAGGAGGTCCGAGCAGATGAGACTTTCTGTAGACAGACAGGAGCAGCCTCGCACTCACAAACCTCATGATCCTCATGGGGACTTCAGCCACTCTGATAGCTGCTGGAGGAACAACACAGTAGGGCATAAGCAATCCAGTAGGTTCCTGGAATGTGTTGATGATACTTCTTTGACCAAGTAATAGAAGAGCCAATGGGAAGAGGTGCCATACTCTACCTTGTTCTCACCCACAAGGCGGAGCTTGGGGTGGAGAAGGTGAAGCTCAAGGGCAGTTTTATGCTGCAGTGACCATGAAATGGTAGAATTCAAGGTGAGTTTATGTGGGTTAAAACCCAACCAATTCATAAGCAGGGCTGAAAATTTCCTGTTAGTCTAATTAAAATCTTAAGTCTAATGTAATTAATGTTACTAGCTTGATCTAGTTACTACCGAGGAATGGGCTACTGCTACAGTGAAACCTTCAATAATAAGGCAGTTAAGTTTTATACACACGTGTTTAATTTCTACATTCTTCCTTTTCCACTATGCTAACCCTTCCACTGCCTGTCTGGATACTCTTGGACAGAAGAGTAGAAGTGGTTATCAATAAAGCTTTCAGCATTTATTACTTGCCCATGCAGTGTAAGCATAATCAATACAGGTCTTAAATAGCATTGATGAATTGCAGCTTTTCAGAATCACAAAATGTTTCTACCCTTGAGTTCTGCTCAGGGAATTACTTAGAAAATATGTTTTATTGTGATTGTTTCTCACATAATTTGGCTTATGAGGTGTCTTTCTCTAAGTATGGGCATGTATTTGATCTCTGTTTTCATAAAACAAGTAGGTCCTTAATATGTTTTGGTTACCTGTTTCTCTGTTGAAGTGGAATTTCCCAACAAGATTGAGTGTTAGTGACAGAGAACTTTTAAACATTCATTTTATGATGTTAGCAGGGCTATACAAGGCTAAAACCAAGTATAATAATGGTACACATTTTCAGTAATTACTGAATTACAGTTACAATGTGTTTTACCAAAATTATGGAAATGGACATTTGTTGATTGACATTTTAAACTACACACAGGAATTTTTTGCTACTGGTCCCTCCCTGTCTGAAATTAAAGAAGAAATAGTTCACTACTATACGTTTGAGCAAGAGATGAACAGTTTAAAACCTGTTATTCTTCTTGGTCCAATTGAATTGCATACAGGTATGACATTTTCTTATCTTAGTATGTACAGTAAGATAATGAGTAAAATAGTCACACAATCACAGAAGATGTATAATTGAAAGGGACCCACAAAGATCATTAGAGTCCTGACCCTGCACAGGACCATCCCCAAGAATGATACCATGTACTTGAGAGCACTGTCCAAATCGAGTCAACAGCTCCACCTAGTCTATGAAATTCCTTAGTATTCCTTCCTTAGTCATTTATGAAGAAGCCTGCAGTCTAAAATGGAGCCTTGTGGAACCCCACTATTGCCAGGTCCCCAGTCTAATGTCACCTCATTCACTACAACCCTTTGTGTCCAGCCTATGAGCCAGCTGCTCACCCATCACATGATGTGTTTATCCAGCTGTGTGCTTTGTCCAGAAAAGAGATCAGTGCCTGTCTCCTCTTCCCCTCACAAGGAAGGTGTAACTGCAATGGGATCTCCTCTCAGTCTCCTCTTCTCCAAGCTGAACAGACCAAGTGACCTTGCCTGCTCCTCTTACGCCTTCCCCTCAATGCCCTTTATCATCTTCATTGACCTCCTTTGGATGCTCTCTAGCAGTTTAGTACCTTTCCTATTTTGTGGTGACCAAAACTGCTCACAGGGCTCAAGGTGAGGCTGCCCCAGTGCACAGCTGAGCTAGATGACCGCCCTTGCCTGGCTGGTGATGCTGTGCCTGATGCTCACAGGACATGCTTGGCCCTCCTGGCTCCTGGGGCACTGCTGACTCATCTTCAGCTTGCTATCAACCAGGAGCCCAGATTCCTTTCTGTGCCACTGCTTTTCAGCGTCTCATTTCCCAGTCTGTCCCTACATCCAGGGTTTCCCCATTCCAGCTGCAGAATCTGACACTTTCCCTTGTTGAACTACACATGGTTGGTGATTGCCCAGCCCTCTCATTCCTCGAGGTCTCTCTGCAGGGCCTCTCTGACTTCAACAGAGTCAACAGCTCCACCTAGTCTATGAAATTCCTTAGTATTCCTTCCTTAGTCATTTATGAAGAAGCCTGCAGTCTAAAATGGAGCCTTGTGGAACCCCACTATTGCCAGGTCCCCAGTCTAATGTCACCTCATTCACTACAACCCTTTGTGTCCAGCCTATGAGCCAGCTGCTCACCCATCACATGATGTGTTTATCCAGCTGTGTGCTTTGTCCAGAAGGATGCTATGAGATACAGGTTTATTCTTGTAAATATGAATATATTTTTAAAGTATATATAGACATACTTCAGTATGAATAGACATCACTGAAAAGACCTCACCAACTGTCAGCCAGAGCTCACTCAGATCCTTCTAAGAAATCTGTGATTAAAAAATCCTCCAGTTCCCTTGCCTTCTCCACTTGTAAATGTGAACACTAAGTTTTGTTATGACTGTGAAATTGTTATGGAGGCTTTCCAAAGAGTTAATGAATGTGTATTGACACTGATTTGATAATCCTTGGTACTCCTGTTTGGCATCACATCAGCCAATGATTATAAAAAGCATTGGAAGCATAAAGCACCTTCTTTGGTACTGGTGAAAGACTAGCACTTAACAGCATTAATGTGTTGTTCCCTTTCAGTGTTTGTTTCAGGAGGAGACATGGCTACTTAGTCATCCCCATGTTCAGATCTCTATCTCTCAGAGCATTATGTTCTGAATTAAGCTGTTTATTCTATGGCATTTGTGCCACAGCTGATTGTACTAAGGATTCCAATGGCACTTATCCCTTTCACCTCACAGGTTATTACAAGGGTAACACATCTTCTCTTGACCAAGTATATGGTTGGTACCTAGTGACAAGTAGAAAATGTGTCCTGCTGCAAATACCAGTGTGGCTGCATGTCTCATGAGCCACCCTCTTCTTCTGACAGATTAGTTTGATTAGATGAAGAAATAATCTGTAAAATTTGTCTTTCTTGCACATCAGAGAAGCAGAAGATGTTTGCTTTGAAAACTGGAGTTCACTTCAGTATCTTGGTTGTGTGTTAACCCCATTTCTTTCAGTGAACAAGCAAAAATGTCAGACTGCTGACTGCACATTCTTATCCCTTTTCTGGATGTAGTTTCTTCTTAATGAGACCACTCTGGAAAACTCTTATCTATTATTGTGTAGGAAGAGTAGGAAGAAAGAGTGTATCCAAAAGAATATAGATTTTGTTAATGGTCATGCGTGACCACTGCATCAAAGGGACCCAAGTCCTCTAGGTTACAGAACAAAGATATTAAATGTATTTTATTATCTGGTAGTTTCTTGGACTCAGTTTATGTTTGGGAACTGATTTCTTGTGATTTACAGATTTTAACTTCTTTAAGGGTGTGGTAATTTTCTTGACTTATCCCTGGGCTTCTTCACAAATAATTTCTTTAATGTTAATAGTCACATTATTAAAGGAGAATCTATATCTGCTGCAAAATTATTTTTTTGAGCAGAATTGTTTTATGCTGTTAGTATATTTTGCTTTCTTTTACCAGAGTACAAAATGCTGCCTAATAAAATCCTATTTTTTTCTGAAAATAAATTTGAATTTTTGACTCTTGTGTCTCTTCAGTGTTGGTTTGTGATTATATATTAAGTGCATATAACATGATGTATCACCTTACAGTTTTAGCTGTGAACTATTCCAAGTCTCAGTTTTGAAATCCCAATATGCCATTTCCTCAATGGGTATAAAGCATTTAAATATCACTGATCTTAATATATTTGGTTAATGTATGTCAAAGCTATTCTCTGAAAATCCACATTAATAAGTAGATATTTTGTTATTTATTAATCTTCTCTATGCTCCGGTAGGTAAGCTTACCAATATGCTTTACAGATACGATAATACACAAAAACCAATAGAAATGTATTTAATTATAGTTGAAATTGTTTTGAAACTTTTAAAATGCTGTAATGAAATTCCTTGTCTGCTGTTTTCTAATTGCTGATAAAGAACCATATGTGGTGATGAGGGCTTTTTAAAGAAAAAAATGAAGAGATGAATTAAGTAATTTTTTTTATTGTTTTTTAAAACCAGAACCACTGAAAAAAGCTTTAGGAACTGAAGCCAATTCCTGGAAGATGGTCCTGTGTCGTTACTTAAATGAGGAATATAAAGCAAAATTGCTAGACATCATGTCATTCATGAACGATTACCTAAACAAATTGGCTCGACCTCTGATTGACTTAGATGATGTCAGATTAGCAATGGAAGCTTTAGCTACCATTCAGGAAAGGAGATCAGATATAGACATCTCTATGGGACCTATTGAAGTAAGATGACTTTCAATTTGTTATATTGTAAAAATATTATTGTTATTATTAATAATAATATATATAATAATGCCACAGGATAAGATAAACTTTGAACTCTAACAAGTTCACTGTCTTGAAGAAACTAGGTTGAAGATGGGAAACAAAATATTATTTTTTGTTTTTTATATTATAAATTATGAATCAGATAATTTAATAGATTCTGTATTGATACAAAACAGAAAAAAATTCTTTCTGAAATTATAATATAGAAACAATCTAGGAGACAACATGCAGAAATAAGAAGATGAGAACACAAGACAAGGGAACACTATGCTCCCTTTTGCTTTTCATTAGCCTTAATCCTCTTACTTTTTCTGTGTGTGTAAAGAAACATCTTGATCATCTAACCCCTTGAAATATAGCCAGAGAATATTCATGAAACCACACATCACAGTATGCTGTCAAAAACTGGCAACATTCTCTTAGTTTTTTCTTTAAGAAAGAAGCTGAAAGGAGCTAAAGTGAGCTCATTTTAAGTATTTGGTATTTACTATCACTCTCTGAAACAGTCAGCTTAATAGAACAAATAATTAATTAAATTATGTAGAGGTAAACTGTGGAAATAGAGCTGCCTTCTTAAGTGTGTATGAAGTATGTTAGAAAGTCTTAGCCTTACACCAAATAGAAGAACATGAACAATAATTTAAACATTTAAAGTAATATTCACATCTACTTAATGTTAGTCTGTCTTCAGGATATGATAATCATACTCATAGCTGTTAAATAAAGCAAACAAGAGGAACTGAGTTCAGCACTGTTTACTTGCTAGGTTTTACATGTGTAGGAAATAATGCAAACTTTGTAAATAAATAAAAGGTATTAAAAATATTAAGTATTAACATTTTGTTGTTGTTTATTATTATTATTGTGCTTCTGCCATTTTAAGGTGTATATCTAAGATAATCATCTTTCCCAAACTACTTACATTTCTCATACCTTGTGAACATTTATTTCCCTTCTAGATTAATGTAATGGGTTCTGTCAATGTCAGTAGGGCTAGTCATGTTAACAAGTCACATTTAGAACCTTTTTCTTGAGGAGATGAATAACCCTAGACACCAGTGCAGGCTGGGTAAAAATCCGCTTTGCAGTAAAAGAACTAAGTTCCTTTTTGAAAGTACAGCAAAGTGAACATAAGCCAGAAAAGTGCCCTTGCAACAGAGGGGTTTAAGGGTCTCCTGGGCCTTTTACAGGCTGTATTGCCAGCAGGTTGAGGGACATGATTCCCTCTGTTCTGAGATATGAGATTTATCTGGAGTGCTGTGTCCAGTGCTGGGCTTCCCATTACAAGACAGACATGGGCATAATGGAGTGGGTCTGGCAAATGATGAATAAAATATGAAAATTAACTTATTTTTAAATAATGCAATTTGTGTAAGAAGAGGATCATAAAGCAGAAGGTAAGCAAATTAATTGCAGATGAGAACAAACAATAAGAAAGGTTCATTCCATTACAGATACATGTCCATATATTTGACAGTTTGGCAAACTTAGCAAAAAAGGTTTTATAGATGATATGGCAAAATATTTATAGATGTGTAACTTAACATGCATAGTTATTCATGAGTTAGGGAAAATTAATCAAAATCTGCATTCAGGTGGAATGTAGATAAGTGGAATAAAATATGATAGACATGATAAAGTTTTATATTTTCTGATATTAGATCTATGGTTTTGTATATGTTTTTCTAGTATTTCATCCAAGCCATCTTTGAAGAAATATTTTTTACTGTTGTCTAGTTCTTCATTCCTCATCCTTATTAGAAAAAAAATCAAACCAAACCAGTTATGCCTAAAATATAAGAAGAGATTTTCTTTGAAATGTTTTTTACAAACTTGATCTATGATTCCTCAAATGAACTTATAATATATTCCTAATTTATTTTTTTTTTCATCTAGGAAGCCTATGCCATTTTAAATGCATTTAATATGGAAATTACAAAAGAGGAATCAGATGGTGTTGATTCAATGAGATATACTTATAATAAGTTAAAAGCCCAAGCTGTAAGTACATAAAATTAAGTTATTTTCCATTTGTGGAGGTCGTAATGAGAGTGTGAGACTAATTTTCCATCCTCTCTGACTTCTCACTCTTGACATCAGTTGTGCAGTAGTGTCTTAATCTACTGTTAATAGGTTTATTTTCTAATTTTATTTTTATAGATAACTTTGATATTTTAGCTTTTAGACATATGTATAAAACCTGCAAGAAAATGCTGTTCTGCTCTCCTTAATTTCTAGTTTTTTGTCATTCTTGTCTGATCAGGGAGTTTATTGAGTTACATTTTCTAAGAATTGCGTACTCTGCCAGTGCCCTTACCCCTAAGCAGAGAGTATACATTCACCTTTACCATTTAGGACAGTCTTATTCCTCAAAAACTCTTTATTTATTAAGTATTTTATGTAATGAAGGTGTTTAGATGGAAATATGTAGATATTTTGTTGAATCGATTAAGTTACATCCTCTTCCACAGATTAATCTCTCAGGAAAGGACTCAAGAGTACATTTTACATTTTTCTGCAGCTCTTGGTTATTTCTCTCAAAATTTTGATCAAAGAAAAAGAAATTTGTTAAAGAGAAGGCTGAGCCCTGTGTGAGGAAGATGACTCTTTTAGTTGGGGTGTGAGGTTTTTTGGAGGGAGGAAAGAAAGAGAATAGGATCTTGTTCCACCACCACCTTGTAATGAAACACATTCTTTTAAAGGCCAGTGAAAGATTTTGTTATGGTTTTGGTTGAGATGGTTTGGTTTATCACTCGCCTTTCCTCTCAAAAATTTAATATTGCGCCATAAAGGGGAAAAAATGTATTTAGCTTCAAATAATCAACTTCTGTTCAAAAAATTGAGGTATTTTATTAATAATTTTGATTTATATCTAACACAATATCTGTTACTGATTCTTACAGAAATAACTTTGTTTTTAATCTTTTCCATGTCAGATTGTAGTTCAAGATGAGTTGGTTGAAGTTCAACCCAAGTTTAAGAGTGAGTTGCTAGAAGCTGTTGCAGTTTTTCGGGAGGATGTGTCATACTTTGAAACAGCGTATGAAACGGTAAATGAATTTAGTACTATTTTGGTTTGCCGGATTTGGGTGTCAGAATTTTATTCTGCTCAGCTACTGATGTTGGATGCCATGGTTGCTATGCAGTCATCATTGTAGGTCAAACTTTTCAGTATGAAGAAATACACACAACTCTACAAAAAAAGAAAGAAAAGAAGCACTGATAATATATCTTTTAATGAAATTGTGATTATAAATTATAAATTAATTTAGAAACTGTAGTACATGTTGTGGCATCTTTGCCACACATCAGCAATAAAAAGGACCACTGTCCTAGTTTTGTTATTTTCAGCAAAATAAGGGAGTATGAAAAGTTAGAGTCTAATCTTATTAAGTTTAATTAAGGTAAGGGATTTTCAATTCCATAAAAGTTACATTTTCTTAGATTTACCCCTATAAGTATTGAATTACCAAGCTACATTATTTGATTGGAATTCGACTAATAAAAATATGTATTCTGTAATGGTCTGTAAATATACAGTGGCCTTCAGTCACTTTGAGAATTAATATTCCATTTTTGTTAATTATTTATTTGATAGGAAGGGCCTATGGTTCCAAGCATTCCTCCTCAGGAAGCCAGTAAGAGGCTGCAGCTCTTTCAGGTAAGAAAGTAAACTGTTGAATTTGCGAATTAATTAAATCTGCTATTGCTTATCATAGCAAGTTTACCAAATTATAATTTGGATGTTACTTATTATGTTACCTGTATTTCCTCTCACACAATGTTTTCCTTAATGTGGAAGGTTTGATTGATTTATCTGTAACCTTTCTTCACTCTTCATATTTTGTGAGGAGAAATTGTCAATTTGAAGTAATAGAAGCAGTAAAATAGGGAAGAGTCAATTATGACACCTTGATAATGGCTGAAAATAAGCCAAGTTACAAAGCTGTCATGAGCCAATTTTGTAATCTTTTAAAGATCACATTTTTCATTAGATAGCTGTATGTCTGTCAACTTGTTATTTGTTATGAATCTTAATTAACAGGTCCAGGAGCAGTATTTTCTCTATTTTTAATCCTTCTTTTTTCTGCAAGTTATAGTATTTTGAACAGTACTTTTGTCAGTCTAAAATATTGTATAGATTGTATAACGTAAATTTTGAGTCTGTGAAAAGAACTAAGTGACTAACAGAAGGTGCTTAACACTTCTAATGCATCTAATGTGTACTAAAAATTGAATGATTCTGGTTACATTTCCTGTGTTTCTTATTTTTCCAAGAGAATGCCCTGTACTTTTGGATACTAGTTGTGAAAATCATTCTTCTTTCCATTTTTCTGTGGTGATCGTATTTTTTTGGACAGCAGTTAGACTTTAAAAGTAATTGTGTTTTTTAGCACTCTGGTGTTTTTCTTCAAGCTGTATATTTGTTTAGATCAAAAATATTTTCAGATATTTTGCATATACTTCTAATAGACTTAATAGAAGTTTGAAACAGTTCAATGGTTTTATTTTAGATAATTTTAAGTTAAAACTAATAAACTTGTATTTTCATTTGGTCTGTATGAAACACAACTTAATCAGGCTAACTTTGATGAGCTGTGGAGAAAGTATATCACGTACTCATCTGGTGAACGGTTGTTTGGATTGCCTGTCACAGAGTATGACATTTTGCATAAAGTCAGGTAACTGTGGAAATATCATTGCCTTGAGGATGCTATTAAGTATGTTAGAAAGTCTTAGGCTTGCACCAAAGGCAGAAATATTACAATATGCAAGTTTTCCATTGCCTTGAATAAATAAATAAATATTTTTTTACAGTTCTAATGAATTTGTGTATTCTAATTTGTTAATGTTGAATTTGATGATTTTGCAAAAATTATTTATTATTGTAACAGAATGATACCAGATTATTTTACTGTGTATAAATATTACATAATGCAGCAATATGCCCTGTTCTAGACTTAAATAGAAATAAAAAATATATTTATGTATTAAGATATGATAGAAAGTGAAGAAGAAAATGTAAGGAAAGATCATTTTATTGTGATATAAGAAAAATGTTACTACAGCTTTTATGGAAGTCTGAATTTTTTGAGCAGCTGTACAAATTATGATCAGATTCTAAAGTTTTTGCTCCAGCGATTTCAATAGTTTGATGATGATTAACACTAGAGGAGGATCTCACTGTTTCTGTCTCGTTTTAGAGCATGGTTTTAGTTCAGATTTAGAGAGTGCATCTAAGTAAATTGACAGTTTGTTCCCACCTGCCATGCTCTGCTTTGCACTGCAGAGCCAGCTCAGGGCAGATGACCTATGTTTCTTTTGGACTAACGGAGGTTTTGGAGAACTAGGCAAAAGCAAAGCTTCCTCCAAATATGTTTAGTGTGGATGTTAGGTCCTTAGCACCAACTATCTGCCTTTTTTTGTGGATTCTTTTTGATGAAGTATTCTTTTCTACATTAAAAAACATACTCTAATTTTCTACCTCTATTTTTTCTATTATTATTTCATATATCATATATTTAAATACTGTGAGGTATCCAGAGAGCGGATTGAAATTATTGGCATAATTGCTTCTTTTTTTCCAGGAAGGAGTTAGGCTTGCTTCAGAAATTGTATGGATTATATGATACTGTAATAAGCACTATTGATGGTTACTATGACATACTTTGGACAGAGATAGATATTGAAAAAATCACTAATGAACTTATGGATTATCAAACCAGGTATGTTTAACGTATGAATAGTAACAGATGTTAAGTGCATTAAGATTTAGGTGAGTTCAGCAAAGCCATTTCTATATGTATCAAAACCTCCATGAATAAGGTTTGTTGTAAACAGTAAGATTATTCAAGAAGGAATGAATTAACACCATACTTCTAGTTAAGCAGTTATTTCCTGCAGCTTTGATAACTGAGGGGCATACGATCTGTCGAAGTGCTGATCTCATTAGCTAAACCAGCCGAAAGATTAGGAGGACTGAAATTTTATTTGTAAAAGCCAAGTTCTTCAACTGGGATGATTAGCCCTTTAATTTGAAGTTTTGCATCCAAGAATAATGGGCACAAAATTATTTCTCCCTCAGAGAAAGGCAGGCAGGTGTTGAACATCCAGCTTGACATCGAGCGGGGAGCTAGCCAACACGAACATACTGACAACCACCCAGCACTGACATAGCTCTAAGCCACACGCATGCTGCTGTATTGTTCCTGATTACTGGGAATATGAAATCATATCAGTGGGAGCTAGAGAAATAAGTGTTCATGGATGCAAAACCAAAGATTTATTGTTTTTCCTTATAATGATATACTTTACCCTGTGCAGTAGGGTATTCCTGTGGTAGGTTCTTGGTGTGTTGGCTCTTTAAAAGTGTGGTCGAAGAGGTAGATATTTATTTAACTGTTCTCAGGCTTTATTCCACACTAGAAATATGTAGTTTTCATTAGTGAATGGTTTCAGAACTATTAACCAAAAGTGGAGGAGGCAGTCATGTTTATCTCATTTTCATGTCTGTCTCCAAATTGGTATGTTAGTAAATACCATGTTTGTTGAATTGCAGTAAATACTATAATTGTACAATCATTTAATATGTGAAATGTAACTAATTTAATTAATATTTTCTTTGATTTTTCTTTTCCAATAAAGCACTTCTGATAATTATATGTTTTAACAGAAACTACAGTATTTTTTATTTCCTTTATTTGCAAGGAAAATATCAGTGTTTGAGATTATTAAATATTGTGATTTTTAAATAGGGCATTTGTATTAGTTTTTCCTAAACGGGTAGTCTAGCTGATGCAGGAGATGTTGACATTTTTACAACCCATTTCATATCTCCTTGTTTGAACTCTTGTTTAAACAATTCTGTTTTTGACAGAAGTGACATTTACTACTGCATCACTTTAATTTAACTGCAGGTGTCGTAGACTACCTAAAGGCCTCCACCACTGGCAAGCATTTTCAGATCTCAAGAAAAGAATTGAGGATTTTATTGAGTGTTGTTCTTTGCTGGAAATGATGTCTGACAAAGCAATGAAGCAAAGACACTGGGATCGTATTTCTGAAACAACAGGGCATCCATTTGATGTAGAATCTGAGACCTTTTGCCTTCGAAACATCATGGAAGCACCAATTCTTCAAAATAAAGAAGATATTGAGGTAGGTACATATGTCTTTCCCCTCCTTGTTCCTTTTCTGTTATCAGCAAAAATAATGTGATTGCTTATGAAATGATTACTCTCTTTTAAAATTATTACTTCATTACAGTCCTTGACTGAATCAGACCACACTGGTTTAAAACAATCTGTGTTTTATTTAGAAGCTCTTAGCTATGTGAGCAAATGTAGAGGTGTTTAAAATAATTACTTCATTACAGTCCTTGACTCTCAATCAGACCACACTGGTTTAAAAAATCTGTGTTTTATTTAGAAGCTCTTAGCTATGTGAGCAAATGTAGAGGTAGCAGCTGGAATCTCTAGACCCTTGTTTTTAGATAATCTCTTCACATTCCTCCTCCCATTATTTTCATTATTTTCTTATCTCTTTTTAAGCAGGAAAAAATCCTCAGAAAAACTTTAAATGGTTATGGTCACCTAATTTTTTACCTCTGTTGTTGCTTTATAGTTTTGTAGGTAAATCAGAAATTTTAGATGAGAACTTCATGCTTAAGAATATCTAATATTAAAACATTTTTTAGATCATTAGAAGTAATATTTTCATTATTCTGCCTTCTTTGGAAGCACACAGCTTAAAAAAAAAACCCACCCAGTATAACTTCTGAAAACTCAGTGGAGTTTCCATTTTTCATATGGTAAATACGTATGTAAAAACTTATTATATCTATACTTGATTTGTATGGGACCATTTCAAGGTGATCTGCTTAATTTTTAATTAAGCTCTGATTTGAATAGAATGTTGGACTTGACCTTTCCAACTTAAACTATTCTTAGATTCTGTGATTCTATAAACTGAAATGTGGTAAGAGAGTTCATCTGGTGATGAGTCTAATCACTATCTCTCCTCAGCCTAAAAGTTATGATCCAAAAATCTTTTTTACACAGAAATAACAAAATGTGAAGCAACAGAAAATACGTATCCATCCATTTCCAAAAGTGATTTTTTCAGGTGTCCAAGTAATTTAAGTAACATTCATAGTGTGATATCTGCATTTTTTAATATTCTATGGTTGGATCCAAGTAATTTGAGTGAGTAACATTCATAGTGTGATATCTGCATTTTTTAATATTCTATGGTTGGATGTGCAGTATTAGGAAATTAATTTCACAAGACTGGATAGTCTAAAAAAGGGGTTTTTTCTTTGCAGGATATATGCATATCTGCTATGAAGGAAAAGGATATAGAAGCCAAACTGTATCAAGTAGCTGAAACCTGGGGAGCCCAAAATCTGAGCTTTTCACAGTTCAAAGCAAGAGGAGAGTTACTGTTAAAGGGAATTGAATCAGCAGAAATTATGATAATGATGGAGGACAGTTTAATGATTCTGGATTCTCTACTGTCCAATAGGTACTTGGCATTGTTCATGATGGTATTTTCACAAGTACACTGCAATAGTAACATTACTATTATTGAACTAAATTAGCAGTAAATTTGAATTAAATATTTTATAATGAAACAAAATATTACAAGGCCTAATGAAAAACCTCCTTATGAGAAAGAATTCAATGAATATTCAATTAAGACAACTTTTGTCTCAATATACTTGAATGTAACCAAGCTGCTAAAATCTTTCTATAATGTTGTTCTTGTTCTAAGTGAAACAAGAGCTAGTTTGTTATGGGTTTGGGGATTTTTCACCATTGTAAGTATTTATTTTATAATAGCTTTATTTAGAATTAAATAGTTTATGCTCCTCTCCACTTATAGATACAATACAGCATTTAAAAAGCAAATTCAGAACTGGGTTTCTAAACTAAGCAACTCTTCACACATAATTGAAGAATGGCTGGTTGTGCAGAACCTCTGGATTTACCTTGAAGCTGTTTTTGTAGCAGGAGATATTGCAAAAGAGTTACCACAGGTAAACTTTACAATGCTTGCCTAATACTGTGTACTGAAAGCTTTCTGTGAAATAATTTTCAACTGATTATGCTTTGGTTTTTCTATGTATAGGAAGCAAAGCGTTTTCAGAATATTGACAAATCATGGGTAAAAATAATGCAGCGAGCTCATGAAAACCCAAATGTAGTTGCCTGCTGTGTTGGAGATGATACTATGGAGCAACTTCTCCCTTATTTACATGAACAGTTGGAAGTATGTCAGAAATCACTTACAGGGTATGAATTGTTTGATTTTTACTGCTTTACTATATTGTAAATAATTTGTATGAAGCATTAATTGTATTTCAGTCTTACTTACACCCCTATATAGAAAAAATTACAACCTGAAATGGTTTAATAAAAATCTTGTTCATTTTTAAAGATATTTAGAGAAGAAAAGACTGCTGTTTCCAAGATTCTTTTTTATTTCTGATCCTGCTCTTGTTGAAATTCTTGGACAAGCAAGTGATTCTCATACAATTCAGGTATAAACGTAATGATTTTTTTCTACTTATAAAAAAAAAGAGACTATAGAGGAGCATTTAATAAAATGGGGTGCAGACATATTCTTTTTATAAAGTTTGATTGAAAAATAATTTGGTTTCTTGCTCTTGACTCTTTAAAAATATGTGAAATGGATACCTTTAATTCAAAACAATCTTCAGAATTCAGAACACTAGAACATGACTTGATCAAGTCATTTACTGGTGGTTCCTTTCCCAACTAAACTAAGAAAAGGACCCTGTGAAGCTTTCCTGCTTTGCATATTGCAAAATTCTTCCAGCTAGTCTGGAGTGTTACTGAGGGTCAATTAAAATGAACCAGTTGATCTCTGCTGGATTATCTCTGCAAACTGTGAAAATACAGTAGACAGAGTAAAATTCTACACAAACATTTCTGTAATTGCTACCTATGGAGGGTCAGAAATTCATCTGTAGGTTCAGATGAATTTTGCAGGATAACCTTATCTGAGGGGTTTTTTTTTCTGTTGCTAATACTAAATATTCACATTTAATAACTCCTGAATTATCCTTACAGCCACATCTGACTTCCATATCTGACAACATCAATGAAGTAGAGTTTCACCCAAAGGATTATGATCGCATACTGGCAGTCATATCAAGAGAAGGAGAAAAAATTTCAGTAATTATCTGATTTTTTTTCCTAGAAACATTAATAGATAAATAATTTAATTACTGAACATATGTATTAAGGTAAATTACTATTAATTGCAAATAAATATTTCAAGGATTTTTGTTAACAAGACTAGAATATATCTTCATTAAATAAATTGTTTGGATATGAATTGAAGTAAAATCTGTAGCTGTCATGAATAGAAATTCAGTAACTGTGTAGTAACTCATATTCTTGAACAGAATGTTGGTAAATATGTTCTATTTTATACAGTTACTTTCATTCATTTTACAGCTGGACACTCCAGTGGTTGCAAAAGGACCAGTAGAAATTTGGTTGAAGAGTTTATTGCAAATGCAGCAGAGGTCATTGCATGGCATAATTAGGGCAGCATTTTACCAAATTAGTGACCCAGGATATCAGTTGTTAACTTTTCTTAATCAATTCCCTGCACAGGTAAGAATACGAGCTGTGGATGTGTGTCTGCAGTCTGGGTTGTATCTGGGGGCAGGTGGAAGGTAAGGAGCACGTGGGATTGCCTGTATGAGGAAGTTTTCATAGAGAAAACAAGGGGAAGGATCTGGTCAGTAGAAGGTAATCCTAAATCACTTTGATTTTGATATCCAGTATATAGCATCATATTTTTCTTGCCATCTCCTTTAAATTTAGATTTTTTAAGTTCTCTTGGACAATATAAAGTAGAGCTTATATTTTCTGTAATGGATTTTTAATCCCTTTCAGCTGCAAATAAAATTGCATGTACAGATTGATTTAAAAATCTCATAATTTAAAATCTCATAATTTAATCTTAAATCTCATAATTTAAGATTGTAAGAGCTATGATTATGATGATTTATCTCATAATTTACAATATTTACCTCATAGTTCATATATTTGTCACTATGATAATGCAGTCATAATACAAGGCTATGTTGAAAGATTCTAGAAACTCCTCCATCTTACTGATAATTCATAAACTTCATTTAAAATTATTGAACTTTTTCCCATTCTGTATGAATTCTGAATCTGTAATTTGCTGGCTGATACAGTGCTGGGTGTAATTTTTAATAAAAATTCTACAGATATTAAAACTAGCTATTATGTTGCTATTTTTTAAAAAAATCAATACATTTAAATATTTAATAGAATTATACTAAAGCTCTATTTATTATGGAATTCGGTATTGTCTTAGCAGTGTTTATTTGAAAATTTTTCCTACCTTAAATAAGGACTGTCTTGTTTCATGTCAGAGATTTTGATGTGGTTTTACTACCATCTGCAAAGATCTTTTCTCACATCTTGCTGAGTTCTAATGTTCAAAAAATTGTTTGTGTTGGAAGGGTTTGGCCAAGGAGTTTTTACAAAGAAAAGCTGTGTTACAGAAGAAGTTGGGCAAAATACTGACAAATTAAATGTTTTCTTCAAACTGCCTTTTTCCTGGCTCAGAAACTGCAGTTATAGATAGCATGATAGTCACATCCAAATATTAATGTTATTTTTTTTTTTTTTTCCTTTGAATAAAATAATTCTAAAATTCTAAATAATTTTTTTTCCTTTAAATAAAATCATTCTAAAATTAATCTTTTTTAAACACTGCCTATGATAGGTCACCATTTAAAATCATGAGGCTATCTTCTAATACACAAACTTGTAACCATGAACTCACCACAGTTACAGGGAGCCAGAAAAGTAGGAAGATATGATTACTAAAATTTTTTGGGCTTGGTGCTTTGTGAATATAAAATGTGGGTGATAAAGGGATTCAGAGATTGTCTGTCATTTTTTGTTGTGGGTGTTGTAAATCAAAACCAATCTGAAACAGTAATTTATGTACAACATCCTATAACTCTTTAGATTTATGTGGAAGCAAAATAACTTGTAGTTCAATGTGCTCTAGGCTTTACTCTGGGCATTACAGGATGTTAGAAGGCAAACCATCAGTTCAGTGAAAAGTCCCAGCAATTTAATGTTCTTTAATTAGTTACAAATTGGCAATGGAAAATTTTCAGAAGATCTCACCCCACAGCCAGTTTAGGCATGTATTACTGGAGACCTCTAAAGGATTAGAAGGGAAAATGACACTAGTCCTAAGTTTAAGTGTACGTGACAAATTTTTGTAAAATTTTAAATGCTTTCTCAGCAGGTTGTGCGGCAGAGCCAATTAATTCAGCCAAGGTGACCTGATGGGATAGAGTCATGTTGGATGTAGTGACATTTTGGAACTGTCTACACCATAATTTATCATTCCTATTATAACTGAGCCTTCTGTAACACAGCTAGAGTTCAACAAGTGATGAGTTTGTATATTTTTCATGTATTACATTTTTAGGTTGGATTACTGGGAATTCAAATATTGTGGACACGTGATGGAGAAGAAGCTCTACGCAACGCTAAGGATGACAAAAAAATCATGGATGTAACCAATGCTAGATTTCTGGATATTCTGAATACATTGATTGGCCAGACCACACAGGATCTTTCCAAGTTTGAGAGAGTGAAATTTGAAACACTTATTACCATTCATGTGCATCAGCGTGATATTTTTGATGACTTGGTATAGATTTTGATTTCTGACAACTAAATGCATTTTCTATCATAATACTCTTTCTTACACGTGGTAGCTACAGTTACATGTGTATGCATATGTAAGAGATGTTCATAATCTCACCACAGTAAAAATAATACAATTTTGCTTAAAATAAAATAACATTAGTTCTGTTGACGAAATAGTTTTGCCAAACATTTACACTTTTCCTAGAATATTTAAATTTTACCTGTCTTCCTATAGAGTTTTTTGGTTTTTTTTGGTAGACAAAACAAAGTATTTCCTTTCTTTGAAAAAAGTTGTACTACTCTTAATTACATAGCTTAAGAAGTTGAGACTGCTGAGGGTAACTGTAACATCATTTCCTCATGACTTTATAGAATCTCAGTTGGCACACAGCTGCATGTTCCTAAGGAGACTACATAGAACTCAAACAAACAAACAACTTACTAAAATCAGCAGATAGTTGCAATCCCACACTTGAACTTTGGGACTGTACTAAATTGTTATCGTTCCTTCATTCTTTGGGGAATGGCATCCTTCAACACTGTCCCTCACATATTTCCAGAGGCTGTTTAGCTTATACAGCGTTTGCTTCTCTGCCTCAGTCACATCCTTTCCTCATCCCACCCTTTGCTGCAATGTGTTTGGAGGATTTAGCAGTGTGCTATTTGCATTTCTCATTTGGAAAGCTGACTGCCCTACCAAAGCAGTTTCAGATTTATTTGATAACACAGATGTTGGGATGATTGGGTAAAGCAGTCAGGAGGTTTTTTAATATCAGTTTGGCATACATCTGAACATGTTATATCATGCTTATTGTATATAAGTTTACTTACACAGGAACTTTAATCTGAGTAATCACTCATTATTCACATACAAATAAGCATTTTATCACAGTTGGTAAAGGCAGTAAGTGTAGATGCTTGGTTATAACACATACTTTTACTTTCTTTTAAGGTGAAAATGAACATCAAAACACCAACTGATTTTGAGTGGTTAAAGCAGTCTAGATTCTACTATAAAGAGGATTATGATCAAGTCATCGTAGCAATTACAGATGTTGATTTTGTTTACCAAAATGAATTTCTGGGTTGCACTGATCGTCTGGTTATAACACCTCTTACAGACAGGTTAGAAAAGCAATTATAGATAAGGAATACTTTTAATATCTATAGTGTTTATTTAATATTTATCTCAAAAGAAATGCAATCTGAGTTAAGTCCTGTGTGGGCTGAAAGCATTGTCATTCTCGTACATTTGCTTAATGTACTCTTTTAGAAAAGGTAAAATAGAGTCTTGCTACTCTGTACACTTACTAATTCCTTTATCACTGCCTTTATCACAGTCTTAAAAAGAACATTTAATAACACAAATTCATTGTTTTAAGGTTATATAGTAGCATATAGTTTAGTAGTATACTGAAGAGAAAGTAGGTCAAATATTTCAAATTTTGTAATAAGAGATTCGTAAAGATTCTGTGGCTTCTTTGAAAGTCTAAGAAAAAGCTGTGTGCACTCACCTTCCTTCTTCTGTATCCAAGCAAGTAAATGGTCATTTTGTTTCAAATGTTGCTTAACAAAGAACTTTATTTCCTTTTTTCTCTTGAGAATATCTTTGCTTCCTTCTTTGTCCAAATTATTTCTCCTTTCAATTCTTTCTTGAGATATCACTTTAAACCAAATGAGAAAATACAAGAACAAGAGATAATTCACTTGCAAAAAGATCCCCTCAAGAAATAAAAACAACTTCCAACCTACAATCATTTACTTTGATATCTGTGTGGTGTATGTGTTTCTATGACTTTTTAAATACCTTTATTTCTCCAGAAGAGGTAGAGCTGCTATTGTGACAATATAGAATGTTCAGTAGATTTCTGCAGTGAACTGTATTGCCCTCAGTAACTGAGTATTTTTGATGTAAAATTGTTAAACTCTACCCTAAAATTGATTGAAGTAGAATGGCAAAAAGAAAGCCTTCCTGTCACTTTGGAGCTCCTTATTGTATATAAAGCAAGAAAGTTCCTGCAGTGCAAGTTGGGCAGAATAAATTACAGTGATTCAAACTAAATTGAGGAACCAGTTAGTTATAAAACTGTTCAATTATGGATTAAAACCAGAAATACTTCATTTAGAATGTGTCCAAACTATGTTGATTTGGCAATGAAGATACTTCATTGCTTAATTCCTGTAGCATTACTCTTCTATACCTTGCCATGAATGAAAGTCATAACTGTGATTCATATATAAGTAAAACTGTAATCTAGACTTTTTAAGACTTAAAAAAGGGGGAAAAGCTTAGGGTTCTTTTTTTCATAGAATTGTAACTATTTCTTATGCATAGCCTGGGAAGGGGCCATGCCTATATCCTTGTTCTTTAACTCTTGAGGATTTAGTCAAAGGTAACATAATTAAATGTATACAGGTTAATATGCTGCAAAATATGATGGCAGAATTGAACAGCACATTCTACTGTTCTTTACAACTGCCAGAAAAGTTAATGAGAAATATCTTTATGGGATGTGCATTGATTTTTTTGCTTGTTAACACCAGGGCTTGTTTCTTTTGTTGTTTGTTTGATTTGTTGGGTTTTTTTCTTTTATAAGTAGTGTTTAAATGTTATATTTTATGCCTTTTACCTTTCTGAACTTCTTGCGCTGAAATCCATGGGATTGCTTTATGAAGAAGTAGCATTTCAGCATAGGGGCTGTAAAATCTATTACATAATTTGATCTGTATTCTATGTATATGCATTTATAAATTTAATAAAATTTAATAGATTAACATCAATTTATATTTGTAGGTGCTATATAACTTTAGCACAAGCTTTGGGAATGAACATGGGAGGAGCTCCAGCAGGACCAGCTGGAACTGGTAAAACAGAAACAACAAAAGACATGGGAAAGGCTCTGGGAAAATACGTAGTAGTCTTTAACTGCTCTGATCAAATGGACTTCAGAGGATTGGGCAGGATTTTCAAAGGTAAGTTTTCTTCCTGTAGGATAGAGGAGGCTTCCTCAGGTCATTTTGCAGATGCAGGTAGAGCAGGGTGCTCACTCAGTACCTTATTTGTGTTGGGTTTTGACTGTCTCCAGGGCTGGATGTTCTGCAACACCTCTGCTCAAGTGTTTTGATCATTCTCATTACATTTTTTATACTTCCTCTGGCTTGGAATCTTCCATATTGAAACACATGTCCATTGTCTTCTCTTCTTCCTCTGCACTCTCAAAGAAGCCTGACTAATTTCTCAGTGCTTCCTGTTATCTAGCAGTCAACAGCAATAGGCTTTTCCCTTTGCTTTCTCTTCAGGCTCAACAAATGCTGTTATCTCAGCCTCTCCCACTGTGTCATTCCTCCCTCCAGCCACTGATGATCACAGCAACCCCTGGGTGCACTCAGGCAGATGTACCAATGCCTCTCCCCTACTGGGAAACCCCAAAGTGAGCATGGTGCTCCAGCTGCTGCCTCACAAGGGCTGAGTAGAGGTGAACACTGATATGCCTCACCCTGCTGGCCATGCTCTTGCCCAGTATGCAGCTGGCTTCCTTTGCTGCAAGGGCGTAGTTCAGATTCATGCTTAATTAGCTGTTAAATGGACCAGCAAGTCGTTTTCTGCAGAACTGCTTTGCAATGCAGTCAGCACAGAGCTAGTACTGCTGCACGGGGTATTCTGGTCTAAGTAAGGGACTTGAACTTCATGAGATTTCTGTCAGCTCATTTTTCAGAGTAATGGTATTGTTTGATTGGGAAACAAGAGATATAAAAGTGGCTAAAGCTGTGGGTTTATACACATATTGCCCATTTGAAAGTCATTAAAATTTTAGAAAATCTTTGAGTGACAAAATCCATGACAGAATGTCTTTAAAGTGATTTAGTCTTAACTGTGAACACAAATAAACCCTGAATGACTTGCATAAATTATTCACAATTAAATAGAAAGCTTTCAGTATACATGAAAGAAAAACATGGCTTGCTGGTACTTTAATATCATTTGGGAAAAAATGCTATTAGAACCTTTCTTATGAAACATTGCGAAAGGAAAAACAATTCTCATAGGTGCTACTGCCTATATGTTACTTTTCCAAACAGAAATTAGGCAACTGTGAAAATAATCTTGTACAAAAAATATTCTTGTTATTAATACAGTACTTCTAGATTTCTCTTTCCATTTATTTTTCTTTCTCTGGGTTTCTTTCTTTCATAGACATATCCACACAGTGAATGTTGTTAATATCCTGTACTATTATGAGAAACTTGTTTAGTGGGGACTTAAAGTGGTAAAATATAAATAGTGACTTTTTGGTGACATTTAGGACTAATGTTTTGTAGCTCTAAGTCACTTGTTTTTAATTTTTTAGACTAAGAGTACAGCTTTTTGCAAATAATTGAATAGTGCTCTACAATAAAAGGCTACATTCACAGAATGATCTATAAAAAATATTAACCAATTGCCCAAAATATCAAAATATTTTTCAGACTTTGATTCTCTTTTAAGAATTGTGTATAAATCAACTAATATTAATTCAGACAGATATGGAAAAAGTCAGGTGGATTGGAGTAAGGTAGATCTTGACCACAGGGCAATAAATAAAACTAGTATGATTTAATTACTTGCAGGAAAAGTAATTTAGTTCAGATATTCAAATATGCATAAAGGACAAGAGATAATATTTTTTTCTTTCCCTGTTTTAGGTCTTGCACAGTCTGGGTCTTGGGGATGTTTTGATGAATTCAATCGAATTGAGTTACCTGTCTTGTCAGTAGCAGCGCAACAAATCTATATTATTTTAACAGCAAGAAAAGAAAAAAAAAAGCAGTTCATTTTTTCTGATGGAGACTGTGTGGACTTAAATCCAGAGTTTGGAATTTTTCTAACTATGGTGAGTGTAGTAATAATTTCAAAGTGGCAAACTATAATACATAGAGGTTAAGCGACACAATGGAAGTAACTGGTTTTATTCATAAAATAATGTCACTACAGAATTAGAATAAAGTGCACAATACATAAATAATACATTTATTCATGAATGGCATGCCTTCATTTTGACTTTAATATTATGGTAAGGGTTCCTAATTATGTCCCTTCATTGCTGTATTGCTATTCACTGTGCAGACTAAGAGTTTGACCAAACTCACAGAATTTTCTGTGCTCACTGAGAGGACTGAAACACTAATATGCTTTACTACCATATCTTTAATAATGATAATAATAATGCATTGATAATTCATTAATGTTTTAATAATATTAATGTATTAGTAGTCTAATAGTATTAATAGTATTAGTACTTTAACAGTATTAATGAGAAAGATACTGTAGGGATGGGGGAGAAAAATAACATTTACTTAAAGAAGGAGATATAAGAAAGATGTTTTTCAGGGACACAGGTCTTGACCAATGGGTACCTACATGGATATGTAAAAATTCTTCAATCTCCCATAATATTAACTTTCAGAATATGCTGTCTTGTTGCCATAGGATTCTTGAGGCTTCATAGCACTATTTCCTGTAATCTCATGGGCAGGAAATTTTACAGTGTATGTATCCTAATGCCAAGGCAGATGGCAATCCAAGATTACTTTATGGGAGATTAAAATTACAGTAAACGATAGGCAAGATTTCTAACTCCGAATTGCTCTAAGTATTTATATGTGCATTTATTTTTATTGAAAAAAGAAAAGGAAGCTATTTTGACTATTGCAAATAATAATGATGCATTATGTTTTCTTATTTAGAATCCTGGATATGCTGGACGTCAAGAACTACCAGAAAATCTCAAAGTACAGTTTAGAACTGTTGCAATGATGGTTCCAGATAGACAGGTATAATTCCTGACTGAACTGAAAGGAAAAAAATGTATTTTTATTTGCTGACCTGTCTTCAGGAGAACCTAACGGAATTTCTACAAATATTTGTATTTCAGATAATTATAAGGGTTAAACTTGCAAGTTATGGATTTATTGATAATGTGGTCTTGGCTAAGAAATTCTTTGTTCTTTATAAACTTTGTGAGGAGCAGCTCACTAAGCAGGTAATGTTGTGTATTCTTTTTTCTTTGTATTTACATAGTAAAATCTCCTGCTTTTTGGGTTATGCAAATTGTTTCTGAAACATCACTTCCGTGCCTTTTACAAAATATTGAAGTACTTTAAATGTAATTTAAAAAATGCCTCTATAAAATTTCTGAATAAATTACTATATTAATTCATTAATATGTTGTTGTATATGCACATTTTTTGTTACAAATGATACTTTTTTAGTTAGTTGTAAGTGCATGAGGTTCTCTGTCTAAACATGTCAGCCAGACAAAAACCATCCCAGTCATATAATTTTTATTCTAAGAGTTATCTAAAGCTAGACTAATTAGTTGGAAATTGGAAACTGGAAACCACAGGAGAAATGTCTAGTTTGATTTAAGTTGTTCATGTCCCCATAGCACTGCCTTTATCTGAAGTCTGTGCTTTAAGATGCCTTAGTTGAAAAGATGTGGTCTAGAATGGAACTATCAGTTTTTTAGAACCCTGTTACTCAGAGCAATACAATTTTTTCTGTTTGGCATGATACATGGTTAAATCAATTAAATTTAAATTAGGAAAGAAAAACCTTATAGCACACACACATCTTCCTGAAAACAGCTTTGTTATCCTTCATTTATTTGAACAGAATAATTCCTAAACAGCATCAACAGTTCCCATTTTAGCTACCTTTTCCAGGCAGGACAACTGCACCATACAAGTAAATATGCAAGTAGAGCTTGATATATTGATGAAATAAATCTAGAGAACTTGTGACTGATACATAAGCCTTCTTCCACTCTCTAGGTACATTATGACTTTGGTCTGAGGAATATCCTTTCAGTACTGAGGACTCTTGGAGCTCAAAAGAGAGCCAGGCCAACCGAAGGCGAATTAAGTATTGTCATGAGAGGGTTAAGAGATATGAATCTTTCCAAGCTGGTAAGAATCTAATTTAATATTTTAGCACCATGTAGAGGCAAACCTAATAGATATTTCATGGGTTTTATATGAGATCAGAAAAAATCTCAAATGTTCTTTTCTTTAAAAAATGAAACATGATAACCTTCATGTTATCATTAAACAGCATAGAGAGTTTATTAGACTTCTAAAGAGTGTTCATTATGCAAAGGTTCAAACAGATTAATATTAAGGCTTACCTCTGCATGTACTTTCAGTGTACTGACTTGTGCACAGACTGACCACTGTATCATAAGTAAATTGCATAATGAGTATCCACTAAATCAGACTTTTAAAGATTTCTTTCCAGATGGGATGTTCTTTCCAATATGTGCTGCAAGTAGTTTAAAAATCAATTTTATAAATAGACTGCAGTATCTGCTCAGTGGGAAATTTCCTTCAGTTCTGAATTTCTCTTTTGTATGGCTTGTGGATGACATTTTCAAAATGCTGTTTTCATAGGAAGCTCTCTCGTTAGCTGTCTGTAAGCATCTGTATCTTGAAAGTTGTTATTACTGCTTTTTCTTTTAAAACAGAGACTAATTTTGATTTGGAAACATTCTTTGAGTAACCATCCTTTAAACATTCCGTAACATTTTTTGTTTCAGATAGATGAAGATGAGCCTTTGTTTCTGAGTCTTATCAATGATCTCTTCCCGGGGCTGCAGTTGGACAGCAGTACCTATGATGAGCTTCAGGCTGCAGTAGCTCATCAGGTTGACGAGGCAGGGTTGGTTAACCATCCACCATGGAATCTTAAGCTTGTTCAGGTAAAACTTTTTTTTCTAAAGCATTCTTCACAATCAGGAGTCAGAACAGTGTGTTTGTGCCTAGACCACTGTCTTACCCAAGAACCTGCACATCAAATATGGGAAAAACTGAAGGTTGTGTGTGCACCATGCTGAGGAAGACCAATTCAAGTGACTTGCACTGTGGTGCCTGTAGATCTTCATCTTGGACTGATACAAGCCTTCATTCAGCTTGCAGAGGAAGAACTGTATATGCTTCATCTTACAAGATTTTGGCACCCCAGAGAACTACCACTGTTTTGTGCCATTCAATTAATTCATACTTGGCTAGGCAGACTGACACTTCCCCAGCAAACTTAAGGCTAATATTAAAAGACAAACAGAAAATTCAGTAGAGAATTCTCCTGAAACTAAACCCATACAGAGTTCTGGAGGAAGTGCAGTCCCTGTGTTTGTTTCATATATACAGGTATTTCAGACTGTGGTAATTATTCATACTTCTGTAGTATTAATGTTTTGCTACTATTAATTTTTCCTTTTAAATAAAACAGAAAACCCTTTTTTCAAATCTTGTAAAACAGTTTTCAGCTGCTTAAGAAAGTTTAGGTAAGATTTTGTTCTATGAACCATTTATAGGATACTTGCTTAGTGCTAAAAAAATTAGGAACTGAAGATATGTACTCTTCCACAAAACACTAAAATTTAGCAAATGCATGCTAAATTCAATGCTGAGCATATAACTTGTATATCTAATACATCTTAATCACTACTAAGGGCAAGCGAAAATCTTTCTAAAGCATGTGTTTCTTTTTTATTTTTAAATTGAATATTTTATTTTGATTTTTTAATAGTTGTATGAAACTAATCTAGTGCGTCATGGGTTGATGACACTTGGACCTAGTGGATCTGGAAAAACAATGGTCATAACTATATTAATGAGAGCACTCACAGAATGTGGCCAGCCTCATAAGGAAATGCGCATGAACCCCAAAGCTATTACTGCTCCTCAAATGTTTGGAAAACTAGATGCTGCAACTAATGACTGGACAGATGGAATCTTTTCTACTCTGTGGAGGAAAACACTGAAAACCAAAAAGGGTATGTAAATACTTTTCATTTGGTATCATAAAAATGTATCTTGAATGATACATTGAAAAAAGCATATTGAATTCACAAATGTTCCTCTTGAGGAAAACCATAGAGAGCATATGAGATGAGATTACACATCTTAAGAAAGCACACCAGTTTAAAGATTTATTATTTCAGTAGTATATCTACATTAAAAAAAAAGATAATTTTCTTGCCACTGCAGTTCTACAGTATAGATGTGTTACTTGGAAGCTGATAAATCATAAATGAGATTAACTTGTTCTAATGGCACTATCTTTATAATAATGTTATTGTCATGGTTTTACGTACATTGATTGCCCGTATTAATATTCCAGTATTTTGGGACTGACATACTGAAATTCCTTTTAACAATGTTTCATTTGTATCTGAAAAAAATAAATATATTAAAGAAAGGGAATTCTTCTAGGGAACCTTCCTAGAAGGATGTTAATTTTAAAAGACAGGGTTTTTTTAATTTTAAAAGACAGAATTTCTTGGAAATGCATATGTTTTCTCTATTAGAAAATTTCTATATTCCAAATGAAGCTGGAATTCTAAAATTTAATTGCGAAAACATAGGTACTTACATCTATGTTTATATTTTGAAGTAGAAGAAAAACAACCAAATTTTAAGAACAGTGGAGTGTGTATTAAGTTAAGGAGAACTTGAGAGGGATCTGTGAATGTTCAATGTCTCTTGTTTAGTTGCTCAAAGACCCCTTCCTTTACCAACAAAACACTAAATTCTCCAACCTCCCTTTGCTGCTGGAGTAGGGTTGTGGCAGGACTTTAGCAACAAAACACTAAATTCTCAACCTCGCTGTGCTGCTGGAGTAGGGTTGTGGCAGGAGGAGGAAGGAGGAAGAATTAGATTAGTTTGTAGAGAAAGAGTTTGCATCTGGAGAAAGAAAATGGAATGGGGTAAAGGTTTTCTAGGTGTTTCTCTTTGCTTCTCATCATCCAAATTTATGTTAATTTGCAATAAAATAATGTTTTCCAAGGTGAGTCTGTTTGCCCATGACAACTGTCAAGTGATCTTCCAGTCTTTATCTCAACCCACAAGCATTTTCACTGTATTCTCTCCCTCTGTCCTGTTGAAGGAAGGTAGAGAAAGAGAGTAGCACGGTTTCTATCTGGTAGCAAGCCAACACTATAAAGGTACAATTGCGCCCTCATTTGCTACCAATTTTTTCAAAAATATTTCCATAACTAAGTATGCAATTTATTCAGTAAGGACATCCATACAGATGGCAAAAATTACAATAAATAAAATAAATTTTTATACGACATTTAAGTTCCAAACCAACTTTTGTACAATTATTTTCTTGATTTTTCAGCAATGTGATATGAACTATCTCTCTTTTGATCATTTTTCCAGGTGAAAATGTGTTTCTGGTTTTAGATGGTCCTGTAGATGCAATCTGGATTGAGAATTTAAATTCCGTTTTGGATGATAACAAGACCCTCACTCTTGCAAATGGAGATCGAATCCCTATGTCTCCTTCATGTAAACTCTTATTTGAGGTCCACAATATTGAGAATGCCTCTCCAGCAACAGTTTCTCGAATGGGTATGGTCTTCATCAGTTCTTCTGTTCTCAGCTGGAGACCAATATTGCAGGTAAGGTAATTATTGCTGGCTGTTCCTTATTATACCTTGCTATACCTTTTATACAGAACATTATTGTAGATGTTTTTTTCAGGCATGGCTGAAAAAACGTACTGCTCAGGAAGCTGAAATTTTGCAAAGTTTGTATGACAGAATCTTTGAGCCAGCATATACATATATGAAACTAAACCTTAACCCCAAAATGGAGCTTCTGGAATGTAACTACATTATGCAGGTAAAAGAGATATTGTATGAGTCTGTATAAATTGACTGACAGTAGTAAAAGTGCAGGAATAATAAGGAGAACATTTGATAGCCATAAAATTTAGCTTGAAAATATTGTCACCTGACAAAGAAAATTTCAAAATCAATATTTGTTTATTGGGCAATATAAGAGGAAGTGTGAAGATGTGCAGAAGAAAATTTTTCTTCTCTCTACTACTTCATAGTGGAGAGTCTTCTAATGACTGGAATTTGCAGGCTTCAGTAAATTTCCAGAAGCATATATTTAATAAGCTAGTGGATTCATTTTGGTTCTTTTAATACCAAAACATTGTCTTAAGGATCACTATATCTCTACTGACAGTGTCAGCAAAGAGAGAGAAGTCTAATTCTATTTATCTTTTTATCTTCAGATGTAATAGGTCTTATTCTGTCCATCAGCTCTTTCAAGGTCAATGTAGTCATTTTTGCCTCTTCTTTCCTATCAGTTGGAATTCTACCTTGAGTGGAGTCCAAACTACATCAGTGATTTATTAATAATATAAATATGTGTTTGCCAGATTTTGCAAAACTGTCAGTCCTGTACTGCATCTCTACAGTTGATTTGTTTATGAGTCTGTTGTCATCTGCAGATTCTAAGTTTCCAGACTTTCCACTTGTCCGTGTAATCTCCCATTTATTTTGACACAATCATAAAAAAATCAGTGGTGCCCTTGAAGAAGAGTCTAGACAAGATAATGTTTTGGATAACCCTCCAGTTTAATGTCAAACTACCAAATTTGCACCCAATTTTTCTGTTCATTAGAGAGTTAGTTTCAGATTTTCTAGATTGTGAAGTATCTTACTGCAAACTAATAGCCACAGTAAATGCTGGAGAGCTTAATTGTGCATTGTTAAATGCAAGTAGAGTATCTTTAGAATTAAAGTCCCCAGGCAGAAACAATTGAACTAACCACTTTATGATGTGCAATGCACAACATTTTTGAAAGGGGTATTATTTTTCTTCTACATTTCTTATCTGTGAAACCTCTGACTGAACTGAGCTTGCCTTCATGGAAGATTTTTTTCTGTGGTCAAAAGTTTCTGTTATTTTTGATTAGCGCTTGTTAGGAAGTGTCAGCAAGTCAGTGCTCTATTCATGTTGCTTGATCAGGGAAATTTTTCCCTGATTTAGGCTGTATTGACTGTTTCTTTGTGTGAATGAAAATCTCTAGTATATTTCTGTCACATCTGTGACAAAGTAAATAACTCTTAGCAGGCCTCCATGCTTGTGTTATCTAAGAGCTAGTGATACCAGGGATTTTTACCCTACTTGTAGCTTAAAATCCCAGTTTTGCCATAAATTGTGTCTGTGCAGAAGCCCTGTACCTTATCAGCCTCCTGATTTGTTGGGTCTTACATCTTTTTAGCAATTGTAGGATTCAGGACATGCTGCTTCTGTTTAGTTTGTGCATTTTCAAAAATTACAACCAAATCAAAGCAGTTGCATCTGGAAGACTTGTATTTGAGTTCCATAGCTCAGTTTTGGATGTTCACCCAAATATGCACATGTACCTGATTATGTGCCATTTGTTAGCATTCACAATTTGAGTGCCTATTCATGCACAACAACTTTATAATGGTTTCATATAAATGTGATCTCACCTTTGCTTTCCTCCTTGTAATTTCCAATGACTTTCTGACTCTTTATGCATCCTCTGGCCTACCTCATTAGGAAGACAAATATCACTTACCTTAGGAGATTCAACGCCAATTTTCTGTTTATAGAGTTATCCTGCCTTATGAGCCTATTGGAAAGGTCAGTATACTTGTAGCTAAAGCAGAGCTGATTGATGTAGTCTGCATGAAGGATCAAAGGTGTTGACATCATTCTTTGCCAGGCATTTACATGGATGCTAATCATAGCAGAAGATAGGAATTTCATTTCTAGATGAACAATGCATTGGAAGATAGGAAATGTGTAACTGGATTATCAGTTCTTAGGAAGGACAGAGGCATTCAGGATCAGATTATCACTGATCCTGAGGTACCTTTGCTGGGATCAGTGCTGTTCAAAATGTTCATAAACAGTTTGGAAAAGTTTTAGGTGAAGAAATTTATTGACGATACTAGATTATTCAGGGTATTAAGGACAAAACAACTAACCATGAAGAACTGTAGACAAACTTTATGAGACTGAATAAATAGGTAATAAAATGGCAAATGAAATTCAATGAAGATAAGCATGAAGGAGTTCACACAGGAAGAAAACAAACTGTTCAATGCCATGAATAGCAGACCTATGGGACATCTTGCCAAAGGTTGTAACAGACAATAAAAGTTTTTATAGGCTCAAGACCAGCCTTGCTATTTCCAGGGTGGAAAAAAAACCACATGGGATTATAAAAGCAGGAAAAGTGTGTATTGTTTAGAAGGTCACAAGCTGAAGAGGGTACAAACATGAAGTACTACCCCAGCACCACCACAAGCCAAGAGAGATTTTTTTCTTTTACTCTTCTCCACTTTTGGCCACTGTTGCAAATGAGTTTCTGGGCAAGCATTAGAAGTACGTGTTACTTTATTATTTGCCACTCCAATTATGAGATGCAAGACAGCATAAAGAGTACTAATTCCAAGAGCTGACTGAAAATCTGTTTCATTGTTAAAAAGACGTATTTTTTAGAACAATATGCTGCACACTGCCCCTGTATAGAAGGGTAGTACAGGTAGGTTTACCTAAGACAGTCAAACATCCAAATTCATTAGCAACATTTCAGAATTGTAGATAACAAGTTACTATTTTTCTAGAATCTGACTCTTAGAAACAGAGTGAAGCAATCACATAATAGAATAATTTAATCTATTTTTAGATGAAAAATAGAAGTTGATGTGATAGATACATAAATTGTAACATAGTTGAGATAAATACATCAGACACGCTGAAAATTCTTCCATGTTTTAAAATTGAAAGAAATGGCCAAACTTCACCTATTCTTGGAGTTCTGAGTATTATAAAATCCCTTAAAAAACTGTTTTGTTACCCTAGCTCATAAATGATATTTGTTTTGTAGGCATAATTTAGAAGGATAACTGATGATCAAATTACCTAAGTAATTTTGAAATTTTTTTCAGTTTTGTATAGCTATCTTTAATAAATTTTATTTGGTCTGTTGTTCTGAACTTTATGCTTGGTGTTTTTTTGTAATCTGTATTGATTTAAATTTTGAATACATGTAAATAATGCATGTGCATACCTATATAGGTAAATAAAAAGTGGTTATGTAATATTTTCTAAATGCATATTTTAAAATATTTTCAGTCTATTAATCTTCTGGAGGGCTTGATTCCAGTGAAGGAAGAACGTGGTGTATCAGCTACACAACTTCTGCATAAATTGTTCAACTTTGCAATAATGTGGAGTTTAGGTGCCCTTTTGGAGCTGGACAGTCGAGATAAACTTGAAGCCTTCATTAGAGCTCATGATAATAAATTAGACTTACCAAAAATCCCTCGTGACAGCAATGAAACCATGTATGAGTTTTATGTTACTGATCGTGGTAAGAAAAAGAACCAATATTCTTTTTTAAACTGTCACTTAAAAACTCTGTTACTGCTTTAGTCCTTATTATACAGTCCTATGAGTTGAGGTTTTTTGACAGTGTAGTACCAGCACATCTGTGGATGTGAGAAGGCAGAGACAAGACATAGAGTGCTCACTGATAACATTTTATTACTTCTTTTTAATTTCCTTCTTATAAATTACTTTTCTATCAATTTAGCCAGCCTGCAATTTGTAGATAATTTGTGCTTAGGCTGGTTTTGTCTAGCTTAATACTGTTTTATGTTTAATTTTCTTACAGGTGGTAGTTTTTGTTAAAGGAGTAAAATCTGATTTTAATTTTGTTTAGTAATTATTACGTCTAATAACTGGTCATAAATCTGAAATGTTACAGAATTATTAGAGTAGTGAGATATTTTGCTTATTGTTATTTTGAATAGTGTACTATTTTCTAGAACAATTTTAAAAATTTAACTAGCACACAAAACCATTGTCACAAAAAACTTACTGTCATGACAGAGTATGTTCTCTTCTGAAGAAATTAATTTCTCTCATATCCAGACATTTTTTTTTCCCAGCAATATTCATTTAGTGTACACATATGCAATCCATATTGCCATGTTCTGTAATTTTTCATCAGCACTGTGAGAATTTGTTTCTAAGTAAACATTCTTTAGGGTTTTATTTAGATAAGTATATATAAATTCAATAAATATGTCTACATTTAGTAGGATTGTAGACTAATTACAGGTCATGACTAATAGAATGTCCTTTGTTAGATGCCTTTTAGACAGATTTGAGAAAATGTATCCCTTTTTGTACTTTGTAGTATTCTGCCCATAATATATATTTTTTAAATTATTGTATTAACAAAATATTGAATGTATTTAACATGATCAGAATATTATGACATTTCTGTCCTTTTTTTTTTTTTGTGTGTCATTTCAGGTGCCTGGGAGCACTGGAGTAAAAGAGTTCAGGAATTTGTTTATCCAACAGATCACGTCCCAGACTATGCATCTATTCTGGTTCCAAATGTTGATAATACCAGAACACAGTTTTTGATAAACACAATTGCAAAACAAAAGAAAGTAAGTACAGGATTACGTATTTTAGTAGACACCTACCATATAATATAAAACTACTTCAAAAGTGACCGGATGTTACAATCATTCTTCATCTTCTAGCCATTGACTCTAGTCATTGCTTCCCAGGTGCATCACTATGTTGCTTTATTTTTATTTTCTTAACATGGATTCTCTGTAATTATTTTTGTGCAAGAACCATAGTTTAAAATGTAAAGGAAGGAATTTAGAGGAAGCCTTTTTAGGGTCATCCACTAAAAGAGACTGTTGCAGCAGATGTGTCAGAAACTGGACGAAGTTTGCCAGTTGGAAGAAAATCCTCTAACACATTCTTGTTTCTTCCTTTCTCTTTTAACTCTGCAAAGAAATTTATTGGAGAATCTATGTGGGATGAAAAAAACATATGGTCTCAGTGGATCTGGAGACAAGAAAAACCTATCAAAAATGTAGCATTTAAAAATAGACAGAGGCACTATTCTTATCTCAAAAGTAGGTCTGTTATACGTATATAAGTTTTGATAACACTTGCGTGGTTTAAATATCTGTTACAGGCTGTTTTGCTCATAGGAGAACAGGGGACTGCAAAGACAGTTATGATTAAGGGGTATATGAAGAGATATGACCCAGAAGAGCATTTGTCAAAAAGTCTAAACTTTTCGTCTGCCACAGAACCATTTATGTTTCAGGTAAAAATACAGATTTTAAACGGTCTTGGATACCATTTCCTTGCTAAGTGTATGAAGGGTATTTAATTTTGATTATAAGTGATTTAGAAATAAATTCTAAAGGATCTTTTTTGTCTAAGGCACTTCAACATTTCAGAAAATTCTATTATAAATAAATTTTGCAGACCAGAGTAAAATATAGCCATTCACATTCACATATATTCATGACTGCTGTGTGATTTTTCATTAGGAATTCTAAGAATGAATTTTTTTTGCTAAAGACCTTTGATTTTCTTCTCAGACTTTTGGTTATACTTTGGTTTTTTTCTGATTATTTAGTATATAGCATTATTTTTAATTTCTGTTAAATAAAGAACTGATTTCAACCTTTAGATAATTTTATTTTTCCTCAGAAGTAACTACAGCATCAGAAATTCATTCTTGAAAGACCTCTAGCATGACAGCTTTGTAGAAATTTCTCTTACTCAATGTAACTGGTAAAAATCTATATAAACAGAAAAGCATGCTGTACGTAGTTTTTTCAAGTGATTGAAAAGACATTTTATAGCACTGTGGGATGATTTGATACTACTAATTTGCTAGGATATGATTCTGTAAGTTAAATTGGTTACATTACCATTTCAATGCAATGAATTCCTAGAGATGAGCCTTTGTTAGGAAAAAGAATTAATTTTGGAAAATTTATTGATTGAAAAATCTATTCATGGAATAGGCCTTAGAAACTCCACTCTAAAATTAGGCATTTTTCTAAGAAGCTAATGTAAATGTTATTAAGAAAAATTATGCACCTACTTTATTAAAAAATTCCGGACTCACAGAATGCTGCTGAGTTTTTCCCAGCAGGTATTCATTCTCTTGTGTAAGATATCTGGTTATGGTTTGTATCAAAATGAGACAGAATAAGGCAGCCACCCTTTCATGCATGCAAGGCTTGTTGAACAGTCAGTATCTCTGTCCCAGTGTCCTTTACTAAGCATATTGTGGGTCCTTAGAACATTCTCGGGAAAAAATCCCAGACTTGGTCGTTTCTGGTACAGAGGATGTGTCAGAGGACACTCCCAGGTCCTCTCATACATCCTCTGTACCAGAGGAGGGGCTCTCTTAGCAGGGAGTCAGCTCAAGACATGGTTCACTCTGCTGGTTTCCAATGGAGAGATGGAGCAGAAAAACAGGTGAAATGCTTCTAATCACTTGAAAGAGTTGCAGTCAAATTTTTATTTTTTTTAATTTTGAGTCATTATTCTGAGGCTATGTGAAAGGCTGTGTGATTTTGGATGTATTAGAAGTGCTACAAAGTTCTTGATTTCTTATGCAATCACTTAGTTTTTCACCTTAATCACATATTCTCTGCATGTCTGTGTCTTAAAATACTCATCAACATCCTATTGTGTAAATGGGACAAAAACATTGGATAAAAGATGTGTCTATTTTCTGTTTCAAAAATACTTTTAATACTTGTATCTTTATGACACCACATGCTACATTACTCATACAGCGTGACATTTGTGCTTTTATGGAGAAAACATTACCTGTCTAAAAAAAATCTGGTACCACCTTGTAAGGTGGTTTTTTCTGTCATTGTTTATGTATCTTTAGAAAGACTGTAGAGCTGTAGAACTTTGAAGAAACATTTCAGCTATATTTCATTCTTACTTGTCTATTGCATCCTCTTTCTTGCCACCAAAATATTAAAATTTTTCATTATATCCCTCGCAAGATGCCTGGGAAATAATTAATAATTAAAAGAATCTAAGTTGCCTCGGTGCCCTGCAGTTGTATTGCAAATATTAAACAAGTGATATTAGTTAGGGGAATGATAATGCTGATAATGAAATAATAATTTCAGTTTGGAAACTTTCTGAAAACCTCTGATAGCCAGAGGTGGTTTGCCGGACAGGAGTTGGATTCCTTGGGAACTGGGTTCCTTAATACTAGAATTAAAGATGAAACTGCTAGCAAAAAGAGGCAATCATTGGCTGACTGCTATAGAAGGTTTTTCAACAATTTCTTTTAAATATTGTTGCTTTAGATATAAAATGCAAACTTTTTTACCTTTTTAGAGAACAATAGAGAGTTATGTGGACAAACGTGTTGGAAGCACTTATGGACCTCCTGGGGGCAGAAAGATGACTATTTTTATTGATGATATCAATATGCCATTTATCAATGAATGGGGAGATCAGGTAGACTTTTTTAATATTTACTACTTTTTCTCAAATTTTCGTGGTTTTTATGTGGACTTCTTATAGATAGATAGATACATATATAGTGGACTTCCTAAAATTTTTAAGTAACTGTTAATTATTGGAAGTGCTTTGTAATTTTGGTACACTGATGCACTCAAAAAAAGAGAGAAAATTACATTTACTAATAAGCAAATGTAATAATTTACATTTACATAATATAATGGTGCTATATTTTACATAATCTCCACTGCCTTATTTTTTTAAGACTAAACAAAAATCAGCACCATACTAAAGTAGCATATTATCAATTTCAAGATTGACATTAATCTGAGAGCACCAATAAATAAATTTCTGCCAAGAGAAAGGCCAATACCTTGGAGAGAAAAATAAACGTCAAGACCCCCATTAGGTCTTGCATTATGGCCCCAAGACATGACTGAAATATTTTTGAAGGGATAATGGTTTTTGATTGGTGATGTGCTGCATATCATCTTGGTCTTGGTGGGGTGTCTGAGCACATACATAAAGTTTGTTGAATATCATTGGAGCACTTGCTGTGGGGCAAACTCTGGAGCTCTAGACTGGAATGAAGAGTGAATAACCTTTCCAAAAGAAACATAAAAGAATCAGTTGTTTTGCTTCAAAGGAGACCCAAGAGCTGAAAAGCACAGCTGGAACATCTGTAGCTGAATTTCCAGCAACAAAATAAGGAACAAAACTTTTTTTCCCCCAGTTAATTTCATTATTTTTTTTTTAGTTCAAAAGAATACAAACACAATTTCTTGATATTATCTGGCAGTAGAGCTGTGAAAAAATTTTCCTGCCACTTAAAATCACATAAACCAAGATCTTCTATATGGCTAAGGAAGATCATTTAATTTGTTTTTAGGGTAAGGTAACAATATCTCTCTATGGATTAGTAGAATAACAAAAAGAAATTAAATTATCATGATGTAGTTTCTTTTTTCTTGCATAAATTTCTAATGTACAACTTACAACTTACATAAATTTGCAGATAACAAATGAAATTGTCCGTCAGATGATGGAAATGAGAGGAATGTACAGCTTGGATAAACCTGGAGACTTCCTTACAATTGTAGATGTACAAATAATAGCAGCAATGATACATCCTGGAGGAGGCCGTAACGATATTCCCCAGCGTTTAAAAAGACAGTTTTCTGTATTCAATTGTACATTGCCATCCAACGCATCCATCGACAAGATTTTTGGTACTTTTCCCTCATTTTAGTACAGTTTGTTTCCCTTTGTAATGGTCTTAAAATTTATAAAAGTATGTTTTATTTCTCACTTTCATCATGCAAATTCAGAGTTCTTCCAGGAAAACAACTGAAGCTGTGGTACAGCGAAAATAGTGCTGTGGGAGAGAAATGAATTCCTTAAAATGCTTGTCTTTCTATTTTTGGGCAAACAAATATTAAGAAAGTAATGACATTTCCTGGAAGACGATGAGCACTGCTATTTCTGTGTAGGTTAACATTCCACCTCTGAACTGTCTGAAATGCACTCTGTTGCTAAATTTCTCAATTCTGGTAACTCTGTCAATACAGCATACGGCAGAAACCCAGTGTTTCTGTACCCAGTTAACTTACTGTCCAGTGTTTCTGTACCAATTCAGAAAAGCCATAGACAACAGAGAAAAATAATTTCACCTGTAATTTTAAATTATGTTTTTCCAAGTAATGTTTTAAATAAACACCTATTTGTCTTGCTCATGACCTACCTTATTATATCCTACAAGCTGAGATTAATTGTTTGTTGCGTCTTGTATTTTCAGGTATAATTGCCAATGGATACTTTCATCCCTGTAGACAATTTAACCCTGAAGTATGTGGTATGGTGGAAAAACTGGTCTCAACAGGAAGAATATTGTGGCAGCGGACAAAGGTACAAATACAAGAAAAATTTTATCTCTGAATAGAGTGACTATTAGTTTAGTTTAGGCTACTATTTTCTAAGATCATATCTATAAGAAAAACCCAAATGAAAAACCAAACCATTCAACCCCCACAAAAAATGGAAAAGAAAAAATAAAAAAAAAGATTAAAAAAACCCAGAGAATGGGCTACAATATTTTCAAGATGAATTCTGGAAAATATCAGATTTCAATATAGAGGACAGATGAATGTCAGTCCATTCATTCCTATACATAAATTCATGTTACCCAAAGCTTTGATCTCCATAGCTAAGGGGCAGGGAGTGAAATTCTTTACAAATTATAATTTTTAATTTATAAAGCCAGAGCAGCAGGTGAAAAAATTACATGTTGTAAGTCTTGGTGTTCTACATTTAGTGATATTTTAAACAGTTAAATACTCTTGGTGACTTCTTATAAAGAGTTTTCCCACAGTATTACGTGTGAAAACTAGTATTTTTGTTTTTTATATGTTTTATAGGTGTTATTAATGATGAAGTTATACATTTTATTATTATTGATTCATTGTAGGTGTTAACTGATTTTGAATATTAACAATCTTTTTCTTTAGGCAAAGATGTTACCTACACCATCTAAATTCCACTATATCTTCAACCTTCGAGACCTTTCTAGAATTTGGCAAGGCATGTTAACTATAAAGGCAGAAGAATGCACAACCAGCACTATTATCTTAAGACTTTTTAAACATGAATGTACCAGGGTAATTGCTGACAGGTATAATAATTTTGGCATTTTGTATTTAGTAGGTTTAGCCATTTACTTCATTTATGCCCATACATCTGTACAACTTCTAAATATTATAAATCTTATTAGGCCAATATGAAAAATTTTATCTTATTTTACATACAGTCTGCATTGGTGTATAATTCCAACAAATATCATGGTGTATACTGATAGATTAACCCAGTATCTAAATGAAAAGCATCAAAATATCTAGGTATTATATATTTTAACCTACTTTTTTTTCCCCCCTTGGCTGCACTCAGCTGATTCCACTGTAGAAAAGAGAACTTTATGATGTCCTAAATTTATACACATAGGATGATTTAAAATTGCTTTGCTCTTCTCACAGAAAGAAGAAACAGGATTGCATGCTTATGACTAGAAATTTGCCCATTTCCTATAAATCTCTTTCAAAATGTTCATAAAACAGATATAACTATGACCTGTATGTCTTGGAGACCAGTATTATTTCAGTATTATTTTTCTGTTCATTGTGGCTCAATTTCTTGTGAAATTCTAGATGTAGCACTAAAGCTGCTGCTAAAAGCCTGACATATACCCTCTACTACTGTGAGTAGTTATAATTATTTCTCCGTGATCAGAGAAGTCCATCCACCAAAAAATATTAGCAGTGCTGATATTTCCAACTGTCTGATATTTCTCACTCTCTGAACTATCAAATATTATACAAATGTACATATTTGATAAAATGTATGTCTGTACATTTCTATGTGCAACAGAGTGCTGTTGAAACGAGACAGGGAAAACATTTAATTTTATTTAAAGCTAGGATCTGCTGTACTAAGGCAAAAATATCATACAGAATCATACAGTGTATTAGTTTCTGCTTTAAATTAGGGAGCAATATCACTGGTATTTATTGGTATGTTTATATATGTTTTTAATTTGTTGTGGTAAATTTAAAAATGCATGGTAGATATGTATTTGCACAGATATATTAGAAAAAGGGAGAGCATAGTCATGCATTCCCTGTTTCCATGCTGCTTTTAAATTTCCTAGTGATTAATATTATAATGTCATTACAAAAGATCTGTAACAATAGTGATGTAAAGCATATCTAGGTGTCTCTACAACAGTTCTTCAATTTATCTTGTCTTATTTGAAAACTCACATCACTGGGCTTCTTCACATTTGTTCTACTTTCCTCTCAGTTGTATCACTGAAAAGAAAAATAAGTAAATATATGGAAACTATTTTTTATGTACTTTGACATTTACAGTTGTAATTAACTTTTTTTGTGGATGAGGTGGTTCTTGTCTCTTACGTTTGCCAGTTACTCCTAAGTAGCATTCTTCATTGCTTCACTGGTAATCATAAGCAGAGTAGTCGAAGATCTGATCTGTATTAAAATCAGATTGAATCTGTTAGGGGAAGCAGCTAAAGCTGTTCACACTATTAAATGTAGTCAGTCTCCTCAACCCCAATGTGTATTCCTCTGCTAATTATGGGTTTTTGTGTAAGAGGTGTTGAGAGTGGAGTCAGGATGTAGTGGCATATACTACCTTCCTTTCAGTATTCCTTGTCTAATTGCATTCTATTAGGCAGTGTTATGATACCAGAAATTATGCTGTTTTACTGCAGATTGAAAGATGAAAGATTCACTTAGCCATAGTTATTTGGGAAAGCATTCACCCTTTTTTATCCTTTTTTATCTGAAAAATTACATAGTCTGTTGTTGTCTCATTTTCGGTCAAAGTTGGAAAATCAGGTTATTTTGTTTTATATTTTGTGTCACTATTACACTTTATAGTATGGAAGCGCTTGATTTTTGTGCATGTTGCCTAATCCATGTCTGTGATTACTGTGTAGTGTATTGTCTAATAAGTATTTTTCTTTAAAATGTTACAAGTTTTGGGGGTTTTTTTGTTGTTGTTGATTTTTTCTTAGTATTTAGATATCTGTTATCTTTCTATATAACTAGAATTTTTTTTTTAATTTGTACTAATTTGTGGTTTTCAGGTTTAATGCACCCGAAGATACAGCCTGGTTTGAACAAGCTATGGATAAAACAATTCAGGAATATGTGGAGGCAGATTTAAGTGAAGTTCTCAATGCTGAACCGTATTTTGTCGATTTTTTACGGGATGAACCTGAACCAACCGGTGAAGAACCAGAAGATGCTGAGCTTCTAGCACCAAAAGTTTATGAGGAGGTATTTCATTTTACTAGGCACCAAATACTAGGCAACAGTTTTCCTTTAATTATTAAATGTGTTATATTGCTGAACTCATGCAATACAGAAAGTTTGATAAAATAGCTATGAAATTTTTTGTGAAAATATATCCAGATTTTCCTAGTTAGCATGCAACAAATCATTTGATTGATGTCAGATTTAATAGTGATATATAAATGTGGTCTATTTTAGTGACATATAAATGTGGTCTATTTTCTCCTTTTCTCATTCTTCTTTTTTTTTCTTCCACCATTAGCAAAAAAATTTCAGCATAAACAAAACTACAATAATTATGGTGAATTAGCAAGATAATATCATTACACATCACCAAGACATGAAACTGACATTTGTGTAAAAATATCAAGGGAGTTTTAAAATTATGAAGTACCCTGCAAGTGTTGTTACAGATTTTTTCTTTTTTTTAAATTTTTTTCCCTCCAGGTTCCAAGCTATGAATTCCTTTGTAACAAATTGCGGGCATATCAGGCACAATACAATGAAAATATTAGAGGTTCCTCTCTTGATTTGGTGTTTTTCAAGGATGCAATGACACATCTTATTAAGGTTTGGTATTGCTACTTTTTTATTTGTTTAACTGTTGTAACAGTGTTCTTTATTTGGACAAGCTATTCTTAGAGGGTGCATTGTGAAAAGCTATTCTTACCCCCAAACTGCTTTGCCATCTTTGCATGGTCATTTTTGAGAACTAGGAAAGACCTACTGTTGTTTTACCTGTTTCCATGTTTTATAATAAATTCCTTATTTAAATATCTTTAAATTTCTATGTTTTCAGATGAAGATTTTCCTCAATAGCAAATTTGAGACCATAAATAAAGACATTTATATTGTCTATATAAAATTATTTTTAGCCATTTAGAATTCAGAGAACACTTCAAATGTATCTGTACCTGATAGGTGACAAAAACAACCTGAGGTAGAATCTGACTGGATGAAAGGAAATATAAATTAGGGCTGCAGTAGAATCAGTGTGTAGGGTAGAGATTAGGGTAGTGTGTAGGTCTGACATCAAAATCTGATTCATGGGGGTTAAAGATAGGCAAAGTATGAGATTAGTGTCTCAGCTTTAAGAAGGGTTATCTCAGGAATTGCTTTGACTGGATGATCTGATTGCTGAAAGACACACAGAAGTTGCGGTGAAACACAAACAGAAGAAGTGGTTTTGTTTGTCTCTAGTTCACTTCAAATGAAGTAAATGTTTGTTTGCTTTGCATTTAAACAGGAGTAAATATTTTTTTTAATATGGTTCACATGATGCTAGGTGCATTTCAGAAGACCTTGAAAGCCTCTGACATTCCATTTTTATTGGCAAATTTTAGCCAGAATATCCTCGATATGCAATTAGTGACAGCAGGGCTCCTTTCTACCTAAGGTGAAAATGGATCTAGTCACCTACATAATTTCATATTTAGACTTCTTTAATATATCTATCTAGAAAGCCTCAGAGGGAAGTGTGCAGTAAGCTAAAATTTTATAAAAGATAAAAATTAATATCTTTCAAAGACTTGATGTAGATGCCAATCTTTTAAATTTTGTGCATAATTTACATATGAACTGAAATATAATGTAGAATCTTAATAGTGCACTAATATATCATAAATCCAAAGAAGATGTGTCAAAAAGCAATAGAATAGTAAATTTGTCATTCAGCTTTTGTGTCTGGAGACTTGGTAAGAAAACTATCATAAAAGAAATATTGAAAATAGATAGGCTAGAAGATAACATTAAAGCATAGTTTATTTGTGTTAAGTCTTTCAGCTGCTAAAATTAGGAAAGTAGTATATTTGTTCTTCTAGCTAAAGTTTTTTATTGATATTTTTAAACACATTCAGGATGATGTCCTCAAAATGTCCCCTTTCATGTATTTATGATTATAACAATCCCATATCTTTATATGCAACTTCTTCATTAGCCACCCAAAATTTCTAAAGAATTTACAAGTGTTCTTTTGAGGAAAAATTTTCTGCAAGTATCCTTTTAATAATTTTTACATTGTATTATAGCAAATTAAGCATAAAGCATAATAGATTTTTTAATTTTGCTAACTAATGTTCAAATTTATTACTGATGTTTTTATTTCCTCTATAGGTTTCCCGAATTATTCGGACAGCATATGGAAATGCTTTACTTGTTGGAGTTGGTGGATCTGGAAAACAAAGTCTTTCAAAGTTAGCCTCCTTCATTGCTGGCTATAAAATATTTCAGATCACTTTAACCAGGTAAGAAATGCAAGAAATATATTAAGTCAGGCTTGTGGTATTGCTTTGTCTTTACTTGGCTACAGATTTTTCTCTTTTTTTCTTTTTTTTTTTTTTAATTTTAATTTTGTCACCATTGGAAAAATATTGAAAACAATACACTCTTATCTGGTTTGTATACAGCATTGGATTTATTTTGACTTGAAAAAGGTAGTCTGTGTGTTAGCTATTCCTGCACCAAAACATCTGTGTTTACAAAGTATGTTTGTTTGCAATGTCATTTATAAAATGCTATAATCCAAAAAGAGCGGTATTCTGCATTGTTTTCAATTAACAGGTAATGTTCCTTATCTCTCCTAGATCCTATAATGTAACGAATCTGTCAGAAGATTTAAAAGTATTGTATAGGACAGCTGGACAGGAAGGACAAGGTATCACCTTCATTTTCACTGATAATGAAATAAAAGAGGAATCATTTTTGGAATACGTAAATAATCTACTGTCTTCAGGAGAGGTAAGGGTCTCAGCCTGACAGCCAATATGCTCTAGAGGCAGGGCACTGCAGAATTTGTTCTCACTACTTTATTTGTCCTGGTAATACATTGTAAAATCAGTAATGATTAAAATATTTCAACTTTTTAAGTAAGGAGTGCTCTGGATATGTAGTTTCTTTATTTCGGTGTAAACCAGGAAAATATAAAAGGGCTGTAGTTAGTATTTCAGTAGCCTTTTATTAAATGATGATTTGATTGCCAGTTCAAATTCTATACTCTTCTGGAGTTGGCCTTCTTAGATTTCAGTGGGGTTTCATAAGTCTAAACCTGTGAATTTTAGTCTAAACTGTGTATATGCAGAGAGAAAGAGATACAGATGTAAACAGGCAAATATTTATAAATTCTAAAATAATGACATCCATGCAATTAATTATCAATTTCTTACTTTGTAAAAAGATTTCTAATTTATTTGCTCGGGATGAATTGGATGAAATCACCCAATCATTAGTACCTGTGATGAAAAAAGAGCTGCCTCGGCATCCTCCTACCTTTGACAATCTTTATGAGTACTTCTTAAGTCGAGCAAAGAAGAACTTGCATGTTGTCCTCTGCTTTTCTCCAGTAAGTTTTTTCTATATATCTATTTTTCCTTTATTCTATTAGCAAACTTGCCTATGTGGTATAAGATAATTATTCAAGTTTTGTGTTTTTAAGGAAGTTCAAGATACATAAAAAGATGACCAAAGTCTAGATGTAACTTCTGAGATTATAAAAGTACTAGTACAGCTGTGAGAACTTAATAGCAAAATACTTAAAAACGAAATAATTTCTTACAAGTTAAAGTATTTTTTTCCTAATACACATCAGTGAATGTATTTTTGTGAAATTATGGCTTGTAGCTGGAAAACAGTATTTTATTAGTAATTAAAATACATTCTTTGATGCTTTAAAATATTAAAATCATATATATTTGTAATGAACTTCTTTCTTCAAATTCATGAATGTTGAATGTTACAAATTTTGCAAAACTCTATTTGAGAAGAAAAAAAATTTCAGGGTATTCTAAGCAGAAAATGATCGAGAAGAAAATAGACTATTTAGTTGTTTTTACTAATTAAACACTTTCACTGACCTTTGCATAAGAATCACATTGCTAACAAACTGTGATTCTCTTTTCAGGTTGGTGAGAAGTTCCGTGCACGTTCTTTGAAATTTCCTGGTCTGATATCTGGGTGCACCATGGATTGGTTCAGTCGATGGCCCAGGGAAGCTCTTGTAGCTGTGTCCAACTATTTTCTTTCAGAATTTAATATGGTCTGTGCTCCATCAGTTAAAACAGAAATAGTACAAACCATGGGTCTCTTTCATGACATAGTTTCAGAAAGCTGTGAGAATTATTTCCAAAGGTAATATTTTTCTATTAATATAATAATTAATTTTAAAAATGTTGCTACTGACAGTGTTTTTTGAACTCATGTTATATGTATCAATAAATGTATTTTAAAGGTAATAAAAAATAAATCTGCTATACCATTATATCCTCAGGCAATAAAAAATTGCTATTATGTCGCAAATTCTTTATCCTCATTCCCACTATTCAGCAGTCTTTAATACTATATGGATAAAAAAAAGTAACTAAAAGTGTAAGATTTCATGATGAAATCTGATTTTGAATGAATAAAGACTAGAGTTATATAATTTTCTCTTTTTTGGGAAGTGTATAGCTGTATATATCAAAAATATATATGAAGTTGATGTTGCCAATATGCTTTGTTTTAGGTATCGAAGACGAGCTTACGTGACACCTAAATCCTATCTCTCTTTCATCGGTGGCTACAAAGAGGTTTACACTGAGAAGTTAGATAGTATTAATGAGCAGGCTGAACGAATGCAAACTGGTAAGCAAACACATTCCATGTGTGGTCTCAGATGATCTATGCTTTTAATAATCTTTTTCAGTGATTACTTATAGGGGATTCAGTCCAAAAGTGGTAGCTTTTGAGGGCTTTTACCAGCCACTCCCCCAGTCACAACCTCACACTGATTCTCTTGTAAAAATACCTCCAAGAAGCTACCAGCCTAACCATTCAACTCGGTGTTGTATTAAACTTTAATAATTGCATGTCAGAATTTTTAATAGAAAGTAGAACCTGAAAATGGACAGAGGTAGCATCTGATTTACTGGTGTAGAGAGAGGTAATTCTAAACAGTAATTAACTTGTTTCTGGACTTGTGCATAGAAATTCTCACCATGCAATCTGTGTGCTTCACATGTGATTTATTTTGTATTTCTGCTGTAGAATAAGTAGGTCCCCTTTTGACTCGACTTCTTCTCAACTTTTTCTAGACTCTCTATTAGAAGTCAGTAATGGATCCTTAGGTAATTTTTTCATGTAATGACACAATGAAGCATCGTTCAGAAATGCTGATTGTCTCATGACTTTATGATGCAACATATACTTGACATAGTTCCTTTTTTGTTGTTTTTGTTGTTGTTTTCTTTTGAAGAATTAATCTTATTTATCATAATTTTGTGACTTGCAAAATTACTTATACCCATGAAAAATGAATAATAGACGCAATTATGATAGTATGACTGCTTACACCCACTTTCTCTCCTTTACATAAAATTGAATGAGAACACAAGGTACACATTGTGTAATCAAACTAGGAAAAAAAAGTTTATATATTTCTGAATTTTATCTTTTACTTAATAGGTCTGTCCAAGCTGATGGAAGCCAGTGAATCTGTTGCCCAACTCTCTAAAGACTTGGCTATTAAGGAGAAAGAGCTGGCTGTGACATCTATTAAGGCAGATAAAGTGAGTGTTAAATAGCACTAGAATATATAGCAGGTAAAATGCTATTGCAGAATTTTATCATAATTTGCAAAAATTTTCCTCATCTAAAATGATGTTTTACTGTCTCTATAGCGTGTTGATTTAACATTTGCTTCTGAAAGTGAGGTACTTTTAAACTGTAACAGAGGTTGAGTGCTTTTCTTGTCCTTCTCCCATTTCTTACCCACTCAGATAAGCATCAAATTTCAATTTTTTTCCATAGGTTTGGTTTTTTTTTAATTTGGTCCTAATTGACATTATGAAATTTTAGATCTTATGTGCACTTACTAGCAGAGAAAAAGTTAACATGATATTGGGACTTTTCTACTTCAAAATTCCTTAGAGAAATGTTTTTTCCTTAGAAAAATGTTCATTGCAATCCAGTTTCAGATTTTGTCTTTTACATTAACAAGATATCTCTGTGTTCATGAGAGTTGGGGTCTGGTAGAAATCTGGTTTCCAAAATGACTCTCTGGAAAGGTATGCTAGGGAATGGATCAGTATAGGCATTCTGTTTTCTGAAAGACACTTTAATGCTCTGATGGTGCATATTTAATATGCACTGGACAGTGAATTTTGTCTGGTGATGACTAAGGGACTGCCTGCATTCTTTGAGGTCTTTGATCTCATAAGAGAAATATGTGACAGAAAGGGATGAAATTGAACTTCTCACATTTAATTTTTATTCAATAGTTATATTATACCATATATAGTTAGCTGTAGTTGGGGTTAGATTTATATATTTAATAGCTCAGTGAATTTTGTCTGGTGATGACTAAGGGACTGCCTGCATTCTTTGAGGTCTTTGATCTCATAAGAGAAATATGTGACAGAAAGGGATGAAATTGAACTTCTCACATTTAGTTTTTATTCAATAGTTATATGATACCATATACAGTTAGCTGTTGGGGTTAGATTTATATATTTAATAGCTGTTACATACCTATTTTGTGTCTCATAATCATCTTTTCCATAATTTTGATTTAAAGATTTTATGTGTTTATTATCATTTCCAGGTACTAGAAGAAGTCAAAGAAAGTGCTGAAGCTGCAACTAAAATAAAACTTGATCTTGTGTCTCATAATCATTTGTTCCATCATTTTGATGTATAGATTTTATGTGTTTATTATAATTTCCAGGTACTAGAAGAAGTCAAAGAAAGTGCTGAAGCCGCAACTAAAATAAAACTTGAAGTCCAGGAAGTGAAAGATAAAGCACAAAGGATTGTGGATGCAATTGATATAGAAAAGCAAGAAGCAGAGAAAAAACTGGAGGCAGCTAAACCAGCACTAGAAGAAGCAGAAGAAGCTCTTAAAGTGAATGAATTTAATTTTTTATTAGTACAGTATTATTTGCATCACCTGTGAGAAGCCAGAGCCACCAATACACAGCTGTCTCTTGGCACTGACTGCTGTCACCAGCTCCTCGCTGTTGCTGGCCATGTCTCTCATGAATGCTTAAGGCACACATATTTTACTTAAAACACAAAGGGACTGTTTTATACTGATTTTTTGTTCCATCTGAATACTTGATCATTATGAAGGTGGAGATCTTTCCAAAAGCTACAGATGCCTTTAGAATATCTGTTATTCTGAGTTCAAGGGAATACTTCTTGTGCTAACAGAATGTTTTTAATTCAGACTTAAGTAGTTACACCTGTCTTTTAAGACAAATAAAAATCTATCTCTTCCTTCACTAAAACCCACAATGCTTTTATTTTAAGAGAAACAGTAAACAAAGGGGATTCAGGGTAATCAGAGGCATTACTGTACTACATAATTCATTCTTCTGCTCTGAACAGTAAAAATCTCTGAAATCAGAAATCAATGATGGCCTTCCATTCCAGTTATCAGAATTTATGTGACAGAAGTTCTTGAGTAGAAAAAGCACAACTTAAGTAGTTACACCTGTCTTTTAAAACAAATAAAAATCTATCTCTTCCTTCACCAAAAACCACAATGCTTTTATTTTAAGAGAAACAGGAAACAAAGGGGATTCAGGGCAATCAGAAGCAGGGTTCAGAAATCTGGAGCCATTACTGTGCTACATAACTCATTCTTCCGCTCTGAGCAGTAAAAACCTCTGAAATCCGAAATTAATGATGGCCTTCCGTTCCAGTTATCAGAATTTGTGTGACAGAAGTTCTTGAGTAGAAAAAGCAAAAAAAGGTGCATTGTTTGCTCTTACACTGATATTTAGATAATGAGATAAATGAAACTTCCAAAAATAGCCACAAAATTGCTAAAGTTTCTATAAAAAAACTATAAAATGTATTAATTAGGCCAGGTTTCTTACTTTTTTTTGTATATACTTAATGCAAATGCACCTCAGAGAAAAGTATTACAAATGAACATGAAAATCAAGATATTGAATGGGAAAGTAGAATGATGGTATTGATGCAGGATTCTATTACACCTTTCTTCAAACAGACCATCAGACCAGAGGATATCGCTACTGTTAGAAAACTTGCAAAACCTCCTCACCTCATTATGAGGATCATGGACTGTTGTCTGCTACTATTTCAAAAGAGACTGGATCAAGTTACCATGGATCCAGAAAAGCCTTGCTGCAAGCCATCATGGGGAGAATCATTAAAAGTAAGTAGAGTTTTCAAACGGTGTTTCTTAAACATCAGAAATAGCAATTAGCTTATCAGAGAACTTATGGTGCTGTTTGCCCAAAACAAGACAGAATTTTATTGAAAGGCAAGAATATTGTTTTAAGATAAACTGTATCTATACACTATGTCTAACTGGTAGAAATAGTAGATGAATTGCTTGGAGACTTTTGCAGCACAAACTTTAGAGGTTGCTTGACCTGTTCCTGTCAATGATGGTAACCATAACAAATAGTGCTCTTGCATTTTATTTAGGCTTTTACAGTTTAAAAAGTCATCAAAAGCTTTTATTATCCACTGATGTAATAAAATGAGATAAACAGTTATTCCATGAATTGCCTTTAGCATGCTAAAAGTTTGTTAGAAAAAATTAAACCAAATTATTTCACTTTTCAGAATTTATATAATACATCACAACTGCCAAAGCAGGTTTTTTTGCATTTAGTTAAGTTACAAATATATTTCTGAGTCTTTCTTTGGGTCAATTTTTTTAAGTTAAATGATGCTTCTTAAATGCTTCTAAAGTGCAACACAGGAATATAGGAGATGGAAAGTACATCAGTAACTTTTGAATCGAGTTACTGGAGTGTAATTGGTTAAATCTTCAAAATAACAGAAGGTGTGTGTGAAGAGTTACAACTGAATAGCACAATTATAATATTAGCAATGTGAATTACCTCTGTTTACAGAAGAATTTTAGGAATGCTTTTTAACAGCTTGACCTATGAGCAAGACCTTGAACATAAAATGTATAAATAACTCGTGTGTTGTTTTTTGAAGCTTATGAGTGGCCCATTCTTGAACAACCTAAGGAACTTTGCCAGGGATACAATCAATGATGAGACAGTAGAATTAGTCCAGCCTTACTTTGAAATGGAAGACTATACACTGGAAAATGGTAAAAAAGTGTGTGGCAACGTGGCAGGACTTCTCTCTTGGACAAAAGCCATGGTGGTATTTTATGGTGTTAACAGAGAAGTCTTGCCTCTTAAGGTAATACATCCCCTCTTGCTTTGTGTTTGCTTACCAAGTAATTGAATGTAGTTTAATGTAATAGGATTTTACAAGTGTATATATATATATATATATATATATATAAAATCTTTATGCAGACATAATAGCCTGTGATTTCACTGGCTAAAGATGGTAGGAGCAGAAACAAAACTATTTTCTTTTTGCTTCTAGACAGAACACAGAACAAAAAATTAGCCTAGATTAAATTTATGTGATCTGGTTTACTGTATATAGGGAAAGGTGTTTCCAGTCTTTTCTTTTTATTATGTTAAAATTACTTTATAATTGTTTTTAAAATGTTGTACCAAAATCTTTCTTCCTTCTCCAGAGGGTCCTGCAAACAGAGGTTTGCAGCTATTTTAGGTTCTTTGTTTTCTCCTGGTAACTTGGAAGCAGTGGAGGACTGATATCTTGCCTAAATATTGGCTTTCTAAAGAGGTTCAGAGATCACATCAATAAAGGAGCTATGTTGCAATAGTAGGAAGCAAAACAAGGAAAACATTTTTAAGAGTAAATTTTTACTTTAGTGTGTGTGAGTGTTCTTTTTCAGGTTTATGAAACTCACAGGCAGTGATTTTTTTGTTCTAAACAAAGTATTTTATCATTAAATATAGCATAATTTAAAAAAATAGTAAAAGGGGTGAGCACATGGCGATCCCAAATTTTTTTAACCTTTATGTCACTGGTAGAAGTGTTATTTACAGAAGCAACAGTAATACAGATGAATTCTTTTTAAAAAAATCAATTAATTTCCTGTGTTCACCATAAATATAATTTTAGGAGCAATAGGCAGAGTCACTGTTTTAGGACCATTTTACCCATTTCAGTGGGTAAAAGCAATATTGTTAGCTGATAAAGGACCAATCTCCTGTTGTGATTGCTGGCTGCTACAAAATTCACTAATAAAAGAGGAAATTACATATAGGCAACCAAGAGTACTGAGTGATTTTTCTTCTGGTCTAAGCAATGTGTACAGATCAGAAACCTTACTTCCTTAACCAGCTTCTTGAAATGTAATTTTCTAAAGGAATAAAATTGAAAATATATAGTAGAACTTTAGGTACTGTATTGTTATTGAACAAAGAAAATCTTATCTTCAGTATATATGTGATATAGTTTTCAGCTTAAATGTTTTTGATGTTTATCTAAAAGTTATTTTGATGTATTGTTGTCTTGTGATTACCAGCTAAGTAGGCTTAAATAGTTCATTTAATTATATTAAAATAATATATATGATTTAACTTTAAATTTTTTTTTCTCCTTTGCAGGCTAATCTGGCAAAACAAGAAGGTCGCCTGAAAATAGCTAATGCAGAAAAAGATAAAGCTCAGGCAGAATTAGATGAAAAGCAAGCTGAACTGGATAAAGTGCAGGCAAAGTTTGATGCAGCAATGAAGGAGAAAATGGTGAGATAAAAGCATTTTAGTCTTACCAAAAATGCTTGTACAATTGCACTTGTTATGCAATTAGGATTTGCTGCAAACACACACTTACCTGCTACCTTGAATAACATGGCTGAGATTGAGGTGTAAGAGATTTAAGTCTATATCTGCTTCCTGTGAATAGGAACATATTAGATGCCCTTAAGTGTCCTCAAGGATGAGTTTTAAATAAATAAAATAGTTATAAGAGGATGAAAAGTATATAAAATAACTCCACATTTTTGCATTTGATAATTGAATAGGTATTTTTTTCAATTTTAGGACTTACAGAATGATGCAGAAACATGCAAAAGAAAGATGCAAGCAGCCTCTGAACTTATAGATGGACTGAGTGGAGAGAAAGTTAGATGGACTCAGCAAAGCAAAGAATTTAAATCTCAAATTAAAAGGTATCAAATCCATTACAGAAAAACAAAAAAGAATGTGCTTGTAAAAACTGAAGTGTTGGTAAACAATTTAGTAGCTTTAATTGTGGTACTTCATTTTCTTCCTGGAAATCTTAATATAGCAATGTAATCAAATGAACTACCCTGGAATTTGAATTTTCCTCCCATAAGTAAGAATACATGGGTGCTGAGTACCAGTATTTCAGTTAAGAACAATACCTCTGATTTTGGAATTAGCTTCCAAAAATATTATTACTAGGGCTGTTATGTGCCTGTATTAGAGTTGTTTCTGCAGTTCCCCTAATACTGCACATCGTTCTATTGTCACTGGGGAAGTGAAACCTTCAGATAAGCTCAGCTTCTGTAGAACACTTATGCCACTATAAATTTGCTATGGGGAAAGTGGGCATTTCTGGTGAGAGTTTCAATAGAACTACATTTGTATCCTTGATAAATAGTTTTTTATCAGACATATTTTTAAGAGATAAACAATTTTGTTAACTCATTTAGGAAAAAAGGAATAGTTGTCATCAGGGCTTTATTGTTTTGTAGGGGGTTTGTATCCTTGAGAAATAGTGTATCTCAGACATATTTTTAAGAGATAAACAATTTTGTTAACTCATTTAGGAAAAAAGGAATAGTTGTCATCAGGGCTTTATTGTTTTGTAGGGGTGGAGACCGTGTTTTCATGAAATACTACTCAAATTTTGCCTCAAAAATTCTCCGGAAACAACTTGTTTTTTTTTTTAACCTTCTTATGTTTCAAAAGCTGGTTGTCTAAGTAATTAGAAATTGAATTTGTGCACCACCTTTTAATGATGATTTTTCTTCCTTTTCTAGGCTTGTGGGAGATATATTGCTCTGCACAGGCTTTCTTTCATACTGTGGGCCTTTTAATCAAGACTTCAGGAACCTTTTGCTTAAGGACTTATGGGAAACAGAGTTGAGAGCTCATAAAATCCCCTTTTCTGATGATTTGAACCTGATTTCTATGTTGGTAGATCAACCAACAGTAAGTTCTTGGTGCTTGCAGGGTTTAACTTGAATTTCTGTTAGGATATTCTATGACTTTTAGCCAGCATTGTGCCTGCTTAGAGAAGAACTATAATCCCCAGTATTCCAAATATTGCTATACTGTGTAGTTCTGTGGTTTCCAAATGCTCTTGGCAATTTCCTCTCAGTCTTGGCATAGTAATAATAACAAAACCCAAGAGAAACAAGTGATGCACAATAGACTCTCTCGCCCCATGCCGACCAATACCCAGCCAATCCATAAACCATGATCAGGCCTCTTCTGAGTAACTCCCCCACTTTATACAGTGGACATGGCATTCTCTGGTATGGAATATCCCTTTGGTTTGTTCAGGGCAGCTGTCCTGGCCATGCTGCCTCCCAACTCCTTGTGCACCTGCTCACTGGCAGAGCACAGGACACTGAAAAATCCTTGCCTTGGGGTAAGCACTACTGAGCAACAGCCAAAACATCAGTGTGCCAACGTTATTCCTACAGTAAATCAGAAAAACACAGCACTGTATACCATCTACTAAGAGAAAATTGACCTTTCTTTCAGCCAAAACCAGGACATTTCTAAAACAGCGGGTTTGGTTTTAATTTAAAATAGAATACATGAAGTTCTTTTATTCAATGTAAATGTATTAGAAATGGGCAAAGAGTGGGAAATGCCAGAATCTTTCCTTTTTTTTTTCTTTCATTTTTTTTCCTTAATTTTTCCTTCAGTAAACATTTTTTTCCTTCAGTATTTTTCCTTCAATAAACATTTTTTTTTCCTTCAGTATTTTTCCTTCAGTAAACATTAATTCCTGAAAGCTTTCTTAGACTGGTTTTTGCCTAATTGATCCCAATGCTTAATTTATTTGTCTTTTGACATCCTCACACTTCAAAACATACCTTTTGTGATTGTATGTAGTTTAAAAAATCCATAAAAATAAAATTCTGAAAATATGTTTATACCTGCATTAATAATTCTTCAGCAGGTTCAGATTTGCATTCCTTTTGATGTCCCTGTTACTTCCTAGTCTTTAAAATATATCTTTTGTGACTGTATGTAGTTTAAAAAAATCCATAAAAATAAAATTCTGAAAATATGTTTATACCTGCATTAATAATTCTTCAGCAGGTTCAGATTTGCATTCCTTTTGATGTCCCTGTTACTTCCTAGAAGAATTTTAATTGAATAAAAATTACAGTGATAATTTATTTCAAACTACTCATTTTACTTCCTTTTTTTTTTTTTTTTTTTTTTTCCTTTAGATTAGTGAGTGGAATCTTCAAGGATTGCCTGGAGATCACCTCTCAATTCAGAATGGTATTATTGTCACTAAGGCATCAAGATACCCACTTTTAGTAGACCCACAAACTCAAGGAAAAGCGTGGGTTAGAAATAAAGAACAGGAGAATGAATTACAGGTAAACAGTATCTTAAAGGAAGGGTGTGCTCTACTATACTCCTTCAAACATAATTGCTTTAGAGGGAGGTTGCATTTGAGTCAGTGTGATCTGACATAAGTTTAACATGTATGGAGACTGACAATTATGTAGATGCATCAGCAGGGAACTTCAGAACAACTGTAAATCCCACTCAAGGGCTTGGAAAAGACTATCCAACTTGCATGAACTCTAGCAAAAAGTATAAAAGTATTTTGTTCAAGATGGGTAGGTATGGTCCCAACACAAAAGAGGACAAAGAGATGATAATTTAAAAACCAAAAGAGTATAATATGAAATTATTAAATGATAGCAAATTGGGCGAATGTTAGTAACATTACAGATAAAGGCAGGATAAGTTACAGCTCTGAAAATGTAGGCAAGGTGCCTCAAATGTTGCAGCCCATAATTTAGGACCTGAGAGGGTATGCATAATGAGGTTGTCACTACAAAAGGAGCTTGAGGAAATCCTGCTGAAGCCATACCCATGAAAAATTTGCCTATCCTAACATTACTGCAATCTTCATAGCTCTTTCACAGGTTAAACCAATATGCTAAAATGACTGCTCATGAAACATAAAACAAAGATGTTCATGTGTCACTATTTTATCACAATTTTTTTTTCCCAAATGACGTGGCATGGCAAAAGGAAACTGCATTTTAAAACCCTTAGCCTGAATCTTGAGAAAACTCCAATGTCCTGAATGTCAATACATTTTGAAGTGTTTAGAATTAGTTAATTATATAGCTTACTATTTTATGCATGCTTTTAAATTATTTTCTATAGTATTAATCCCATTTAATGAAATATCAATATGAATTCATAATATTGGAGCAGTGTTTCATTTCTTAGACTTCCATATTTTAGAGTCCATATTTCCAGCAAAATTCTCAGCACTTCAAAGCTAAAATTAGAAAATCTAGTCCTTCTAGGACATAGAACAGAAAATTAAAGGCTAGGTGTCTCTGATTTCTAAAATATACATAACATATTTAATATGCAATAAGCTGTACCAGTTTGATTTAGTACATTATTAGTCTCATAATGAAGTCCTGAGGATTCAGTTACAGCCAACCTTTTAAGTCACCTTTTTATGATACTTTTTACTGTACACACAGAAGTATTTCTGCATAAATTGCTTCATGGTCAATATTTATTGCACCTGCTTTAAAATGCAACTACCAAAAACAATGAAAAAATTTTCCATGGTTACGTCTGTGGTTTTCCTGTAAGACTGAGGAAATGCTCTCTCCTTACACCAATTTATAATTTACTTTTTGAGGTAACAACTCTGAATGACAAGTATTTCCGGCAACACTTAGAAGACAGCCTTTCACTGGGACGATCACTCCTGATTGAAGATATAGAGGAAGAATTGGATCCAGTCCTTGATAATATACTAGAAAAAAATTTCATAAAATCTGGATCTGCTTTTAAGGTTAGTAATCAAACAAAATAAGCAGAATAAATAGCTAGCCTTGTGACAGATGTTATTTTACCATTGTTATAAACATTTGCTGAATCAGGTAAACTTTGTATTCAGTAGAGACATGTAAAGAATCAAACTGAACTAATAAAATACAGCAGATGGAGCCTCAGCTGTGTAGTAAGTGGGCAAGTCTAAACTATGAGTTTAACTACCAGGGTTATTAGTGAAGATTCCAAACTGGAACCAATTATGCTTGTCTGATGAAATGCTTAAAATTCTTTCTACTGATTTTCAAGCAGTGCAAATATGCTTAAGGAAGTGGTTTGGTCCTGCTCTTATTATAAGCCAGGCATTTGAAGCCACCTTGGAGACTCATATGTTGGAGCCTCATTTGCCACCCACTGTCCCATGGCAGATGATCTTCAAGGTCCCTTCCAACACCAACAATTGCGTGATTCATACTGCAGTATACAGTGATCTGATTTCCTTGTCCATATGCAGCTTTTGAGTTAGACCACTGTTTCAGAATGTATTAATTCTATAAAAATTTATTTTGAATACTCTGAATGAATTTTTACTACCTTCAGAAATATTCTTTGAAACCTGCTTAGTCTTAATAAAGTTAAAATTTATGTCCAGTAATTTCTGTTCCGTTGTTGGATCACATAATTCCTTTTACCTTGGACATAACAGAATGATGATTTCTACAAAGGTCAGCAGTTTCTACTGCCTCTTCATTTGAGATATGATTAGAAACCAAATGGTTCTGAAGCTGTTAATCATAATCCACAGGGGAAGTGGTCCCTATATTTAGCTGAAGGGAAATGCTACTTTTATAACTACTCTAACTTATACATTTGGGCATTGACTTTTATTTTCATGACAAATTTAAGTTGTGAAATAAATTTCCTCTTTTTGTCACTTCAAATCATGTAAATTTTTTTTCTGCTCAATGTTACTGAGTTTAATAAGGCTCATTTTCCTCTGTTTAATACTATTTTAACTTAATCCACAGGTGAAAGTTGGTGATAAGGAAGTAGATGTTATGAATTCATTTAGACTGTTCATTACTACGAAGCTACCTAATCCTTCTTTCACACCTGAAATTAATGCAAAAACATCAATTATTGATTTTACTGTTACAATGAAAGGACTTGAGAATCAGTTACTGAGAAGAGTAATACTCACTGAAAAACAGGTAAGTTAACAGTACAAATAAGTCATAGTGAAATTTAATTTTTTTTTCCATTTAATTTGTTTTGGTATGTAGAAAAAAGAAATGTTCAAATGGAACGTTAACAGTACAGATAAGTCATAGTGATATTTAATTTTTTTCCATTTAATTTGTTTTGGTATGTAGAAAAAAGAAATTTTCAAATGGAAAAAAAAGATATTAGCTATTTCCTAAAATTATATTCAGATTCAGTGTAGATATTTCCAAATATCAAAAATGCATTGGGAGGCTCTTAATATATACATGACTGTCAGTACAACACAAACAATTACCTGGATTTGACATTGATAAGATACATCATAAGATACTGGATAAACACTGCTTAAAAAAAATTTGTTTTTAAAAACATGTTTTAGCTACCAAGAAAAGTAAAATGCACATTTCATGACTGGATCCAACTCTTCACCTGTATCTTCAATCACAAGTCATTCACTTGAAAAATCAGAAACTGAATTTTAAGTATCTGTCATAGTTGCAACCCATAAAATGTCATGCCGTTTTCTTTTTTTTAATAACAGGAACTTGAGGCAGAACGAATTAAACTCATGGAAGATGTAACTTCTAATAAGAGGAAGATGAAGGAACTGGAAGACAATCTTCTTTACAAACTAAGTGCCACCAAAGGTTCTGTATAAAAATATTAATCAGATGAGGCAGATAAAACTGATTCACACGAGGTCCTTTCCTTACATATTTTGGTTTCTCCTTCTAAGATATTTTAAGAGAATGTGCAGTGGCAGGAGTATGAGGACTTTGGTGCTATAACATGCCACTATATGCAACTCAGGACACCTAAGCTTAACACCTAAACAAGTTTTTTGAAATACATCCATATTTTTGAGAGCTTTCTGCCCCTCAGATGAGAGAAGGTATCTGGCCATGGGTAAATCTTTAAACCATTGAAAATGTAAATTGGAATGGCCTGACTTAAAATTGTCTTGAAGCTCTTCTGCACTACATTATGAGCCTGAACATGATCACTTACTATCTCTGGTGGAAAAATAATCTGGTAACAGAAAATCTGTGAGTAACTGCTGGAGATTCGTGCATATCATTGAATGACCATTTCCCTTAGGACCATAAGTCTTTTTTACTTTGAGAGTGATGATGAATAGACTTCAAAATAATTTAAATAATTTGTGGATAAGATAGGTGACTTCTCTAGTATGTGTTGCAAACTGTTGGTATAAATACATTTAACATATTTTGAATGAATTTGCTAAAATATGTTGGATGTAAAAATAATTTTTAGCATTACATATCCTGTCTGGTCTCTAGTTTAAAAGCTTTCTGTAATTCAATAAATAATTTCATTTTTTTTACTAAATAATTCCTGTAATTTGGCTTTTTGTTTTCTATATAACTATGAAGTGAAAATATTGTTACAATAATATCCTAAACATCCAGTATTTTACTTTTCAGGTTCACTAGTGGATGATGAGTCTTTAATTGGTGTCCTGCAAACAACTAAGCAAACAGCTGCTGAAATAGCTGTCAAGTTGTCTGTGGCAGCAGAAACTGAAGTGAAGATTAACACTGCTCAGGAGGAATATCGACCTGTTGCTACACGTGGAAGCATTCTTTATTTCCTTCTTACAGCAATGAGCATGGTCAATAATATGTATCAAACTTCACTGGCTCAGTTCTTAAAGCTATTTGATCAATCTATAGCCAGGTAGGAAGACACAGATTTTTCCTACTATTCAGGTGTTTGCTTTTCCAATGTATTTGCTCTTATTAATGTTTGTTTTTTTTGCTTTGTTTTCACGATTTTTTAGGTCTAAGAAATCTCCTGTGCCTCAGAAAAGAATCTCAAATATTATTGAATATCTCACTTTTGAAATTCACTCATATTCTGTTAGAGGCCTATATGAAAACCACAAATTCCTCTTTACCCTCCTTCTGGCTTTAAAAATTGATATTGAGAGAGGGCATGTGGAAAACAGAGAGTTCCAAACTCTCATTAGGGGTAAGTTTTAAAAATTGTGTTATGCATAGAACTAATTCAACTTTTTAATCTTTTGTGCCATTTCGAAACCTTATTTCTTTGTCTACATGGTTTCTATCAACATTTCTGTGGGAGCTGGGCTTGTTCTGCCTGGCGAAGGGAAGCCTTAGAGGACAGCCAATAGTAGCCTTCTAACACCTGTGAGAAGGCCATTAATAAGGCTAAGTTATAATTTGGTATGAAATAAGTACACAAGAGTACAGTTAGTATCACAGAGAAAATTATTTAGGTCAAAATACATAATTTAAAAAGAACTATCAATTATATCTTGACCCCTGGAATATCATGTATTTCATCAGAAAGTACATTTCATCCTGTGTTTTTATCCACAGGAGGTGCAGCTTTGGATCTACAGGCTTGCCCACCCAAACCTTGCCGATGGATTCTTGACATGATATGGCTAAATCTAGTGGAGTTGAATAAACTTCCACAATTTGAAGAAATTTTGAACCAGGTGATATTTTCTAATCATCTTTTTAATGTTAATTACCAGTTTTGTCATCATAATTGTGTTTCCACAAAAATACAGAATAACATCATAGAGACAATTAGGTAGCATGAATGGTGGTGTGTTTATTTATCTTCTTTATGGTATTTGGTGTTATAGTAATTGAGGGAGAAAAAGGAGAGAAGGAACAGGAGCAAAGGAATAAGGAAGTCAATAAAAGAGAGATAAGATAAAAAGTTAGAGGTATCAAAAAGGCTCATAAAATTAATCTGAATGTCAGATTAATTAATTAGTTTTAAGTTACAATGTTGTATGTCTTGATTCTAGTGTATTTTTACAAGTGAGCGGCTTACTGCTTGTTTTTAAATACTTATTTCTGTCCCAAGGTTAAAATTTAAATATGATGAGCTACAAATGCCATGTTTTACGTAGACATGCATAAACTTATAGACACATAAGCTTGTGGTATGTTCAATTTGGTAAATTTATTTTTCTTTTTTTGGTGTAGTTAAACCACTCCCTAAGCATTTGTTGTCTCTAAGTCCTCCTTGCTAATCAGGCTGATGGCCAGGACAGTAAGTTCTTCTTACTGTTACAGCATTGGCTGGCCAAGTCATTTTGTGATGGCACATATTGCCCTGGAGGGTAGCAGACATTTTAGCTAAATGGTTACCTGCAAGTGGTCACTCATATTCTGTTAGAGGCCTGTATGAAAACCACAGGCTGTGGTTTTCATGGCTGTTTTATGGCTGTTTCTAAACCCTGTAACAAGGCAAGAGTTGGATACATAGCAGTGAAATTCTTCCAGTTTTTGGTTTCTTGCGGTATCAGATAGAATATTAAGTTAGAGGAAAGTTGGAGGAGCTTCAGTTAGGTTGCTCACTCTGGGTTATTAGGGCACCAGAATCCTATTTCTATAAAAGTCCTTTCACCAGGGCTTTTCTAGAATGTGTGCAAACAAAATTTTAGACTTCAAAATACTTAGGTGACAATGTTACCACAAAAACTCTCCTTTTAAAATTAATTTTTTAGTACTGTCCTACTTTAGCCATGTAGTTGCAAAGTTAAAATGTGGCAATTAAAATTATTTCAGTCATAGAAATGGAATATGGGAGGGTGCTAACTAGAACATAAATTAAAAACCCAAATATTGTGAAAACATCTTTTAAATCTTATTTTTATCCATTAGAAGTGTTGTTTTATTTCATTCATCATATAAAATACAACTGTATCATTATTCATTTAGATGAAACAGAAAATTATTTAAAGTGACCAAAAGAGGACTGAGAATTATACACTCAGTTCTCAAGAGGTTTCCTATGCTTTTCTTTTTCTCATGCTAGTTTAGATTCATTTTTCTCCTCTAAAAAAAAATAAGTCTCAGATGCCTAATTTAACATAGACATCTTCTGTTTAAAACCTTTATCAGTGCATTCCTTGTTCTCTTTCCAGAGAATATTGCAGTAGCTAACCTTCCTCAGTCACTGCAGTGAAGGCTCCGTTGCATTTTCACTGTGTTCTGCCCACTGGTATTCCTTATCCTATTAGGACACAGGTTCTAAGAGGTGCCTAAAATATTTGTGGTCAGGTTTATTCTTTCTCCAGCCAAAAGCTTACTAGAATCTGCTACTTTTAAGTTGCCATTCATTGGCTGGATAAACTGTACTGGGACAGATTTTTCTGGTCCTCTTCATATTTTGTGACCAAAAGGGATTAATTAATCAATCACAGTGTGTTCCTCTTGTAATATAGAGCATAGTTCTTGTAGTATATAGTATAGTTCCTCCTGCTAATTACTGATTTTTTTTAAGTAGATGCATCTGTTCGGGAGGGGAATCCATAAATAACTGACTGGCTTGAGAATCTGCATCTTTACACTGATTGCAGCAATTGAATTAATATTATTTGTAGTATTTTAGTAGCAATTCTCACGGCATACGTCTTAAATGCTATAGGCAATATTATTTGTAATATGTCCTAATATAATAATGGCCTCTCATTAAAAGCTACATTTGCAAGGAGATTTTAATGCGATGGCAATATATTTATTTGTGTGTTAATGTAATAAATTTAGATAGCTCACAGTGATAAGGCATGGAAACACTGGTTTGATAAAGATGCCCCTGAGGAAGAAATTATCCCTAATGGATACAGTGATTCACTTGACACCTTCCGCAAGCTTTTACTCATCAGGTGAGCATCTTCAGAAATTTTGGGAAATTACACAGTTGCAACACATCTCAACCTATCAGTATGCTATTATCATAATAGTGTAATTTCAGTTATCTCTGGGTGACATTAAATAGCAATTCACTCACATGAAATATGTTTTTATTTAATTACTTCAGAGCTATCCTCTGCCATCTAAAGGTATTTACAGAAAATATTTTTTATAGCTTTGCTTTTATGTAATGAGAAATGGAAACTGGAAACCATATTGCAGCCTTCTTTGAGAAGCCTGTGAAAAAGTAGAATATTCCAGATAATTTTCAATTTTTAAAAAATTTCTTTTAAAATTAACTATTTTAAATACTTTTAAACAAGTATTAAAATATAAAATGCAAAAAAGAGAGATGGTGGAAATCTAAAATATGTGTTCAAAATTCCATGTGAAAAGAGTGCTGTAAATTATATTTTTTGCATCATGTAGGACCTCTAAGCTCTTGGGATGAAATGGATTTCCAAAGAAGCATTCAGCTGCCTTATGCATGAGATCATATCTTCCTCCATTGGTTTTATACTTTCCAAGTTCTGTAACAAAAAAATCAGAGATACTACAAAATAGCCCAACAATATTATTTACTAGACTGTGATTTGTCTTTGGAGGAGATTCAACCTGTGAAGTAAAAAAGGGTAGAATCTGATGGAAATATCATATTGTTTAATGCTCTACACCCTAAGAGGGAGGGGACCATCTAAGTCTGAAGCATTTGAATTATCTTCAGAACCTGAAGATTGTCAGAGTAATATGTTTTATCCAGAAGTAGTTGTTTGTTTGTTTTATCATGGGAAAAACACTCATCACCAACACAAATACAATCCAGTGCAAAAAATTGAGTTTGTACCCTAAAAACTAACAGACCAAATGAACCATCTGCAGAGTTTTACTAAAGGGCAAAAACTATCTTAACATTTCCCACTTTGTGTTCTCAAATACAAAAGTTCTGTTTAAAATGAAGAATGTCCCAAACTAATGAAGGTGCCTAGAACAGAAAATTCCAGTGCAAATAGTTAAGGCAAAATTGTAAGCAACTGGTGAGTATCATAAGTAGAGGAAAGACCATCAGCTCTGCCTATTATATCTGTAAAGACAAACCTACAAACAAATATATGAACATGTGTGTATGCATACACACATCATATATATTATGATTTTTAAAAATCCCTCTGTTTGATAAAAATAAATTTGAGTCTGATCTTGTAGGAAGGGGCAGTGAATTTATATCTTTGTATGTATTATATTTTGTAGGTCTTGGTGTCCAGACCGAACACTTTCCCAAGCCAGGAAATACATTGCAAGTTCCTTGGATGAGAAATATACAGAGCCAGTTATTTTGAATTTAAGAAAAACTTGGGAAGAAAGTGACATGCGAACACCTCTCATCTGTTTCTTGTCTATGGGATCAGACCCAACTGATCAGATTAATTCCTTGTCTCGGAAGCTTAATTTGGGTATGAAAGTAATTCATTTTCATATGTTAAAACACAGATGGGCAGTGTAACTAATTTCAGAGATTTTTTTCCTGAGAAGTATTTCTTAAAATCTGTTGCACTACTGTTTGTTCCTAAAACATCATGTTAGAGATAAAATAATGTTTAAAGAAGAAGACAGTATGCTACGAACCATTCTGTGTGAAGTTGGAGAGTAATTGTCTGTTGCACTACTGTTTGTTCCTGAAACATCACGTTAGAGATAAAATAATGTTTAAAGAAGACAGTATGCTACGAACCATTCTGTGTGAAGTTGGAGAGTAATTCAAGTCTTTTTTTAATAAATTGTTATCCTCCTTCCTGGTGATGATAATGTTTTAAATCCCTATCTTGTAAAGCAATTAATTCATGTTTTAAAGTTCTGTTATGGTGACAATATTTTCTTGTTTTAACTCTTAACTACAGGTAACTGAAAAATCAGTAATCTGCTTAGAATATTAATTTGTAACAAAGAAATAGCTACAAGATCTACAATTGCATATTCTGGACTCTAGTTCTACACCATATGGAAGTCTTGAAATGTGAATATAAACTGAGTTGAGAGTAGATCCTATATATTCTTGCATTTGTCTCTTTAGTATGTTCATAAATGCAGTTTTGCATCTTTGTATTGTATTTATGTACACTTTGAGAAAAATCTCTGTTAATATTTCACATAATCTGACGTTAGAATTTGGCACAAATTCACATTCACAGTCAACATTAGTTACAGTCTTTAACTTCTGTAAGTATTGTGTATGTGTATTTCAGTGTTGTTATACAAAATGTCAATGTTTAGAAAATGTATACATAATAGTATAATATGATGGTGAAGGGCTTCTGCTCTCATATATTTTTGAATTAAATTTATTTAATTGTGCTGTTTTTATATCACTGGTTGTTGGACTGAATTGAAATTCTTACTTTTTCTCAAAATATAAGTTCATTATAATGTAAGTTCATTAATCTTATATTGTCAAATATGGTTTGATATATTATAGAATGTAGGACCATCTCAATGGGCCAAGGACAAGAGGTTCATGCACGCAAACTCATAGAGGTGTCAATGGAACAGGTGAGGAAAAACCATTACAACATAAGTTGATTGTTTGTTTTGGTATTCTTTTACACCCCTTCAGCATGCAGTCTATAATATTTTGCATTTTCATCTTACTATCAAGCATATCTCAGGGTGACCATGTCTTTTTGAATGCCTGAGTTTAAATCATTTATCTGTGGCATATATATGTGACGGCAGAGTCCAAGCCAATTCCTCTGGCAGCAGTGCTACTGAGCAGCTTCCCAAAAGCAGCACATTCCTTACTTATCACTACACTCTTAACAAAGGGTTAAAGGACATTGGGGCATGGTCCTGTCCAGAGCCCACCTCTTTATTAGAATTTTTTTTCATTTTTTCCCACATAAGAGATATCTGGATGTTGCATAGCTTCTACTGAATAAAACTGTGTGCACATGTAGCTTAAAGTTGTAGATACAGAAGGATGTGCTTGCTTCTAAAACTGTTTCACATTTTCCTTACAACCCTGCTAGTGACAGGACCACTTACCAGCATTTGGTGTCTCTTCTTTGTTTCTTTAATTGTCAATCCTTTGACTGACTCCCAAGCATGTCTAAGAACTTCTAAACAATATATAAAAAATTTTCTTTAAATGTTGTCATGTATTTTGTTATGGCAGATGATATTCCCCAACTGTAAAACCATGAAAAACCTAAGTAGCAGCTACAGAGAGATAGTGATTGATGGTACCTTCTGGTCAGCTGGACACTTCAGGGACTTGTGGACAGTCTTTCAAATGAAGACATACAGCTATAGTTGCCTCCAAACTCAAAATATGGGGTATCAGTCATATACCTGTACTTTGGAGGGATAGAATATCTCCAGTAATAGAAAGCAGAACATTGGCATATAGATGTACACCAATTTGCAAAACGAGAAAAAAGAAATCTCTTTATAGCAAATGACAATTTATATTACAAGTCCACACATTCTTCTGGTATTTCTTTCTTTGTATGTCTAGAATGGTCACTGTCAACTCCCAGTTCTTTGCAATGGTGAAAACTGGAGCATCCCTTCCTCTCTTTTGCCCTTAATTTGAAGCACAAGGATACTCAGCACTCCAGCAGAGCTACCAGTAACAATTTCTGAACTACATGCCTTAGTGCTGAAGGGAGGAAAATATGAACATCAGATTTGAAACTACTAAACAGAATTAGTGAATATGAAGACAAATACCTATTTGGTTTTTTTGTACCTCTGGCCAAGAGTATATAATTTGATTAAAATTGCCGTGCTGTGTTACAGGAAGATAATTTTCAAAAACTATGTTTGATTCATTTGAAAATGTACAAAATTGATTAAATATCTCCCTCAGAAAAGTTGATCCCCATAAAAGAAGGAAAAAAACCACCTTCATTTAATCTTCTTTTTTTAATATCTATCAAGTCACCATAAATATGTCAATTACATTTTTTTCACCAACAGCTACTGATGTTTTTTAAATGAGCTAAAACAAAATTGCTAAAATGAAATTACAAGCTGTAATAAAATCCACTGTCCATCAGTGTTTAGAACTGATTAAATAATGTCCCATTTTAATTTCAGGCTTCTAATTCATCAGGCTTCTAAAGTGATGCTAAAAATGCTGATTGGATTTTAATTCATAAACCGAAGTTTAGAGAGACAATAATCCAACTAGAGCTTTCATGCAATTTGAGAGATGAATAAGATCAAATAAGTGGAGGTTGAATTTCATGCAAATGCCTTTATTGCAGATAAACTAATTGGAGTTGGAAACTTTTAGAGTCTCATTACTACCTCTTTGCACTTACTTTAGATTATGTTATTAACAAATTATTTTTTAAAAATATGTATTCATTAAATTTCAGCTGTTAGTTTTCCACTCACATTCTTTTGGATCTGATTACAGGATTGCTTATCACTGTGTTTTGCTGGAAGAGTACAGGAACCTCTTTTTGCCACTAGATAGCACTGATTCTTTACTTACAATATTGAGCCTGGTTATGTTATTTTCATTGAGAAAAAGAGAATGTGGAAGTAACTTTTGCTCTAACTTATCCTATTTGCTTTATCTGTGCCAATATCCTATAATATGAAAAGAGAATATATATTCAGGAACAGAAGTTTAAAAAAAACCATGGAAAACGAAATTTGATTCTTATATAGACAGCTGTCTTTAACATTAGGAATAATTTGTTCTAAATATTATATGGTAATTGTTGATATCCTTGTTTAGGGAGGCTGGGTGTTACTTCAGAATTGTCACCTTGGACTGGAGTTCATGGATGAACTATTGGAGACACTTCTTACTGGTGAGATGCAGAATGACACATTTCGAGTTTGGATAACTACTGAACAACATCCTAAATTCCCGATTACGCTGCTACAGGTTTGTTCAAATATTTAATTCAGGTAGTCATTGAAAATTATTCAAATTAATCATGTAAATAGTGCTGAAAAAAATGGAGGACAAAAACCCTAAAACCCATGAAAAATGGACTTTTGTTACAATGTAAATATCACTTCAAAAAGAAGGATACTTACCAGTAACTGGAAGTTCTTGATGATACATTATGTATGGGTGAGTGCACACTTATTCAGTACACAGAAGCCCTTCAATAAAAGCTATCTGGCTTTACTTGTATCCCTTTTTGCCCTACCAGATGCCTTGTGGACAGATCTGTGGACAGATTAATGCCCACAAACATTCTTCCAGAGAAAGATTCCAGATTCCCCTTTAATAAATACAGAAAGTGTAAATGGGACAGAACACACATAGATAACACATCTTTGAGAGCATCATCTACCTGATTTCTTTGGATGAACTATAAATGGCTGTTGGGTAGATCTCAAGGACAAATTTTTTGTCAGAACCAGGAGAATTGCCTAAACTCTTAAAAAGTATGTTTAAGTCACTGATGACGGTTCCCAACACTCTCACACTGGGTCATAGTGCTACTTAATATCTACTGTAATAGCTGTATGTTGACATTCCTACGTTCCCTTTCCTCTAAAAAACAGTGCAAGTCTCCTTAGTTCTCATTCTCTCTGAATAAAAATAGATGCCTCACCTGATATCCAGCATGTAAAGGGGGGAAGGATATTGTATTTTCAGAGACCCTTGTGGCTTGGAATTCTCCTTAGTTGTTCTCATTCTCCCTGAATAAAAATAGATGCCTCACCTGATACCCAGCATGTAAAGGGGGGAAGGATATTGTATTTTCAGAGACCCTTGTGGCAGGGAGGAATGATGAATCTGACTCCATGTTCTCAGAAGGCTAATTTATTACTTTGTAATACTATATTACATTAAAGAATATTATACTAAACTATACTAAAGAATACAGAAAGGATACTTACAGAATGCTAAAAAGATAATAATGAAAACTTGTGACTCTTTCCAGAGTCCCGACACAGCTTGGCACTAATTGGCCACTGAGTCAAAACAGCTCACACTAGAACCCAGTGAAACAATAACCTGTGGATAAACAGTCTCCAAACACACTCCAGAGGAGCAAAACACAGGAGAAGCAAATGAGATAATAATTGTTTTGCTTTTCTCTGAGGCTTCTCAGCTTCTCAGGAGAAAAATCTTGGCTGAAGGGATTTTTCAGAGCATATGAATGCCACAGAAGGACTCCTGTCTTGAAAGTGTAGAGACAACCTTCCGTAAGAATTGTCCATCACCATGGTCTGTGTATGTAAAACTAGGTGTATGGACTCTGTGTTCTCTCAAAAGAACAAAAAATCATCCTGCATCTCTGAGGGGTTTATGAATAGTGAGGTGTATGGACACACAGTTTGCTAGAAGTGGAAAAAGAGAACTCAGAGGGTTGCTAGATGAATCTTCACTGTGTTCATCTCAAATATTTCACATGTGATTTCCCACTATATAGTGTCATGTTACCTGCTAAAATGTCAGCATATTCAGGAATTCAGAACAAGAATAATTGACAAACCAAAGCCTCTTCTCAGGTGAAAAGAGAACAATTTGCTTTGCCCTTTTCAATATAGAGTTTTCAAATCCAAAACTGAGCAGGATATCCTTTGAAATGTGGAAACATTGATTTCTCAACTGTTCCAATTCAGTCCAACAATAACAGGAGCAGAACTCAATGTGTCCATGGGCTGCCTGGTCTGTCCTTCCTGTGGGACCTGCCATGTTACCCAAGCTAGACAGAAAAGTATTTACAGTTGGAGAAAAAAAAAACCCAACCTTTATTTTTATTTGAGTTCCACCAGCATTTGTAATTGTCTTGAGCAACAGAGATTCTGGTATGGCCAATCTGTGTCTGAACTAATAAATTGTTCCATGAGCATTATCCAGCACTGGAATGCAATAGCCCATAGGGGTAAGTAGTTACAATATTCCCTGATGTGAAAACCTGTGCTTACTAGCACTTTTCCAAATAATTTGCAGGTATGGTTTGAAAATCAAAATGGTGTAGCCACTCTTCCCATTAGGCAGTTTGCATGAAACTAAGGGGCTGAATTCTAATGGGCTGTGGCAATTTACTACCACAAATGTGGATTCAATGTCTACTGACCACAGTACACTGGAATATTCTCTGGTGAATCTAATTTGCTGCTGTAGACAGCCACAGAGTCCAGAGTAGCCACTGTGAACACAAAGATCTGATCTGAGGAGGAGTGAGACTTCATTGTATTTACTGTGAAATTCTGGGAACGGAAATACTATACTGTTCTTGTCATTTATATGGGATGCTTCTCTTCCATCATTCAGTCATTGAATCAGGGATATAAAAGCCTTCTGAAAAACAAAGTGACTGCTGTTATGTCATTGACAATAAATTTTAGGTCCATGGCCAAGTGTCAGTGATGGTTTTAATCAAGAGAAATTAAAGGTCTATGTTCAGAATCCTTTGTGGCCTAATCCAGTATGACTGCAGAAGAGAAGGCTTTGGGAAGACCGTTTTGCAGCCTTGCAGTACTTGAAGGGGCCAATAGGAAAGATGAGGACAGACATCTTAGTATGGTGTGTTGCAACATGGTGAGGGATTCTGGTTTTAAATTGAAGAAAGTTTTATTTAGATTAAATGCAAGTTTTTTTTACAGTGAAGGTGGTGAGGCACTCGGACAGGTGGCACCCAGAAAGGTTTTGGATACTCCATCCCTGGATATGTTCAAGGTCAAGTTGAACAGGGCTCTGAGCAACCTGATATGTTTGAAGATGTCACTGGTCATTGCAGGGAGGTTGGACTAGATGGCCTTTAAAAGGTCCTTTCCAACTCAAACTATTCTATGATTCTGTGTACTCCTTTTATGCAGTTTAAGTACATATCAACTTTATTTCTACAAGGCTTCAATTATTTACATTTTATTTATAACTAGTAGTTGTGACATTTTCATATGTTGCTATTTTTGTTTTGGTAAACAAATCCTATTCCTTTCTCTTTTTCTTGCGACAGATTGCTATAAAGTTCACAAATGAGCCTCCACAAGGTATACGTGCTGGACTGAAAAGAACATTTTCTGGAATTAGTCAGGATCTGTTAAACGTTAGCAACCTGCCTATGTGGAAACCTTTGCTTTACACTGTAGCTTTCCTGCATTCTACTGTTCAGGTATTTCTTAAAAGGCTTGCAAATACTGGTGTAATATATGAAGTCACTCTAATAGAGGTTGCTGAAAAAACACATTCTGATATTTATTGTAGCATCATGCTGCAGGACTAAAGCTTTAACTTCTGTAATCTGTATTTCAAGGTTCATTATTATCTCTTTGTTTTAAAATAGCTTTTAAACAATTCTCATATAATGGGCACTTAGAATTTGTTCTTTCTCATCTAACTTCAGCTGATCAAAAGTTAGTCATTGGGTATATGGGAAAAATTTCTCTCTGTAGTCAATAGAAATAGATGAGTATGCTGAAACAGAAAACCAGTTTATCTCTAACAGCTGTCTTTCTCTAAGAGTGAATATTTTTCTAGAGATATATCACCCTTTCCATTGATTTTAAAAGCAATCCAGATGCCTAACTTAGAGTAGCTATTTTCTAGATGGCTAAAATTAAATAAAATTCTTATAATATCTGTGTCAATATGTTTTCTACATTAATTCCAGTATGAGAACAATGATATCTATACATTGTACTTTAAAGAGAAATAACTTTTGAGATCACAGTAAAGACTAATATTCTGAGCTCTCTGAATGTACCTCCTTTTCACCAAGGATCTCAAAATAGTTACAAACACTGTTTAAGCCTTAGGTTCTACAGAGCATCTTGTATTTTTGGTGTAGGCAGCTGGTGAGAGAAGGGCAATTTTTTGATGTTCACTGTTAAGATTATAGCATTCTGCATTATTTTCCTTATTCTATCCTTTCTAAACAGAGACAAACTTGTTCTGTGTACTGCTTCAGGATTATACTGTTCTTGTGGAACTAGAAGATCTGTGCTTATTCAACTCATCAGTATTTTTAAAAACTATTACAGCTATTCATCTATTAAGAAATTTTATTTATGAATTGCCAACCAACAAGCAATATATACATTGTCCTACCTTTAAAGTGACTAATTCTTAATATCCTTTGGTAACAAGGTCATTATGATAAATATAGCTTAAGATGTAACTTAAAAATTTTTGCAGGAAATCACTACACTTTTCTGCATGGTATTGTTGGTTAATGCTGTCTCATCTGCTTATAAGCAATATTTGATTTTGAAAAATAAAAGGTGGGGTTGGTTTTTTTTTTCATTCTAGGTCTTTTTAAATATTGAACTTAGGGTGCCTAAATGTTACTTCAGGTGTCAAAGACTGTCAGTGATTAGTGACCTGATAATATAAAATCTGGTAAATATGTTATTACTTAGATAATTTTAAAATGTAATTTATTAATTTGATAAATGTCTTAACTTCTTAGATTAATTTGTTCTACATTCTGAAAAATAATCATTGAGCAATTTAACTGAGGTGGCTTTAACATACTTGTGAGAAATCCAATAGTGCTAGATATTGAAAGTGTTTGGGCTACAAAATATTTATTCTTTTACTTTCATAGTTGACTATTTTTCTGTTAATACAAGTGTTATCACTTTATTTCCAAATAGGCATGCAATAATATATTTGAATAATGTACTGGTGGCAACCTTAACATAAAGTTGTGAATTTTGAAAAAAATGTTCATTAAAAAACATATTGAATCAATAAGACATAAGTGGCAGTATAGAACTATTTGGAAAACTGAGCATAAATATAGGAGCTTGAAAATTTGAAACTATCATTAGTCGATAGTATATGTAAAAAGAAGAGAAAAACTGTACCATGCTAAATTAATTAATTAATTACTTAATATAAAAATCTCATTATCCACACAGAAGTGAGGATATTGCACACATTGCAAACCTTATTAAAGTTATTAATAAATTATTTTGTTGCTTTTTCTATAAATATTTATCCCTCATGGTATAACTTAGCTGTATTATTGATATGTATGAGGCATACAACTATTTCCTAGGCTACCTTTCTTCTCCAGTTCACTTCTTTACTCCACTGGTATTGTTATTATTTAAATTTATTAAGGAAAGAAAATGATAATTTGTTTCATAAATATATTTGGTTTTAATTTTATTCCTAAGGAGCGACGCAAGTTTGGACCTTTGGGTTGGAATATTCCCTATGAATTTAACTCAGCAGACTTTACAGCCAGCATTCAGTTTATACAAAATCACCTAAAAAAAATTGACGTCAGGAAGGTGAATGCTAAAATCTTGATATAGTACATTTTAATGCTTTGAATGGCAGCAGCAATTGTTTTTTTCCTCATGTTTATCATAATTTACTCATTGCTATTCATTTAGTGACACTTCTAATGATCAAAGGTTGAGGTTCTCTGCAAGAAAATCAAGCTGAAATATTTTATGTGCTGTCATGCATGTAAAAATACATATTTGTTAAGAACATTAAAATTTGTTTTTCTTTTTCACTGCTGTATCCAAAATTAACAAGTCTGTATGTTATCTGTTTTGGAAAGGGATAAAAAAAAATATTTGCCAAGTTTGAGAGAGCAAATCAAACTTCTCTACAGCTACCATTTGATCTTCTACTGCTTAGCAAATGGGAATAGCCATTTCTTATGAAGCAGCACTCAGCCTAGAGAGAAAGATAAGAAATAGGGAGAAGGGGTGGTATGGGGAGGGTGGAATGGGGGGTAAGAAGAGAGGCAATAGCAATTGAGAGTGATTTCAGGTCAAAAAAGAAATAATGAAATATATTTTATATATATATATAATGCATATATTTTATATATTATGAGATTTTACTTCTAAGAGATCAAGGCATATCAGGAGTGGCTGAGGGACTGGAGTGTTTAGCCTGGAGAAAAGGAGGCTCAGGGGAGACCCAGTCACTCTCCACACCTCCCTGAAAAGCAGGTGTAGCCAGGTGGAGATCAGCCTCTTTTCCCAAGCAACCAGTGCCAGAACAAGAGGACACATCCTCAAGCTATGCCAGGGAAGATTTAGGTTGAACATCAGGAGGATTTTCTTAGTGGAAAGGGTTGTCAAGCATTGGAATGGACAGCCCAGGAAGGCTGTGGAGTCACTGTTTCTGTAGGTGTTCAAGAAGCAACTGGACATGGTTTTTTGTGCCATAGTCTAAATTGGTGTTTGGTCAAAGATTGGAAGTGATGATCTTAAAGATCTTTTCCAATCTAAATGATCCTGTGATTCTATATTTATAATAGCAGGATCAAGCCAAACTCTTCTATAAAATTATGGAGTTGAGCTCAGTAAATACATTAGAAATAATGTATTATTGTTATATGATTCCTTTCAGTTTATGTTTCAGAATATTATGAGCTTCAAATTGTATTTAAATTAAAATCTTCTTCTTACATATAATAACTATAGTCTTTCATGTACCTTACTTGCATCCAGGGGATATCGTGGAACACAGTACGCTACATGATTGGAGAAGTACAGTATGGAGGCCGAGTCACAGATGACTATGATAAACGTCTTCTTAATTGCTTTGCAAGGGTAGGAGATCTTGGAAATACAGTTATTTGTCATGTTTATTGGCAACTGCAATACAGAAATCAGAAGGCCTTCTTTCTGCTGAATGTGCACTTCACCAGTTTTCAAAGTAAAACAAATTTTTCAAAACATCATTCTTTGGCAGTTTGGATCTTCCCTTTGGTTCCTCTTTGGTGAGGAGCAGAAGCTTAAAAAGACTCAGCTGGAAGTCAAACTTAGTAGACATAAATATTAATGATTTACAGTTATATTAAAGTAAAATTAGATGCAGTAGCTGAAACAAGAACCCTAATCCTCCAGGAGTAAAATTGAGATTAAAAAGCCCTCTAAGTAGCAAAATAATTGCTCTTTCTTTTTTCCCCCATGGATTTTTCACAGGTATGGTTTAATGAAAGTATGTTTGACAGTGCTTTCTGCTTTTACACTGGGTATAAAATTCCGGTATGCAAAACTCTGGAACAATACTTTGAATACATCCAGTTACTTCCTGCCATGGACAGCCCAGAGGTGTTTGGTCTCCATCCCAATGCTGATATTACGTAAGTAGGTCTCAACATATTGAAAATGGAGAATGTTTCTTTCACAATTTGGAAACAAATTCCTATAAAATGTTTAAGTAAAGTATATTTTGCACTGGAAACCTAGGATTCATGTGAATTTCACTGTTGAAGTGAACACTACCTGTGTAGATACATTGTTATAAATGCAGTATCTTCAGCAACGTTTTACATGTCCTTTTAAAGCAGCTGGAACTTTTATTACTTACTCCTCATGATTTTACTTTTTATAATTGCAAGCATTATGCAACTTTTATATCGACATGTGATAGATGGTTCTATACATTCCAACTAGAGAAAGTTTCTAGTATTGGCCTTCTGTTTCAAGCAGTTTATTTTTCTGTGCACACTTGTTAAATGATTCTCTGGATTGTTGTTTGGTTTACAAGCATGCCTTTGGATGCAACTACAAACTTATGTTGAAATTGTTCTCACCATTCCCATTATTTAAAAGAGACTTTTCAACTGCACCAAGTACTAGCTCCACTGAATTCACTCTTTCATTCCAAATAATCTGTGTAACAGCTTGCCCTTTATTTCTTTCTATTATTGTATGCCCTGTGAAAGGATATGAACATGGTCATATTTTTTTCAATGAAGTTCTTAATATTTCTTCCATAAAATATTGAATTTTCATATGCAGTATGTCCACATTGCACATTCATTGTTTCTTCATGTAGGTATTTTTCTAATTCTCTACTTTCTATTTTTTTCTACTTTCTACTTTTAAATAAAACAAATGTTATTCAAATGCAGAGCTGCTGTGAAAACCTAACATCATCTAATATTTTTTGGATGAAACAATAATTTCCCACAATTTTTCAGTTTCAAAGTTGAGAGGCTGATGCCATGTCAAGAGGCCTGTATTCTAAGTATGCTATGAGAAGAGCACACAGTTTTATTGTCAACTCCTACTAGCACATACCACTGTTAATATATGCTTGTGAAGAAAAGAATCTGAGAGTAGATTGTTTCAAGGCATTCTCTGATACTTGCAAGACCTCCTTTCCAGAAATGATTAAAGAAGAAAGACGAGCCAAGATTTAGCAGAGAACTAAACAAAGTCTTGAAGAGAGACATGCTGTAGATCCAAAATTAGGCTTGTAGGAGAGCTAATTTATAGGAGGAAACTTGAGTTTGAGACTAATGCTGTTGGAGGAGCTTTAGTGAGTAGGAACAGCTCTCTGGTATCTCTTCAGTGCTCGGTTTCTCTTCCACTTGGTACCTTCACATATTCCTGTTACTTTAGCTCCTTTTCTCCCCCTGTAGATTTTGCCTCATAGATATTTCTTTAGCGTTTGGGGAAAATGTTCAACAGCTTCATGCTTTTTTTCCATGTCTTATCATAGTCTGTTATAAGCAACAATGCACAGCTACTGTGTCTGAATTTCGTCTTTGAAGCACAGACCAAATGGATTAGCATCCCATAAAATATAAAATTCTATTCAAATTCTCCTTATAATATCTTATCAAGTAATCTCAGAGTATGCAGAAGGCTGACTGCTAGAATTGAAACCCTGAGAGAGCCAAGACCACTCCATGTTACTATTACTGAGGACAAAAATCTTATCTCTCACTAATTTACTGTGGCAGTTTTACAGTTCAGCCAAAAGCTCAGTCCGTTGGTTCCAATTGTAAGGCTTCAATGAATTTCAATATTTTCATTTAGGATTAACACCTGAAGTCATTGAGAATGATTTTAACTTGCTGTATGGATCATATGCTCTGTAAAGCCACATAGTTAACAAGTACCTTAGCAGGAAAGGAATACTCTGACAATCTTCTGCCAAAACCCATTCCCAATTGATTCCCTTCTGAAACCTTAAATGTAGCTGAATTTTTGTTAAGCTATTGCAAGCTGATGAATATAGGGTTTTGAACACCGTGCTGCAATAGATATTGCTGTCTTCTATACAAAGCTGAGGCAATGGTTCTGTCACATGCATTTTTTCTTAGTTTTCACTTCCAGTACAGAAAATCCCTGATGGCACATATTCTAGCTATCAAATGATGATAGTTTGTTACATCCAAACCCTTGAGAAAATACTCTTAATAATGCTTTTTGGAGTAAATCAGAATCCATAGAAAATTAATTTTCTTTTTTTTCCTTATGACACAATTCACTTACAATACTCCTTTGGGGAAAAAAAATACATGAATAGAGTGCTTAGTCTTACATACTTTAAGCAACACTGACACTATAAATGAGATTCGTTTAATGTTATATAGTAACCAGCTTCCTTTCTGATTACTATAGACTTCCTTAACAGTAATGGAGAAAAATAGATCCTTGTAAAGTGCAATTTCTCTCATCACAAAGCAGACATCTAAAATACATGAGCTGAATTGGGCAATTGAGACAAAAAGCTGTTATGGAGACATCTACACATAAATATCTACATGTGGTGAGGGTAAACCCATCACATACAACTGATTCTGTTTTCAGGAACATGGTACTTCCTCTGCAAACTTCTGCCATCTTTTTATTGTTATTGTTTGTATCTATACTTCATTTTTATTTGCAATCTAAAGTAAAGTGAGGTTTTTCAAAGTCAGAAAAATTTTGTTGCAGAGTGCTTTTTATGTTGAATATGTCCCAGTGGTATGGAAATGAAATTCTTTCTTGGTATTTTAACCTCACTTCCACAGTGGAAAATTATTTTTAATTATGTAAAGACTGAGATACATATTTTCATATTTTCTATTTTTATTTACAAAAAAACTCTTCTCCAAATAGTAATTGTTATTTATGCAAGATTCACATAACTTCTCCTCTTCAGAAGGTTCCTAGCTTGTGTTATTGGAGAAAGGAATATCAACAAACTTTGATTTTGTTCCTTTGATGCTATTTCTCAAAAGCTGTTCTCTCCTTTTCCCCAAAGTTTGCATGCTGCCTTCTTTTTAAAATAGTTTCTATGTAATTTTTTTTAGATTTAGAAAGACAATTTTTTAAATTCTGTAATTTATTATAATTTAATTGATATAATAATCAGAGAAACAATGCCTTCTACATAAAATAGTCTGACAACAGAATTGGAAGAATGGTGCTTACAGTATGAAGAAGAAGGTTCACATCTCTCTAATCACTACTTTTAAAATCAGCAAGACACAAAGGAAAGGTTACAATTACAAGTATGTCATCCAAATTACCAATAGAGCCATGAGTCCAAGAGAATTTTAATCTTTTCTGGTCATATGTGGTCTTGAGTAAATCATTAATTCTTTAAATGGGGCCATTGATTGGAAAAAAGCTTGAGAATTTTGAGTTTAAAGTCAAGGGTTATGAAAAACATTGAAAGCCCCCACAATTCCTACTTTTAGAAGCAGAAATTCCTCTGAGAAGCAAACTCCCAGTAGTATTACTTCTATGTTTCTGATTTATACTCTTTATAATTGCATTCACAAATTATTTTTTTTGCTGAAATACTGTAGTATCTAGCGTCTCTGGTATTGTGACACTGTATCCAAAGCATCTTTAGGTGTTTTAGGAGTTCACACATTCTATCCTTGGTTTCATGTCTTACATAATTATGTAAGACAATGTAATAGAAGGAGATGGGTGTCATAGGAAAGTCTAAAAGTAATGCTGACGTGCAAATCGCTGCTTTGAATCAGTATAAATGTATGTCCTACATCACTCACTGGGGTATGTTCCTTGTGTAGCTGATTCCATAAGGTAAAAGTAGGCATTGCTAACACTTCAGTACTTCAGGCTTTCTTTCTTATTTCCTCTTATACCTCTATGCCACTGGATAGCAGTGCAACAAAAATACTCCTATAATTCTTCTGTTGAAGGACTGATAGGGTCTACCATCTTTCATTGTCTGATGCCACACAAATTTAATTCATATTTTTGTATTGACTCAGAACATTAATTTACATTAGCACTGCCCATACTTCACTATGGAATAGAAGTTTTTTACCTGCAGTGCTGTAAATCTAGGGGCCCTTGTCATGAATCCTGAAACACCTCAAAGCAGAATGGATTTACTAATTTTTAAAGGGGCAGCTTTCAGAGTTATACCTCCACCTTTTCCTGCTTCTGCATTGCTCCTTTAAGAAGTAAATAAATGAGGCAAATAGTCTTCCTTGTTACAAAACTTTTGTTGCTTCTTCTCAGAATCCCTAATATGATAGGGTTTTCTGCCACCTCACAATCTCAGCTTGCAGACCTCCTTCTTATCCGAATTAGACACACAGCAAGTGTATAACAGGGAAGAGGAAAGTTCATATTCTTTACAACTGTGGTAAACCAAAACTTCATGATCAGTGTATTATGGTTGGTGCAGGATGCAAAGGAAACCAGTTTTGTGCGAGCTTTGATTTGACTTCATGGCCCACTGGTTTTTGTGTTTTCTACAAAGTTATCATTAACTATTAAAAAATTCTATGTAACTTATAGCATGCTCCTCATCCTCTCAGATACCAGAAAAATACATCAGCTGATGTTCTGGATACTATTACCAACATTCAGCCGAAAGAAAGTGGTGGAGGATCTGGAGAAACTCGTGAATCAGTTGTTTATCGTTTGGCTGAAGACATGCTAGAGAAACTTCCTCCAGATTACATACCTCATGAGGCAAGCTAACCTTAGTCTGGTCCTACTGTTCTCTCTGTTGAGTTTTCACACTACACATTCCAAAAAAGAAACACCAAATTGTACGGAAGATCATATAAATCGTAGCAGATTCAAGTAAGGAACTAACACCCTTATTGCTGCCAGCCTGAATTGGCATGAAGATTTTTTTATCTAAAATCAAGACATCTAACAATTGGCCATGGAGCTATGTTGGGCAGACTACGCTTGGATTTCCAAAGCTACTTGGGAAGACAGAAAAAATCAGTCTTGACATGTTGTGATAGCAGTCTCCTGGGCCTTCTGGGTAAAGTCCTGTTCTAGGAAAATCATGAGTAATTGGGTAGTATCAGACAAAAAGTAAAAAACTGTAGCAGTTTTAAGGAGGTACATGTTAGTTGAATAATACACAAATCTAATATTTACTTTTCTGAACACACGGGTAATTAAAATGTTGCATACTACAATGGCATTTCAACAATTTAGACTTAACTAAATTCCTTCTGTGCTTTTATAATTTAGGTAAAGGCTCGTTTAGTTAAAATGGGAGCACTTAACTCTATGAATATTTTTCTTCGTCAAGAAATTGACCGCATGCAGAAGGTGATCACAGTTGTCCGCACCAGTTTGAATGATCTGCAACTAGCCATAGATGGAACTATTGTTATGAGTGAGGCAAGTAAAGTACTTCTACTACATATGGAATACTGTGCTTTAAACTATTAAATTGATTTATTTACTTTGAATATGATTTAATTCTTTCAGAATTTAAGAGATGCACTTGATAACATGTATGATGCTCGAATCCCTCAAGTATGGAGAAGAGTATCTTGGGAGTCTTCCACACTTGGTTTCTGGTTTACTGAACTTCTGGAGAGAAATGCTCAATTATCTAGTTGGATATTTCAAGGAAGACCAAAGGTGTTTTGGATAACTGGATTCTTTAATCCACAAGGTAAGGCTACTGAAAATACTTGAGTAGTAATGTACTGAATAGTAGTAATTTAATGGTTATACTGTCAGTGTGTCACAGGAGCCAAGATGAAAAATGGGTTCAATGAGCACTCACAGCCCAGAAAGCCAGCCTTAGCCTAGGCTGCATCAAAAGGAGCATGGCCAGCAGGGCAGGGGAGGTGGTTCTGCCCCTCTGCTCTGCTCTGCTCTGCTCTGCTCTGCTCTGCTCTGCTCTGCTCTGCTCTGGTGAGAGCCCACCAGGAATGCTGCACCCAGCTCTGACCCTCACAGAAAGGATGTGAACCTGCTGGAGCGAGTGTAGCAAAGGGCCATGAAGACAATCAGAGGGCTGGAGCACTCTCTTATGAAGGCAGGAAGAGAGAGTTTGGGCCATTCAGCCTGGGGGAAAAGGCTCTGGGGATGACCTTTACAGCATCTTCCAGTACCTAGAGGGGGCTACAAGAGAGTTGGAGAGGAACTTTTCACAACTGCATTTATGCATTTAGTGATAGGACAAGGAAGGACAGATTTAAACTGAAAATTGGTAGGTTTAGAACTGATATTATGAAGAATTTTTTACTGTGAGGGCTTAAGGTATTGGAACAGATTGAAGAAAGAAGTGTGGGTGCCCCATTCCTGGCAGTGTCTAAGGCCAGGTTGGATTGGACTGGGTCTAGTGGAATTATTTTATTTTTTTTTTGTGTGACCCTGCCCATGAAAGATGAGTTGGAACTTAATGAATTTTAATGTCCCTTTCAACCCAAACCATTCTATGTGATTCTGTGGTTCTCTGATCTTTTAGTCTTACCCAAACCCACAGTTTTTATATTACAAGAAGGAAAACATATGGTTAATAAATAAAATACTTCATCTTGCTGACATATTGTAGCATGATATTATACAACTTCTAAAGAAAGTATACTTAATGATAATGATACAGCTTTTAAAGAAAATGCTATTTTTCTCTGGTTTGAAACTGTTTAACTCATTTCAAACTGTAAATTGTGAGTATGGAAGAGCTCTAATCTAGAGTAAGATGTTACAGTAGCAACAAAATGACTTTTTACAGTACAGTATGAGCAATCACTCACTGGAACAACCTCATCAGAGACATGGTAGAGGCCCCCTTTCTGGAGGTTTTCAAGATGTAATTTTGATGGTGCTAGATAATCTCATCTAGTCTTCCCTTTCCCATGAAAGGGTGGATTGGGTGAACTTCCCATGTCTCTTCCAATGTGGGCTGTTCTATGATTCTATGAATAGAATAGTACCAGAATTTATAGCAGTTCTTTGTCTTTCATGAAGAATCATCAAAATGTAGTTTTACGATGTATCCATTTCACAATTTCTTCAAGTCCATTAAAGATATGCTGTGAAGTACAAGTAAACGTTATCGATCATTATCTGTTATAGCTTGATATTTTTTACCATTTAGAGGAAGAAGGAAGAAAAACAAATTTTAATCATCTCCATGAGTAAAAAACCCCATTATCTTATGAGGTGTGTGTTCCTAAGAGAATTTCCTTCAGCCTATACAACTACACATACAAAATTCTCATAAGAAACTTATGTGTGACAGCTATGAGGGGGTTTTTTTTTGTGTTTTTCTTTTAATTTGAACTAACCTCTGAAATTATTGAATGTTATATGAGTTACCTTTGCTTTGTGATACTTCTTTTCTTACTAGCCTTCCTACTGCCAGAACTGTAAAAAGTACTAATACCAAAGTCTATTTTAGAGTCACTTTCAGAAACAACTGAGGTGCTGGAGTACATAGAATTTATTATTAAAGGATAGTATTGGGATGCCAGTCAAAATATCATTTTTATAATAAGTGGCACAGCTAATAAGCATACTGATCTCTGATGATTCAAAAACAGCACTCACAGTGGTGTAAAAGAAGATAATGGACCACATTCTTTTGGTAAACTAAAACATTTAGCCTAATAGGCAACAAACCTGAGATATAGATGGTCTTGAGCTTTATTATTGCTTCAACCTCTGTGTTAAAAAAACCCAAAAGTAGTCCTTCAGCTAGAGAGAGGTTTGCTAAGTGCAAAATGTGTGCTGTGGGCAGGGATGAGGTGAGTATATTTGTAGTATCAGACTATATTTTTAATACTGCTCACCAGGAAATTCACTATTAAGTATGCAGTTCCCTATGTTAACTTCTCTTTCTTTGTCTTGATCTCTATGACTCTCAATTCCAAGCAGTTCTTCATCTCGTAGTTTAAAAAAGCAGATATCAAGTTTTTGATGACTTCATTGTTATCTTCTGACACACACAGAAACAACTATTTGGTACTAGTGTTTCTATTTTTGCAGCTTTTTCCTTTATAACACATTCAAACCTCATGGCTGTTGAGTCATCTGTGCTTAAACTATTGAGCCCTTTGCATCTCAAACCCTTCCTTCCTATTTCAAATTTCTGTAAAGTCTGTTTGAAACACTGCTCAAAAAATCACCTAACTGGCTGCTCAGTTATGACATCCTCTATCTTCATTTCTGTCTGACACACTTTTATCCCCTAAAAAAACGTGCATTTTTCATTCTTCATAGGCACTGCATTGACTAGATTCCCCACACTCACGCAGTTATTTTATTATCATATTCAGACATATATTTTCTGTTTTCCACCAATAAAATTTATTCTACTTCTTTCATTTAAAACACCCCCACCTTTTAGCTTAGTTGCCTTTACATAAACATCAGCTCACACAATGGATAACTTGTTTGCCTTGAAATTCTTGAAAGACTCCTTTATCATAGATCCTGTAGTTGATTGCCTTATGATAATTTGTTAGTCAGTGTCCTGACCAAATATTTCTTAATGGAGTAATTTAATAGAAGATAAAAGTACATGCTGTTTAAAAATATTTTTCTTGGTATAATGCACACTCTGCCACTTCTGTCACTTGTTCCTATTTTGGTCCCAAAGCTTGCTATCATTAGTCAGGATGCTCCTTTTTCAATACAAGTCTGATTATCTGTCTGTAAGTTCAGTGCAGAACCATGCTAATAACTGAGCAAGATTTTATTTTATAATGTGAGATAAATACTAAATGTCTGGCTTAATTTCTCAAGGATTCCTGACAGCAATGAAACAAGAAGCAACTCGAGCACATAAAGACTGGGCTTTAGATAAAGTTGCAGTACATAATGATGTGCTAAAGCTAACCAAAGAAGAAATCATATCACCTCCTTCTGTATGTATGGCATGCAAAGATGTTTCAGTATTAATTTTGGTATTTAGTTTATGTTATTTATCATTCAGTCATTTTGGATTGATAGAGGAAAAAGTTACTACTGTCTTCACCTTAATGTTTTTCCTCAGCAAAAAAGCCAAATACCAAGTATGAAGATATTAATTAAATTAGAAAAATATTTAGTTAAAGAACTGTTTCATTGTACCACCTGTTAATTTTTGGAATTTATAGTAAACTTTACATGAAACGTTGTAGTATATAGACTTTATACAACTTTTGTTGCCCTCCATTTCAGTAGCATTGTCTTCTGAGAAAGGATTATATTATAGTTTAAAGTGAAATCGTTTGAAGAGATTAAATGTCAGATATTTTTTACTATAAAACATACACGTTTTTCAATGGTTTAAGAAAATTATTATGCTTTATATGTTGTGATGTATCTGCCTGCTCTTCACACAGGAAGGAGTTTATATCTACGGGCTCTACTTGGAAGGTGCAGGCTGGGACAAACGAAGAAGCATACTTGTTGAGTCTTCACCAAAGATTCTTTTTGTCCAGCTGCCTGTACTCCATATGTTTGCTGTTGATTCAACCAGACCTAGGGATCCCAGGCTCTATGTTTGTCCTCTTTACAAGAAGCCCAAGAGGACAGATTTGAACTTTATTACAGAGGTATTTTTAAAGACAGCAAAGTCTCCAGACCACTGGATTCTGAGAGGAGTGGCTCTTCTCTGTGACATCAAGTAGGCTGTTTTTCCCACTATGGCAGAAGAGTATGTGACACCTGTAACAAATTACATGTGTAATTCTTCTACTGCTCTTTATTTGGTGAATACTTGCCATTATACTAGAAATTGCATTTCAGTCTTGGCTTACTGATGATTTTTCTCTGCTTTCAGCAAATTCAGTTTGCCTTGGCTGTTTGTTGATGGTTTTAAAGTAAATCTTTCCAAATAAGTTCATTGCTTGTCGTCTTTGAAGTATGCATTATATTACTTGAAATGGATATTTGCTTTAATAACATCAAATAAAATGTTATTAAACCTTACAAAAAGAAAAACTTTGCTTTTTTACATTTTTTCACGTGTAGATCTTTTAGCTTGTGTTTCAGTGACGTATGATGACAACAAAATTTAAAATCTCCTAGATACAAATTTAAAATCCTAGATTCTGCATGATACACACCTTATTTTCTGTGAGTCTCCAGGAAACTATATGACGGAAAAATATATTTGATCCATATTTTTTGCTTGGGCTTTCTCAGATCTTACTTGTTCTTGTTAAACTATCTAGATTAAGCAAAACTACACCAGGAATGTTTGTGTCTGGAATATCTGATGGAGGCCAGTGTGTTTTCTGTCCAGTTTAGCTGTGTGGGAACAGAAGTAAAACAGTTCCAACTACTAAATATGGATTTTTTTAAAATTAGAGAACCAGATTTATTTACAAGTATAATTATTTTGTCTGCATTTTCTTGTAGCTCTAAAGTGTGGGTTGCAATCCTTGAAATGACCCTCACAGCATTATTCTACGATGATACTCAGGAATATCATAACCATGAGTTTTCCAGACATAATTAGTATTAAACTAATTCTATTTATGTAATACTAAACAAGATATGCAGCCTACACTATCTATTTAATAATCTCCAAAAAGCTTCTTCCTTCAGATACCTTTATTTGGCAACACAGTTTTTCACTTACACCCCATGACTGGACTGTTTTTCCTTTTGCCATTCAAGAGTGTTCAAATGCATCTGCTGTGGCAAAGTGCAGCTACTACTTGACAAATTCCTGGGCATCAGTTGAGAAGATAAAAGGCCCTTCCTCCTGCTGGGGTCCTATGGCTTTCTATTGGAGGTGACCATCCCGGGATACCCTCTTGCAGAAAGTCTGTGGCATACAGGAAATAACAATACACAGACACAACATCATGAGCAGAGTAACAAAAAGTGAGATCTCCAAATGCAATTAAGTAAAACATTTCTTCTCTCTCCTCTATAGATTTACTTAGATTCAAATACAAGAAACCTGCCGGTGTTGGATAACTTTTACGGTTTTTATGTATTTTTGAAAGTTGTGCCACAGAACTACATCTACAAAAAAGGAAGAAAAAAAATCTGACTTTGCAATTGCAAAAGATTTTTCCCCAAGTAATAGCAATATTGATGTTAGAACTTGTGGTGGGTTGACCATCAGCTAAGTGCCCAGTGGCTTGCCCTGCCCTGCCCTGGCCAAGCAAAATGGGGCAAAGAATTGCAAGATCAGAAGCTGAAAACAAGGGGGCCAGGATGAACACAGTTTAATAAGTGAAGCAAAGCTGCACACACAGGAAAATTTAATTAAGGAATTCATTTTCTGCTTCCCACTGGCAGGCAGATGTTTAGCCACTTTCTGGGAAGAGCCTTAGCATACATAATGGTTACTTGGTAAGACAGATTCAATGAGAACAAATGTCCCTTATCCTGCTTCTTTCCTAAAGTCTTTGGTGCTGAACATGACATCATGTTTGTGCAATATCCCTTTGGACAGTTTGGGTCAGTTGCCCTGGTTCTTTCCCCTCCCATGTTCTTGCACACGTCCAGTATAGTCACTGCAGGGGCAGAGGGGAAACCAGTTAATATCCAAAAACCAGCACAAGAACTACGTGTATTCATTCCTAGATGTTTTTTTCTCCTGATCTAGCCGTTTAGCTTAATTACCATGGAGAAACAGTGTGTAACCTTGAATGCCTCCACAGGTGGAAGCTGTGCACTGACACATTTACAAGTGAAAGCCTATATGGGAAATAGCAGGGAAAGTACAAATTAATGTGCTGAGTTACATAACTTACACTGAAGATATTTTATTCTCCATCCAGTATAATAGCAAAAATAGAGATGAACTGTATATTGTTATCTCAGCTATATCATATATTGCATCAGATTCTTGAGACCATCTCTTTTGTGTTTGTCAAGAATCCAATCCCTATTTCCCATCTTCTCTGAGCCTGTCTAGGGGTTTGTTCCATTCTCAATACCATGCATTAGCTCACTCTTTTCAGGTTACAGTGAATGTTAATTTTGATAGAGCTTTTCAGTTAATTTATGGAAATAATCTATGTTTTGTGATAGCAACAATCTACTAGGTATTCAGAAGACTTTTTTTTTTTTTTTTGGTCTCTGCATGCGTCAAGAATATTTATGAAGTATTTTCCTGTCCTGGTCATATGTGGGATAGATTCTTATACTTAATTTGTTTACAGCCAGCTCTTCAAACATCTAAAGAGCTGCAGTTAATTACTTGAACCACAAGCCATTCCTCCCAGCTGTCATAATCTACAGGAATTCAAGATCTCAGTTCAAGACTTTGCACTCCCAGAAATCCTCTATACCTCCAGAATATTGTAATAAGCATTCAAAGTCTTAAATTAACACAGTTTGTTGTGGTTTTTTTTTTTTAAGTAATGAAACAGAATGACTTTCTGAAGGTTTTAACGCTGATTTGCCATTCAAGTTACTGCTGTTAAAGTTGTGAGACAGTGTTGTGGTGCCTAAACTGACAAGGAAAGGAGCACCATGTCAGCAAAACACAAATATTTAACAGACGATCAAGAAAATACAAGTACTTGAAATATGACATTTAATTAGTCTCTATGAGAGAAGACCTAACTCACGAAGGTCTGTGCTTGAGAATGTAAAGAAGAACATGTCCAGAACTGGCTAGAGAGTGCATTCACGGTATGCATTTTTCTTTCCTCCCTTGGTGTCACCCAGAAGAATTCTCCTACTTTTTTACTCTGATTTTCAGAGGTAATCCAAGCCAGTGAGATAAGGGAAGGCACTTCTATTCTTTCCTGATGCTTTAGAACGGACACGTTCATTGGGAGCCATTGATCTGCTGGTACCTCAAGATACTCACTTTTCACAGGACTTTTTCTTCGGTGATGATTCATGAGAAGCCTGGAGCTTGGCTGTGTGATGAGGTTTTATGTGACAGTGGCTAAGAACTAACAAAAACTATGGAAAAGAGCTTGTGAATGGCAGGAGGGGGAGGATTTGTTTTCTGCCCAGGTTTCTAAATCTCACAAAACCACTGACCAGAATGAGCTTGTTTCAAGAAGGTAACATTTCAGCGAAGTTTTAACTTGAAAGATTTGTTAATTCCATGGAATCATTTTCTTCATCTACACCCTCTGTTTCTGCCTCTAGATTCTGGTCAGCTGTAATCAAAATTTCTTCAGAATTCATAGTTTATGCCATGACCCACTGTTTTCTTATTCAGTAACCTCATTCACTGACCATATTTATTCTTAATATTTAAACTAATACATTATTTTTGATAGTCTTGCAGAATGTCTAGCAGAAGTATATAACTAGTTTTCTTTTGAGACAAATACTGAAAATCAAATGTATTGAATGTGCAAGGTGCTGTTTTAAATATATTGATGTTTCTGCTGATTTTTGAAAATTTGAGTGTAACTGCATTGCTGTGACAAGTCTCTCATTCAGATTTCTTCAGAAGCCACTGCTATTATTTATACTCCTATACATGACCAATACTTCACCAAACTTTGCCGGAGTTGGTACCTGCATGTGTATCACACAAAGAGGATATTCCTGAGGTGAGTCTAATTTTATAAAAGCTAAAATCCCATGTCTTTTCCAGTGATTAGCACTGCCTTCAGAGCACCAAGAGCCATACATTATTCTTAGAAATTCAGGAAAACTGTTTTTTAACTTAGCAATGGTCCATGATAAAAGTCAAAGCTAGAGAAAGCCTGAAACTAGAAATATGTAGGTACACAGTTTGTGGTAATTGGGAGTGGGGCTGTGGCCAAGCCTCATCCCCAGTGGGTACAGCTGTGAAAAGCAGGTGAGCAGCATTGAAGGAATGAGCCATGGAGTGCCCAGGTGCACTGAGCAATCACCAAATGGAACAGAGGGCACACAGGTGCAGTGCATGAACATGAGAGGTATAAAAGGCTGGGCTAAAGAATGAGAAGAGCAGCTGCTTGCAGCTTTCTGAAGTAGTGTGGTGTTATATGGGCAGATACCTAAAGCCTTCTGAGGTGGTATGGTGTTACTCTGTGTGGGTTGGAGCTTTCTGACATTGTATGGTGATACTCTGTGTATTGTGGCTGTCTCAACTGCAATGTATGCTGTGACAGAAATACCTTGTGATTTTTATATAGCAGATATTGGCAAGGGTAAGTAAGGCACTGCTAGCATGTCTGACTCACTTCTATGCCTCTCTAGTTCCATTACAATTTCTAATTTATTTGATATAACTCTATGCTGATAACATCATTGGGGACATCAGAACAGTCTCTGACTTACTGCATTGACTATTTAATAAAGGAATGACTCAACCAAGGTATTAGTTAGATGACTAGTAATTAAGGAATATCCAGGAATACAAGACCAAACTTATCCAATTTCCACTATCTTCATGTTCCCAGGTGTCAAAAGTATTGCATCCCACCAGTTTAAAAGTTAGTTTTTTAGGACTTTAATTCTTACCTTGCTGTTTAATCTTAAAATTTGCCTTAAATTTTTGTATCCTTTATAATGAAGCAAGATACTCTTCACACTATTCCTGTGAGAATATTTTGTCATTTTTCATAAATACTGAGATCTTGTCCAAAATTCTTCCTTAATATCAGTGCAAACATTTACCTTAATTAACATGAAGTTATCAGTATTTTCCACCTAACTCTCATTCAGCTCCAGGAAGATCTGATTCCACTTTCTAAATATTAGAAAAGCACTGCC